CGCTTCCGGGTGTGGGGTGCTCGTGCCCTTGTCCGCGATACGTCCGCGGACAAGCTCTCCTCCCGCACGCTTCCCTGTGTCTTCCTTGGCTTTGTCCCTGACGCGCCTGGCTGGCAGTTTTACCACCCCACCTCGCGCCGGGTCTTCGCCTCTCAGGATGTCACCTTTGACGAGTCGGTCCCCTTTTACCGTCTCTTCCCCTACCGCACTGCCCCCCTCCCTCCCCCGCCACTTTTCCTTGCTCCTGGTCCCCCTCCGCTAGACCCCCTTCCCCCTCAGGGTCCTGCTCCTTCAGGTGTCTCTCAGGTAGACCCTCCTCCCGTCGCTGAGCCTGTCGAGGTCACAGGTGACTCAGGTGCTGCTGCGGGTGGTGCTGCTGGGAGTGCTGAGCCTGGGGGTGCTGAGCCTGGGGGTGCTGGGCCTGGGGGTGCTGGGGCTGCAGGTGCTGGGACTGAGGGTGCTGGAGCTGAGGGTACGGTGCCTGAGAGTACGGAGCCTGGGGGTGCTGCGCCTAGGGGTGCTGAGCCTGCGGGTGCGAGGCCTGGGGGTGCTGAGCCTGGGGGTGCTGCGACTGGGGGTGCTGAGCCTGCGGGTACTGAGCCTGCGGGTACTGAGCCTGGGGGTGCTGCTACTGAGCCTACGGAGCCTCGGGTTACTGCGTCTGGGGGTGCTCCGGTTCGGGGTGCTGAGCAGTCTCTCACACCGCAGCAGCTTCGCGACTGGTACGTCCGACGCTTTCGCCGTCCTAGTGGCTCGGCTGGAGTTTGGGGTGCTGGAGCTGCTCGTCCTGGGGGTGCTCGTACTGGGGGTACTGGAGCTGCCGGGACTGGCTGTTCTGGGAGCACTGCGACTGGAGCTGCTGGAGCTGGGGACTCTGGCGCTGGCGGTGCTAGCGGAGTTGGAGCTGCCGACTCTGGGGGTGGCGCTGCTGCTGGTGCTGCGGACCCACCTGGTGGAGCTGCTGCTGGTGCTGAGGAGTCGGACGGTGGAGCTGCTGCTGGAGCTGAGGACCCGGCTGGTGGAGCTGCTGCTGGTGCTGTGGACCCGGACGCTGGAGTCCCTTCTGCTTCTGGAGACGCTGCGCGGCCGCGACCGTACTTCGTACCGCTCCTTCAGCAGGTTCTTGGGCAGGCTCCTCCTCCTTGTCCTCCTCCCTCTGTAGAGTGTCCTCCGCCTGTCCAGCCGCAGTCACAGTTACCGCCTGCCTCGCCTCTCCCTGCTCCCTCTCCTTACGCTGGTCCCACAGGAGGTCTTACAGAGCGTCGTGAGCCTGAGTCTCGTCCTGCGTCGCCTGTTCGCACTGCTCGCACTGGTCGTCGTGTCCGTCGTGAGCGTCCTCCTCCTGTCCCAGGCACTCACTACATGACTCTGCGTCCCTCTACTGCTCCTCGGCGTGTCCCTCTACCGTCTCCTCCTGCGTCCTCTTTGCCTGCCGTTCCGGACCCTGAGTCTGACCGGTATCGCGCTGAGCACCCTACAGTCACGCGTCTCCTCGCTACTGTTGTCACTGACCCTACCTTTGAGTCCTCGGCTGCGTCTGCTCTGGTCGCTGAGTTGGTTGACTTTGCTGCTGCCTGTCGTCTAGACTACGCTGCTAGCCTTGTTGCTGAGTCAGAGTCTGCGTCTGTCTGTCCTCCGTCCGTCGGGGGTGAGTGTGCTCTTGGCACGGACGTCCTTGAGGACAGGCAGGAGGACTTTGACTCTCTTGCGGCTGCTGTACCTCATCTCGTGGCCTCGTTGCTTGCCCCTGAGGGAGACCCGGATGCACTAGACATCCCCACTCCGCGCACTTACGTAGAGGCGATCTCGGGTCCCTACTCCTCTCAGTGGCAGACAGCCATGGACGCAGAGATGGCATCCTGGAAGTCCACAGGCACCTACGTCGACGAGGTTCCCCCTCCTGGGGCGAACATCGTCGATGGCATGTGGATTTTCAGGGTGAAGCGGCCGCCAGGTTCTCCGCCTGTCTTCAAGGCTCGTTACGTTGCTAGAGGCTTCAGTCAGCGTCAGGGGGTCGACTTCTTCCAGACCTTCTCCCCCACCCCGAAGATGACCACTCTTCGGGTTCTGCTGCACGTTGCCGCTCAGCGTGACTACGAGCTTCACTCTCTTGACTTCAGCACAGCCTTCCTGCAGGGCAGCCTGCACGAGGAGATCTGGCTGCGCCGCCCACCTGGCTTTACTGGGTCGTTTCCCCCTGGTACCCAGTGGAGTCTCCGCCGGCCAGTCTACGGTCTCCGCCAGGCGCCACGTGAGTGGCACGACACACTGAGGACTACTCTTGCGGCTCTTGGGTTCGCGCCGTCTACTGCTGACCCGTCGCTGTTTCTGCGCACAGACACGTCGCTGCCGCCGTTCTACATTCTCGTGTACGTCGACGACTTGGTCTTTGCTACTGCTGACACTGAGGCACTCGCTCGTGTGAAGTCGGAGCTGCAGAAGAGACACACCTGCACTGACCTGGGTGAACTGCGTAGCTACCTTGGCTTGCAGATCACCCGGGACAGAGCTCGCCGCACCATCACCCTGACTCAGTCACACATGGTGCAGCAGGTCCTTCAGCGCTTCGGCTTCCAGTTCTCCTCACCACAGGCCACACCTCTGGCTACCAACCACTCGCTCTCAGCTCCACCTTCGGACGAGTCCGTAGAGCCGAGTGGCCCGTACCCAGAGCTTGTAGGCTGCCTCATGTACCTGATGACTTGCACGCGACCTGACCTCGCGTACCCTCTTAGCATCCTTGCTCGTTACGTTGCGCCTGGGAGACACAGGCGAGAGCACTGGGAGGCTGCTAAGAGGGTGCTGCGTTACCTGTGCAGTACATCAGGCATGGGGCTGGTGCTTGGAGGACGCGACAGAGTTGTCCTCACTGGTCACTCGGACGCCTCTTGGGTGGACGACCTAGCTACGCAGCGGTCGTCACAGGGTTACACCTTCAGCCTTGGCTCAGGTTCTGTCTCGTGGCGGTCCACCCGCTCTTCCTCTGTTCTCGGCTCTAGTTGTGAGGCTGAGATCTACGCCACAGCCATGGCTGCACAGGAGTTACGCTGGCTCACCTACCTGCTGACTGACTTGGGAGAGCGGCCTAGTTCTCCTCCAGTTCTGTATGGTGACAACAAGGCGGCTCTTGCCTTGTGTCAGGAGCACAGACTGGAGCACAGGACGAAGCATATTGCTCTTCGCTACTTTCTTGCTCGAGAGCTTCAGCAGCGCGGTCAGCTTCGGCTTGTGTACGTGGACTCGAAGGCCAACACTGCTGATATCTTCACCAAGGCGCTCCCGCCTAGTGACCATCAGCGGCACTGTACTTCTTTAGGCCTTGTGTCCACGTTTCCTCACTTGCTCACTGCTTGACATTCTTTGTACTGTACTTTATATATATCTTGTTGCTTGTCTTGTACTATATCTAGCACTGCATGTGAACTGGCCTTGTGGCCTTTGCTTGTGCTCGGAGTGTGGTGACGTTGTGATCCACCCTGGGCTTTGCTTTGCTTTGCTGGACTGGTCTTGTGACCCTTTGTTCTCCCCCACTTTGCCTATGGGGGTGTGTTAAACTGTATTATACTTGTAGGCTGTAGTGGGGTAGCCAATATGGGGTACAACCCCAACTAGGGTTTGCTACTTGTACCCAATTCTTCCATTCAATGCACCATTCTTGCCTAGTGATTCTGACAAGTTCATTTCGTGGGGATTTTTTTCCCGGGAAAATCTCCCCCGCGGATTTCCTTCCCCGCGTATTTTTCCCGCCACGATGCCTTGACACATCCGAACGTCCGCAACGAAACAACCAAACCCTTCAGGTCCCTCGCTGGTCTGGTTTGTAAGCAGGTTGGGCAAGGCAATACCGTACTATGGTCCTGAGCGAAACATTCACTGGAAGGTGCGCGTCTCTCTGTTCCAGGCCTTGCTAAAAGTGCTACCCTGAACATTCGTTTATTTGCCCTGACCAGTCAGGGTTAATTTTTGTTGAAGCCCTGAAACTACAGGATGCCTCTGGAAAATTGCCCTGACAAATCAAGGCATTTTTTTATGATTCTGACGAGTTGCCCTGAGGCCTCAGGATGCCCCAAATCCTAGCACAGGCCCTGGCCGTGCACTCCTCAGTAGTTCACTCCCACTGTAGGGCAATTCTCCGCATTTCTCACACATTTACAGGTCTTGTTGCAGGTTCCACACGGTAAAAAGTGTTTCTCAGGGTTTACCATTTTGCACCATGACAAAACAAACTTGACTGTAGTAAGCGCACAGAAGTGTGCAACCTGACGTAACCTTTGTGCATAGAAGTTGTGGCCATATGGGAGAACATGTCAACAAGAGCAAAGTGCAAGTGTTACGAGTGCAATTGAGTGAGCGAGCGAGAATTGCACTATCGAAGCGAAGGCATGAGCGAAGAATATATAGCGAAACTACAGTGGTAACGGTAATGTGCGGGAATTGGGGTGCGCGGGGGGCCTAGCGCCGAGGGTGGGAAATGCCGAGGCGGAGGTCCGGAGCGCCGTGAGGTTAGGTCGCGGCGTGAACAGTGTCGAGGCGAGTGTCGCGAGTGGTAACGGTGGTAACGCTGAGAAGGGACGCGGAGTAAGGAAAAGGAATTTTCCTTACAGCTAAATTGACATTTACGTCAGCCGGGAATCGAACCCGGATCTTTTGCTTGGAAGGCAAATATCCTAACCATTGGACTACTGACGTGTGTGGTACGTCTCAACCTTTAAAACTCATACAACTAATAAATTAAACAGAAAGTCCTGGTTACGCTGCGAGGGGGTTTACTCCTTCGCCGGCTTTCGTTGCGTGTTGCTGTGGTCATCCTCTTCCTCCCTTTCTCTCCCTTCCCCGTTCTCTCGCGTTTATCGCCACTCCCCACCTCCTCTCTCCCTTTCTCTCGCTTCCCCTTTCTCTCCTCCCGCCTCAAGCGTTATAAACCCTGCGCCTTCTCGACTAGGATCTTTTCCTCCTCCCTCTAGTCGCTGTTCCACTTGTCTAGTCGCACTCCAGACATCATGGCTACCACCATGAACAAGAAGAAGAAGGTTCGTTACTCGCCAGTCTTCGTTCAGCGTCCTTCGTGTCCTGAATTCGAGGAGCTTTGTGTGTTAGTCCAAGTGCAAGATTTGAAGTTATTACTGGACGAGTTTTGTTTCTCTATTGACGGGTTAGGTTTGGGGACTAGCGCCTTAAAGGAGCGCGGTTAGGTTGCCTTTTCGTCCTCTTACCCGCTAAGCGTCGTCTCTCTGCCTTTCGCATTCTCTCGGCACGTCAGCGGCGTTTCGAGTTTTCCCGTTAGGTCATCATCCTGTCATCGTCACGCAATCAATCCCAGCCGTTGCAGCCTTCCTCCTGTTCTCCTTGAGACGTCGCGAATTTCGTTCTTCGGAAATTCACGAACCCTCTTTCCCTGCTCATCCTCCAATTCTTGCAACCCTATGTTTCATCCTTCTTTCCCATGCTCGTCTCGTATCCCATCACATTGTTTCACTGTTTCTATCGACAGATTTCAAAGGACAGCGTGTTCGACTCCCTTCTTTAGTACCTGCTCTCTTGCGAGACCTAATGCATCTGTACTCGCTATTGCATGTCCCGTTGTTACCTCCCAACACTTAGTGGCGGACGGCGTGTTTAACGCGGAGTGCTCAAGCGCGAGCTCGTCATTCTCCCTCTCCTCTTCACTATTCTCCTCCGTTCTCAACTGTACTCGCTATTGCATCCTCCGATTAACAGTTTGTGGCGGACGGCGTGTTCTACGCGGAGCTGAACGAGCTGCTCACGCGCGAGCTGGCGGAGGAGGGGTACTCGGGCGTGGAGGTGCGCAACACGCCCATGCGCGTCGAGATCATCATCCGCGCCACGCGCACGCAGAACGTCCTCGGTAAGTGGCGGTGCTGCTGGGTTAGCCGCAATACGCCATACGAGAGTCGGTAACGCCGTCCGAGTCTCGATTTCCGTCGCTGTGCGCTCACCTTTGACCCGGCCCCTGTCTCGCGGGACGAGACGATCGGTTCTGGCGACTGTCAATTCACGTTCTCAAATACTTACGTTTCGCCCCGCACCGTACCCCCCCGCGTTCGCGACGGCAGGCGAGAAGGGGCGGCGCATCCGCGAGTTGACGTCGGTGGTGCAGAAGCGGTTCAAGTTCAAGGAGGGCACACTGGAGCTCTACGCCGAGAAGGTCCTCAACAAGGGCCTCTGCGCTCCCCGCTGCACATCGCCATTCCTGCGCCAATATCCCCCCTGTTTCCCCCGCCTTTCCCCGCCGTTCCCCGCCTTTTCCCTCCCCCCCTCCCCCGCCCCCGGCCCCCTCCCCTCTTTCCCTTTCCCCCCGGCCCCCCGCTACCGCGGCAGGCGAGAAGGGGCGGCGCATCCGCGAGCTGACGTCGGTGGTGCAGAAGCGGTTCAAGTTCAAGGAGGGCACACTGGAGCTCTACGCCGAGAAGGTCCTCAACAAGGGCCTCTGCGCTCCCCGCTGCACATCGCCATTCCTGCGCCAATATCCCCCCTGTTTCCCCCGCCTTTCCCCGCCGTTCCCCGCCTTTTCCCTCCCCCCCTCCCCCGCCCCCGGCCCCCTCCCCCCTTTCCCTTTCCCCCCGGCCCCCCGCTACCGCGGCAGGCGAGAAGGGGCGGCGCATCCGCGAGCTGACGTCGGTGGTGCAGAAGCGGTTCAAGTTCAAGGAGGGCACGGTGGAGCTCTACGCCGAGAAGGTCCTCAACAAGGGCCTCTGCGCCGTCGCGCAGGCGGAGTCGCTGCGCTACAAGCTGCTCGGCGGGCTCGCCGTGCGCCGCGCGTGCTACGGCGTGCTGCGCTTCATCATGGAGAGCAACGCCAAGGGCTGCGAGGTGGGAATGGAAAGCGGTGCTGAGAGGTGATGGAGGGCTTGGTAGCGGTTGCTAGCGGTTGATCGGTTTTTAAGGGGTTGACGGCGTTATCTCCAGTCGAGAGGGGTGCGACGTAGGTGGGGCCTGCGGGTGACGACGAAGGGCGTTGAGCGCTGCAGAATGGGTTGCGAGCGGGGTGTTGGGAGAAATGAGTAAGCCAAGGCTGTCGGGAGTGGCGAATGGGAGTGGACTGATACAAAGAGCTTTTTTCTCTGTGACCTAAATGGCAGAATGCTGAAGTGTCTCCCCCGCCTCCCTTCCCCACTCCACCCCTCCCCTCCGCTCCTTCCCACCCCCCACCGCGCTCCATCCCTCCCTGCTTCCCCCATTTTGCGCAGGTGATAGTGAGCGGGAAGCTGCGCGCGCAGAGGGCCAAGGCGATGAAGTTCAAGGACGGGTACATGATCTCGTCCGGTGGGCCCGTGCGCGACTACATCGACTCCGCCGTGCGCCACGTCATGCTGCGCCAGGTGAGCGCCCTCAGTAGCTGCGCCTCGCGCACGCAGATGCTGCGCCTGGTGAGCCCGCGCGCGCAGGTGCTGCGCCAGGTGTGCCTGCCCAGGTGCTGCACCAGGTGCTGCGCCAAGTAAGCCCGCTCAGGTGCTGCGCCCGCTCAAGGAGGGGATTATCAAGCGCCCCTCTCACCCAGGGAGTTCTGGCCAGTAGGGTTTATGGTAGCTCAGGGCTCCGCTTGTTTTCCCCCCTCCCTTCCGCAATCATTCCCTCCTTCCTCCAATCTTCCCACATCCCCCCTCTTCCCCGTCGCTCTTCCCTACCCTCTCCTCCAGGGAGTGCTGGGCATCAAGGTAATCATGCTGCCTCACGACGCCAGTTGTGCAAAGCTCCCCTCCATCACCATCCCTTTCTCCCACCCATCCCCATGTGCTCTCCTCCCTTTCCCCCTCCCTCCCCCAGGGAGTGCTGGGCATCAAGGTGAAGATCATGCTGCCGCACGATGCCACTGGCAAGGCTGGTGTTGTCCGCCCTCTGCCCGACCAGGTGGGTGCCGTGGCATGGTGTGTTTGCTCCCGTCTCCCCTGTACTCGCTATTATGTTCCTCTTTTGTGCGCACATGTCCGATTTTTTTCCTTTTTTATCCGTTGTGTCGTTCATGCACCGTGGAGCACCTTATGTGATAAATGACAACGTGTGTGTTTGTTACTATTTGCCTATATGCAGGTTACCATTCACACGCCCAAGGATGAGGACGATGCTCTCTTCAAGCCTGTTATTGGCAAGGAGGCTGAAGCTCTGGTTGTTCCAGCTCTTGCCTAAAGCCAAAATCGTTGAAGCTTTATGAGTGTGTGTAGTGGGCAATGTGGTATGATATAGCTTTGTGTAGGTGATGGATGTTGAAATTCAAATGCTTCACCTCGAATCAGAAACGCTGACTACCCACTTCGTGCAGCTGAGGACTAACCATAACCAAATAAAGATTGCCATGAGGTGAAAGCTGATACCATGATAACTGCACGGCAAGAATGTAGTATCAAGCAGTAATGACTCGTGCGGTGCAGGGGGTTTGGATGCGGTATGACATCATTCCCTATCATCCACCCTCGAGACCATCGAGCGCTAAACGACGAAGTTAACGTGTGGCGGTAGGGGCACCTCCCCCGAATCTGCCACCACCTGCGTTGATGCGCGGAGGTGGTGGTGAGTGTGTGTGGTGACCGCTGCCCCGACGGAAGGAGCCAGGCGGAAGTACCCCGAGATGCGCGCACTCAGGCGGAGCACAACAGGGGGCTGGGTGCGCTTGGCGCAGGGGGTAGGAGACGGGAGGGACCGAAGCATCATTAGTCATCGGAACCAACCAACCCTAGAAATCGTACATTCCTTCATTATGCCACACAAGGTCAGTCGCCCACAAGCTACTATTGGTCCGTAATATTTATGTCGTAAGGCCGGGTACTCGTTCGAGCCGCGCTAATCTTGCGTAGTGCAGCCGTAGACGTTTCCGCCAAATTGCGAAATATCCTCAGGTATTTGGTATACGTGTTCATTTGATACTCCCGTCATCTCTTGCTCTCGCCTCCTCGTTCCTAACGTATCAAATTCTTTATTAGAAACTCAGCCCTCATCTATCTCTGGAATCCTACCCGCCAATCTGTCATCAGCGTAATGGCTTTCTCACAACAGCGTCTAGCGCTGTCCCGTCCACCGTCTTCGCCTCGGTTGAGTAAGGTCGCGGCTCCTCTCATCCTCTCGCTCCTGCTCCTCCTCCACCACTCCCCGCTCATCTCCGCCGCTACCTCTTACGGCGGCGTTCTGCCTGCTGCCAATACGCTCGCATCCCCGTACTCCCTTCACAACGGCTGGTTCGTTTTCTGGCTGTGCACTTATAACGAGGACCCCGACACGGGCGAAGTGTCTTTCACCCCGTTCTGGTTCAACGGGTTTCAGGAGGACTTTCCGAGTCCCATGGATGCTGCGCTGCCGCCGCTGGGATTCTACGCCGTGAACGGAAACTGCGAGTACATGGTTGACTCCTCGTGCAACATCGTGCAAAAAGGTTGGTGTTTGCGTTACCTTGTTACCTTGATATGCTCCTGATATGCGCTGCCGCCGCTGGGATTCTACGCCGTGAACGGGAACTGCGAGTACATGGTTGACTCCTCGTGCAACATCGTGCAAAAAGGTTCGTGTGTTTGCGTTACGTTACTTATGTTACCCTATTTCTGTTTCGTGGCGAGCCGTGTGGATGCGCGTTGCAGCCACTGAATGTCCATGTTTGTGAACGGAAACTGGACCTGCGAGGCATAGTCGACTTTCTCCTGTAGCACTGTCGAACTAGATAGGTTTACCTTGCTTTTCTACCGCATGCCTGATGCGTGACTGATGCCTTCTACGTTGCTCGTTACTCGCGTGTCCGTTGCGTGCCTGATGCGAGTTGCTCTGCTCGTTACTCGCATGTCTTGTGGGTGAGTTACACACCGTTTCTCGAAGTCGTTCCTCGACCGTTTCTTCATGTAAATCAAAGTTTGTCACTTCCATTCTTCGACCCTGCCTTCCCCACACACTTACCCGAACCCGTGGCGATGTTACCATTACACGTTGCTCATGCCACCTCTGTCTCTATTTTTGAGTGACCTTTGTCTCATGTTGAACACAATGCGCTTTCCTTCGTTTACTTCCTCTGCCCCTCCCCTTCTCCCTCCATTCCTCTCCCTTTTTCCCCCATCGCCTTCCCCTCTCCTCCCCCCCTTCCCCCTCCCCCCTCCCCCCTCTTCCCCCCTTCCCCCCCCCCTCTCTCTCTCTCTCTCTCTCTCTCTCTCTCTCTCTCTCTCTCTCTCTCTCTCTCTCTCTCTCTCTCTCTCATGGGCTGGGCTGATAGTTACCTCTGTGTTTCGTTCGCATCACCCCCTCTGTCCAACACCGTCCTGCCTTGAACGCATCTTTCTCGCTTCACCTATACTTGGCGATCTTCCCAACCTCTCAACGGTTCTCTTGTTACCTCCGTGTCCCTTCGTCAACTAGCCCTTTCCTCTCCCATCTCTCCCCACCTGGCATCTCTCCCCCCATTCCCACCTGCGCTTGAGCTTGTCATCTCCCAATCCTCCTCCCCCGTCTCCTTTCCCCACACCCCCCACTTCCCCCTCCCCATTTTCGCACTCCAATGTTGATGCGTGCAGACTTGGAGTGCGACGGCTGTTGCTATCTGAACCCGCGCCCTGCCGTCTGGAAGCAGGTCACGTGCTTCGGCAGGCTGAGCGAGAAGTGCAACTACCGCATTGCACCTCTCTCCGGCACCTGCGGGGAGCCTGCAAACGACACCATCAACTGCAACGTCTGCAACTTCACCTCTTAGTGCTGCTGTGAGGTTGCTGAGGCGTCTTGTCCTGCAGCTATGGTATACCATATTGCCCCGTGCTAATCGGCACCTGAGTGGAGGGTTCTTCGTGCGCATGAGATTTCGTTATTATTTATCATTGCCGTGCATACTGGCAAACTTGTGTTGCTCTATTTCTTTCCCGTGCCTGCTATTATCACTTTAATGGGTGTTGGAGTTTGTTTGCTCGGTGCATGGCTGTGTTGTGATGACTTGCTGTTTTGTAACATGTGAAGGGCTGGTTGGTAGAGTTGAGGGGATTTTGACCGTGCTAATGATTTCCACCGAAATCTGACCCAATGCAGTCATACTACTATTAAGGGCGCGTTCGTTCTTGCCGAACCTGACAAAGTTCGAACTCAAACCGCTTTGCACCGTGGCAAAACGTTTTTAATTGTATTCTACCGTGACGAACCGTTACAAAAGTTCGAACTTTTAGTCAGGTTCGGCAAGAACGAACGCGCCCTAAACAATTTGCATCCCCCCTGATACTGCAGCGTTCCTCAGCTCCCGAAGCAAGCACCCGAAGGCGATTCCCTCCATAGGCTCGTCAAACCCAAGGACCGCTCTCTCGGCCGTTGATACACGAAGAATGCCCGTAAAGATCGAGAGATGCTCCCCCAACCGTTTCCCACACCACACCCGAACTAGCCTCTGTTGTATTTCGTGTCAGCCAGTTTGTCCTGCTCGTGTAACTGCAATTCCCATGAGCTGGCACGCAGCCAGACATGTTTTTGCAAGCACTGAACACCCCCGTGACCGAATTTCGCTGGCGCAAGCATGCGCTTGCGCTCCTGGTCGCGGAAAGTATTCCTGCTGGTTCTGTTTGACTTGTGGTGCTTTCCCGCGCAACACAACAAAATCCGCAACTGGGTTCTTTAGCGACACCCGACCTAACCTCGCTCCGCCGATCGTTCTTCCTTGCCCTTTCAAAATCTCCCCTCCAACCGTCCCAATGTCTTTTGTCCCCTCCCGCGCAGCAATTCTCCTCCATCCCCTCCCCTCCCGAAAGTCGAGGCGGAGCACCGCGACTGACCCCCTCCTTCCCCCCTCCCGCACCATGCGCTCGGGCACTGGCAGAGCGGTCTTGCGCGTTTTCTCGGAGCCTCCCCCCTAAAAGCCAGGACTGTTGTTTGTGTGCGCATGCAGCAGGGGCCGAGAGCGAACCGAACCAAACAGCAACAGGTATGAGTGTAGTGTACGTACGGCACAGAACAGTGCTTTTGAAACTCCAACATCCAAACCGACCAAACCAGGAAACTGTTCCGTGCTGATTGCTGCACCTTGGGAATGGATAGTTCTTGTGAGTGGGAGGGGAACGGGCATGGAGATTACACGGTCGGTCGGTCGGCGCCGGACTGGAATAGGTTCCTAATGCAGTTCAAAAGTGATTAGTTTAGGTTTTAATACGTAGTCTTTCCCATGAGTTTTTTTGTTGCCAGCAGAAGCGATGGCGAAGAACAGCGGGACGTCGGTGTTACCGTTTGAGCTGCCATCACCGTCGTTCCTCCACGCACAGCACCAAGGGTCGCCATTGCCACACCAGACATCCCGACAGCAGCTTGCATCGCAGCACGAGGCGTCGCGTCGCGATGCACCCAGGAAAAAAACGATAATGCCATCCAACACTGAGCTTGACAGAGCAAACCCCGGCGGACCTGTCAAAACCAGCCACGTGGCTTCGTCAAATTCCTACCATGAGACAGTTTTAGTCCCCCGCTCGGCAGTCCCGAGGTCCGTGACTTGGAACACGCAGCAGAATCAGCAGGGTGACGTCAGCAGGCCTCGCACAGCGAACCCTAACTCGACGGTAGGACCCGCAGCGCATCCGAAGCACATCCCGCAGTCTAGAACCGACCCGTGCGAGGAGATTAACTTCGAAGCGCGGATTGCAGCGGCACGGGTAGAAGGCAGGAGTCGCGCGTCGGGTGTAAAGGTTACCACGAGTTACGGCAGGACGGCGATTACGACTTATGAAGAGGAGCCTTCATATGGTGGTTCAAAAGGGACTAATTCGCCTAATGACGTCATCAGCCATAGTTTCCTTCCTTCAGAGAGTAGTCTATCTACCACCGACTCTCACGGCGGGTCCGGCGGTCCTTATCCGGCAGATTTGGAAGCAGAAAACCGCCATCTAAGAGGAGTGGAGGAGAGTGAAAGCGCGAGCCCGAATGCGACAAAGAGTCCCGGTGGAAGGAGACGGAGAGCGCTGGTGAAGCAAGGCGAAGACTCAAACGGAGGGTCCTTTAAGGAGGATAAGAAAGGCCGGACCTGGCGCATGCCGAGCCTCCGGAGGCGGCACAGCACCAATGGGAGGGACGACGGAGGTCCGGAAGAGCCCGTTCCAGAGCCTCGGAAGGGCCAAGCTCCGGCAGGCTCGGATGCCAGCCCTGAGGTTCCGCCTCGGCGGCCGTTTTACTCCGCGTCATTCGGGTATGTGAGCGAAAGAAGGAGGAGCTTCGAAGAGGAGGAGAGGCATGACTCGGACAGGAATGTCCACCGCAGCAGCAGCAGCAGCAGCGCTCAACGTCCCAGCAGCGGCGGAAGCAACAGCGGCGGAAGCGGAAGCAAGAAGAATCTTCCGCATTCCGCGTCTCCGGATAATGACCACCGCGGAAGCACGGACCCGGAGCCCGCGCGCAGATCCAGCATGTTCCGCCACGCGCGCCCGAAAACTCCCGAGAAGCCGCTGTTCCCGGAGAGAAAGGCCATGTCTGAGTCGTTTTCTTCCGCCGGCTCCAGCCGACAGGCGGACTTCTTCCCCCCGCCGTCGCGCGCGGCCGCCATCGCGGCGGAGAAGAAACGGCAGGCGAAGGCGCGGGGGGAGGGAAGCCTGGGGGGGATCAGGGGCGTGTTCTCCCGCAGCAGCAGCACCGCTTCGCACCAGCAGCAGCAGCAGCGGCGGCGGCGGCGGCAAGGTGGGTAGCGGTAACCAGGAGTGCAGCGGCGAGAGTAGCAGAAGCGGCGGGGACGGGTTGGGTCAGAGCGGAGGGGGCATGATGAGGCGCTCTAGTAGCAGCCTCACCACGCGGAACAAGAGCAGCGGCCATGGCAGCAGCAACAGCAACAGCAATAGCTACGCTAATACCAGCAGCAGCAGCGGCAAGCAGCCGGAGGTCTTTAACGAGGATAGCTCGTCTGATTCGTTACAGGTGATAGACGGAGGAGAGGATCGGCACGAGGTTCTCCCCGTGCCTGCCCTGCCTCGGATCCGAACCAACGCCGCCTCCCCGGGGCGGGCGCTCAGCCGCAGGCTCGGGCTGTCACTGAAGCTCCCCCATGGGCGGAACGGGGCGAGCGGGGAGGGGGAACGCGGGGGCGAAGGGGGAGCGATGGGGGGAGTAACCGGGGGATATAGGGAATGGGAGAGGGAAGCGCTGGCGCGGGGGTACGGGAAAGGGGAGCTGGCGCAGCGGCTTAAGGCCCGGGGGGGGTCCTTGAAAGGGTGTTTGTTTCCGCCCTTGTCCCCGTCAATGGCTGACGCAATACAAGGGGAGGAGATTCGCGAGCGCGCAAACCGTCTGCAGAGCCTGCAGCTTCGACGGGAAGAGCGGAAGGCGCTGCGGAGCAGTGGCGGGGAGGGGGGCGTTGCGGCGGGGGAAGGGCGGAAGGGCGAGAGGGAGGCGGAAGGGGAGGCGGAAAGGGGAATGGCGGAAGGTGAGGCGGACTACGAGGGTAGGCTGGGCAGAGCGGAGAGGGCGGAGAGGGCGGAGAGGGCGGAGAGGGCGGAGAGAGCGGAGAAGGCGGAGAGGGCGGAGAGAGTGGAGAGGGCAGAGAGGGCGGAGAGGGCGGAGAGGGCGGAAAGGGCGGAGGAGCAGGGGCGGGAGAGGGGGAGCGACTCAAGTGAAGAGTCGATACCATTGAGTGAGGTTTCGCAGGGGAGTGGGCAGGGAGCGGGCGAGACGAGGACAGTCATCGAGGCGATTTTGGAGAAGCGACGGCAGATCAAGGCGCAGCGAAGGGCGGCTGCGCGGGGGGAAAGGACGCGGGGGGAAGGGCCGCGGGCGGAAGTGCCACGGGCGGAAGTGCCACGGGCGGAAGGGCATCAGGGCGAAGAGTTAGTGAAGAGTGGGGATGGGGAGGAAGAGGGGTTGGGGGCGGGAGAGACGGATTCGGTTGCCAGGGCGGCAGGTCAGGGGACGGCTGTAGCTGTCCGGGGTGCAGGTGACAGTATGGAGAGTGATTTTAACGGTGGTGGCGCGGGTGGCGTCGTGGAAAGACAGACTGGGCGATTGGGCGCTGATGCCGAACCTGCTGGTCCGGTGGGTGGTCCGGGTGAGGGCAGGGACGGGGAGAAGGAGCAAGAAACTGAGGAGGAGGGGGAGGGCGCGAAGGAGAAGGAGAAGCAGGAGAAGCGGGAGGTGGAGGTGGAGGAGGAGGAAGAGGAAGACGAGGAGGGATGGGAGAGTCCCGAGCCAATAGAGCGGTCGAGCACGTGTGACGGGCGGATAGGGGGCAGTCGCGACGAGGACCAGTGGATGCGAGTCAGAGAGGCCGCCGCCGCTGCTGCCGCTGCCAGAAGAGCCGCTGCGGTGGGGGGCGGGGGAGGGGTGCGGGCGGGGATTTGGGGGGAGAGAGGGGGCGGGTTTGCGGGAGGAGGGCGGATGGAGGGCAGCGGGACCCCGCCTAGAGCACCACACCATGTGGCAGGTGGTCTGGGTAGTTTGGGTTTTCCTTTAGGTGGTATTCCTATTCCGCCCAGGAGTCATGTGCGGTCGGCTAGTCATGGGGCTGATAGTGCTGCTCTGGCGCTCTTCTCCTCCTCTGCTGCTGGTAGGGCCCGCAGCCCGTCTGCTGGTGCTGGCGGTCGTTCCAGTGGCGCTGCTGCTGCTGCTGCTGCTGCTGTGGCTGCTGCGGCTGTTGCTGGTGAAACTGCTTTATCCCCCTCCTCACTCCATCATCATCAGCATCATCAGCATCACCACCACCACCAGCACCAGCACCATCAGCACCACCGCCTGCAGCATCTGCAACAGCTCCCCTCCACCCTCTCGCCCCAGCACCCCCACTCCCTCTCCCACCTCTCCGCCTCCTCCTCCGCCTCCGCCTCCTTCCGCCCATCCCTCCCCAAGAACTTCCCCCAGGTGCCCCCGCGCCCGCCCAGCCGCGCGCAGGAGGAGGGGGGGGAGCGCAGGAGGCGGAGGTTCGGGTCGTTTGGGTCGTCTGTAGCAGAGGATGACTCCAGTGGCAGCGACGCTTACTGCAGCCCTGTGCGCGCGGGCTCTCTGGGTTCTTCTGCTTCTCCCCTTGCCCCTGCCCTTGCCCCTGCCACTGCAGCTGCAGGTGCCACTGCCTCTGTGGGTGCAGTCTCAGGTGCTGCTGCTGCTGTTGGGACTGTGGGCAGTAGAGGGCTAGGAGGATCGATTTCCGCCCAGTCTCCTCTGTTTCGAGACCTCTCCCGAACCTCCTCTGCCTCTCCTGTTAGCCGCGCTGCTCTGGAAGCTCTCGGCGTAGGTTCGGGGGGAGGCTCGGGCGGAGGCATGGGGGGTGGCTTGGGGGCCTTGGGAGTGGGAAGGACCGGCCTAGACAGCCCGCTAGTGCGGAAGAAGCGGGACCAGCAGCAGCAGAGGCAGCAGCGGCGGCGGCGGTCGTTTGGTAGCAATCCGGATCAGGGCCAAGGAGGGGGAGAGCACGAGGACAGCACCCGTGGCGCTGATACCGGTGCAGGGTATTTAGAGAGAGAGGCGACAGAGGCTAGTGACCCGTGGGCCAACATGGGCGAGTGGGAGGGCAGGGTGGAATTGGAAGAGGCAGAGAGGAGCGGAGGGGGGGGAGCGGGGGCGTGGAGGGAGGGGGAAGGAGAGGAGGAGGAGGGGCATTTGACGATAGTACAGAGAGCTCGCTCCCCTGCCCCCATGCGTGGGGGCCATTTCACCTCCTCAAATCTCGAGTCCCCGGGAGTTTACAGCCCCTTCCCGCGCACGTCCTCGTCGTCCCCGCTGCAGTCGCCGCTGGTGCGATCGCCCTCGTGTGGCGTGCAGTTTGAGCATCAGCCGGTGATTCCGCTGCTGCTGCCCGCGAGGCTGAAATCGCCCATGCGGAGGGGCAAGCACGGGCGAGGGAAAGCGGCGCAGAGGGAAGGGCAACGAGACGGGCACAGAGGCGGGCAGAACAAAGCACAGGAACAGGGAGAGGGGCAGAGAGAAGGGCAGAATGAAGCACAGGGGCAGGGAGAGGAGGGAGAGGAGGGAGAGGAGGGAGAGGAGGGAGAGGAGAGGAGGGGTGAGGAGCGGGCAGTTGACATGCAGTTTGCTCCTCGTGGCAGCACGCGGGGGAAGATGGGGGGTGTGGCGCGCACCAGCAGTGCGCCTGCGCGCAGCCTGCAGGTGCTTCCGCCACAGGCGCTTTCCAGAGTGCGGCAGGGAGCAGCAGAGGCGGACCTTAGCTTCGAAGTCATGCTGAGCGAGAGTGAGAGGGGCAAGGGTAGGGAGGAGGACGAGGAAGAGGGGGAAAAGGAGGTGGAAAATGAAGAGGAGGAGGAAGGGAGAGGGAGCTGGAGGAGCGGGAAATGTAGCAAAGCGGGGAGCAAGGACGGGCGGAGTCTGAGACGAGAGGTGCATTCGAGCAGGGAGGTTGGTCTGGGCAGGGAGGACCGGAAGCTTATGCTGGGCAAGAAGTTTGCTTGGGGTGGGAGGGACCTGGGCGGTGGCAGAGGCAACTCCATGGAGCTCTCCTTCTCACGTATTCCCGTTGGGCGGTTGAATCTGAGCGATATTGACGAAGACATGGCGTCTGCTGCTTTGGAGAGAGAGGAGGGAGAGGGGGAGGGGAGAGAGGAGGGAGAAGAGGAGGGGAGAAGAGAGGGTGGAAGAGGGGGAGGTGCAGGTTCGGGTTCATCACAAGTGGACGGAAGTGCAGAAACAGCAGCAGCAGCAGCAGCAGCAGCAGCAAGAGCACCAGCAGGACCTGCACCAGCATCAGCAATTCGACCGAGTCTCAATCTTAGCATTCTTCTTAATGACCTACCTTCCCCCCAATCCCAGTCCCCCTTCCCACCCTCTGCACCGCACTCCACCCTTGACGGCCCCATTGCAGCTTGCCCATACAGGGAGTTCGGGCCTATCGCGCAGGCTCGGTGCCGAGCCGAGGAGGCTCGGATGCACTGGTCGTTGCTGTTCTCTCAGTATATGGATGTTCTCATGGGTGCTCTAGCAGGGGATGGGGGGGAGGGAGAGGAGGAGGTGGGGCGAAGGAGGAGAGTCGGAGAAGGGAGGGGGCGAGAGGAGGAAGAGGAGGAGGAGATGGAGGAAAGGTGGGGTGCGGGTGCCGGTTCTGTTGTTAGCGAAGGAGTTGGGGGTGGGGGAGGGGGAGGAGGAGTCATTAGAAGGAGGAGGGCTGGTGCAGGTTTGAACCTAACTCGCCCTGCTACTGTCGGGGCGGGTCCCTGGGACATGGAGCGTGGTTCTCAGGTGGGGGGGTTAGAAGGAAGAGTAGGTACAGCCGGAGGGAGAGGGTCAAGCGGAGAAGCAGCAGGAACAGCAACAGGAGCAGGAGGAGCATCTTCGGGAGCAGGGCATTCCTGGATGAAGGGTCGGTCGGGGAGGCTCGGCCGAGCCTGGTCTTCTGTCTCGGCGTCCCATCGTGAGTTTGAGTGGATCTGCCGCAAGTTCCAGGCAACTTCCGAGACGTCCGATCACCTGCCCGCGGTCAGCACCGGCGAAGTTTTCACGGCTGCCCTGGCTGTCTGGCTCAAGTTCTGGGACCAATGGGGCGACGGCCGGCCGTCCTGGGCAGCTGAAAATGATGACTCATCGCCCGAAGGGGAAGGAGGAGCGGAGGGGGGAGGGGGGGGCGGGGTGGGTGGGGGTCCAGCGACAGGAAGAGAGGGGAGAGGGGGAGGTGCAGGAGCAGGGGCAGGGGAGGGTGCAGTGGCTTGGAGGGGATATGGGCAGGCGGATGTGTGGCTGAGGAGTGATAGTGGCAATAGCAGGTGCAGTGGTAGCTCTCTCCTCTCCCCCTGTGGATGGAATGCAGATCTCTGCTGCTGCTGCTGCTGCTGCTGTGGCAGGGGTTCAAGAGGACGGGGATGGGATGGGCGGGGGGATGGAGGGGGGAGACGGGGCGGGGGACAGGGGCGGGGGAGGGGCAGGCGGAGGGGGAAGAGGGGGGAGAGGCGGGAGAGGGGCAGGGGGCGCGGAGCTGTATGTTGGGGGAGCAGCTGTGTCTCAGGGCGAAGTGATTGACTCGCCAGGGAAGCACAAGGGGTCGAGACTGGCAGCAGGGCAGTGGCATAGTATCACCTCCTCTGCTGTTGCTGCTGCTGCTGCTGCTCTCTCAGAGGACAACGAATCTAGTGAAGCACGGGCGGAGGGGGTGCAAGAGGAGGGAGAGGAGAGAGGGGCGAGAGACGGGTCAACTGAGAGGAGGGAGAGGGCTTCGAGCAGTATGCTGGAGAGGGAAGAGAGGGGTGGTAGCAGCAGCAGGAGGGTAAGGGAAGACAGGGCAAGGGAAGACCGGGCAAGGGACGCAAGAGTCCTGCATAGGGAGGAGAGGGCACTTGCAAGTTCGGGAGCAGAGCGGCCGTTCACCAGCGAGCAATCCCGGCCGTCGGTTTCTGAGAGGCAGCAGCATCAACCGCTCAGATCGCACCGTCCGTACACGGCTCATGTGCCCTCGGGCCTGGGGCGTGGCCCAAGCCAACCAGGTTCTATCAGCTCCCCAGCTGCTGCTGCAGTAGCAGGGGCTGCAGCAGGGGCAGGAGCAGGAACAGCAGCGGCAGCGGCAGCAGGAGTAGGAGCAGCACGAGGGGCAGAAGGGTCACATTCTTCTGACGTCTCCTCCCCGCCAACCCTGACCATCACTCCTCACCGCAAGCAGCGCTGGCGCCCCCCTCCTGAGTTTGACGATGCTGGCCGGGCAGAGGGGGGGAAGGCAGGCAGGAGCAGGAGCAGCAGCAGCAGCAGGAGGAACAACAGGAGGAGGAGCAGCAGGAAGGGCAGAAGCAGGAGGAGCAGGAGGAGGAGCAGCAGTATCGATAATGTCTCGGCTGGTGAAAGATGCGTTGGCAGGAGGAGAAAACTTTCTGTCAGCGCGCTGTCAGCACGACGACATTCTGCTGTTTGTGGGCGTGGCTGCGGCCATCAGCGCCTGGCGCCCCGCCACTGCCGCTGTCATCCTCCTCCGCGTGCTCGACCGCATCGCCTTCTTCGAACGCCTCCTGGAGCAGCAGCAGTTGCAGCAACGGGGAGGTGGTGTGGTGACGCCGACGAGAGGGGGTGGGACTACTCCTACCAGAGGGTCGACGTCCACTAGAGGGGGTGTAGGTGGGTTCAGCACTACACCTTTAAACAGCACTCCCTCCTCTCCCACGTATGGCATGCGTCCCTGGACCACCCCTATCCATGCTTCTGGCGCCGCTGCTGCTGCTGATACCAGTCTTAGCATTAGTATCAGCAGCGCTGGGAGTCACGTGCCCCCAGGTGCAGCCTCCCCCCGTTCCACCTCCCCCCAGAATGGTTCTGTTCTTCTGGGCGGCAAGCGGGCGGGCGCGAACCTGCCTGCGTGCCGCTCGTTTGTCGTGTCGTGCCTGTTGGCGGTTTTGTCCTCTTGTGAGGACCGGGCGGCGGCAGCCATGGCGGCCGCCACGCCAGCAGTGCAGCGGCTGCTGATGTGGCAGGAGGCGAGTGGGTGCGATGGGGAAGGGGGCGGGGAGGGGGTAGGAGGGGAAGTCCTAGAGGTAGTACTAGAGGAAAGGGATGATGGAGAGGAGAGCTCTCTCGCTGCTGCTCCCGCTTCTGCTTCTGCTGTCGCTGTTGCGGGTAGCAGCAGCACCACAGGTAGCGTGCGAAAGCAGCCAAAGAAGCGCCGCGGCAGGCTTCCCAGCTTCTCGGCCCCATCCCCCTCTGTCCCAGGCCCTTCCTTCCGCACGGCATGGTCCCCCATGTCTCTCGCCTCTCTCTCAGAGGTTGCTCTAGCTGAAGGCTTAGCCGCTGCCAAGCACTCGAGCCTGGAGGAGCGGTGCGAGGAGCAGGATCGGCTGTACCTGCAGCTCAGCCTCGGCCCGGGCCTGTTGGCTATGACGCTCTCGGCAGCCATGCGGGACCTGCCGAACCTGCATCCGGACGATACCATGGCTGTAGCTTCGGCGGTGGAAGGTATGGGGGTGGAGGAGGCGGCGTTTCACGCAGGGTTGCGGGCGGTGGCGAGTGGGAGGCTGGGTGCGGAGGGGTTTGATGCGGTTGTGAGGATGGTGTTTGTGGGGCGAGGGGTTCAGTCTGTGGCGATGAGATTCGCCAAGCTGACTGCTGCGGTGAAATCGGTGCGGTTTCTGGGCGGCGGGAGCGGGGCGGCCGGCGCGCCGCCCGGAGGAGCTGCGGGGGCGGGGATGCTCGGACTGGGCGGCAGCGCGGGCGGCAGCATGGCCGGCGGTGCGGGCGGCAGTGCAACCGGCAGCGTGACTGCAGTAGGCACGTCAGAGAGAGCAGCAAACTCGTGGGGGAGAGCTGGGGTTTCTGCTTCTGCTAAAGAAACTGGCACTGCCAGTGGGAATGCTAGTGGAGGAGGGGGGGCGTTGGGAGGGGTCCTCTCGCTTTTCGGCTCCCAGAAACAGCGGCCCAGCACCAGCTATGTCAGCACAGGCGCTTCTAGCTTCGGCGCCGGACCTGCCGGCAGCGTCGGCGGGTACCAAACCTCCAGCCACGGCAACGCCGGACCTCAGGCCAGTCCTAGGACTCCCGGGGGAGGCCCGTCCAGTGTGGTTTCTAGCCCGAGAAGCATCACCAGCGACCAGCATCACCACCGCTACAGCCAGAACCACAACCACCAGCAGCAGCACCACCACCACCACCAGCAGCAAAGCAGCCCTAAATCCACCTCTTCCCACAGTCCCAACCCAGCTGCTCTCTCCTCCTCGGTCTCTCTCCTCAGCTCCAGCACTCCCAAGTGGGCGTCTGCTGCTCTTGCTGCTGCTTCTGCCTGGGGTACCGCCATGCAAGGCCGTGGGGGGTGGATGGGGAGAAAGCAGGGGCAGCGGATAGTAAGTCGGATACCAGGAGCATTGCAGGAAGCTGCCGGGAAGGTGCGGTTGCGGATGCGGGGAATTTGGCTGCGATTGGGAGTGGAGGGGGTGGGAGTGGGAGTAACAGCAAGAGGTGGGATTTTTTCATGGGCAGTTTCACGGGCAGCAGGGGCGGGGCTGGGGCAGTGGAGGACGACGTTTTGTCGACGGAAGGAGGGCTTGGCCCGGGCAGCGAAATTTCTGTCAGCAGTGTTGGTGCCCGTAGCGCTTCCGCTTCTGCCGCTGGTGCTGCTATAGCCAGTGGTGGTGGTGGTGGTTTTGCAAGTGCTATTGCTGCAGCTCTTACCAGCACTGCCAGTATCTGCAGTGGTGGTGGCGGCGCTGGTAACCGCGGTAACAACGGTAACGGGTTCGGGTGGGGTAACGGGAGCAACTGGGGCGGCGGCAGCAACTGGGGTGGCGGGACGAATGGTGCGCTGACACCTGGCAACGGGGGGTGCACTCCACGTGCTCTCACCCCGCGATCGGCCGCAGCAGCAGCACCAGCAGCAGCAGCAACAGCAGCAGCAGAAGAGCTCTTATGTGTCTGAGTTTGTGGCAGCGGTGCTGAGGAGTGAGGAGATGAGGAAGCAGCATGCATGGGCGTATGAGGTGCTGTTGAATTTCCTCCGCATCAACAGCCGAGGGGCTCCCATGGAAGAGCGGGAGCTGGACCTTTGTGCGCGAGTGAGTGGTTCTTTCCTCGGCTTGTGCCCTTGAGAATCGGGCGCGAACCTTTTTCCTCTGCCAAAGATGCCCCATGCCAGTGTGTCTCAGATGTCAGGGAAAAGATGCATGGGATGGCAACACGCACTTGTGATGGGCGCTTTGCTAAAAGAAACACCTTTCCAAATCCCATCATCCTTTCGCCTTCCGCTCCTCCCTCCACTCACCACAGGTGGTGCTCAACAAGTGGCTCGGCGAGGGCTCCGAGGCTGACCGCGAGGCTCGGGCAGTGGCTCGGGTGGAGAGGATGGGCAATCCAGGGTCGGAGGTGGGGTGGCCCATGTGGCTGCGCATCGGACGGCTGGTGGAGAGCGAGATGAGCCACATGCCACGTCTGATGGAGGCCATGCACGCACTGTCCATCTGGCTCAACTACGATGTGAGTCTCTCTCCTCTCACCCGCTCTTGATAAGGTGGGTTCCAACTTCCAAGGTGAGTGATGTGAAGATGCGGCTGGTGGAGGGCGAGATGAGCCACATGCCGTGCCTGATGGAGGCCATGCACGGCACGCACTGTCGATATGGCTCAACTATGACGTGAGTGTTCTGGGTTGTAAGGTGACTCGGAGCTAGTCTAAAGGCTGGTGGGGAGCGAGATGAGCCACATGCCGCGACTCATGGAAGCCATGCACGCTCTTTCTGTATGGCTTAACTATGATGTGAGTCTCTTTTATGCACCTGCATCTGAGGTTTCCCAAAAGCAGCTCAGTGTTCCCCCACTACCAACCTATTCCCCACTTACCCCGCTCGTACCCCCCTTGCCCGATCCCTCACCCCACCCCCCTTGTATCTCCTTCTCCGCATTACGGAAACTCGAAGAGGATGGGTCGTGCACGGACGCGACGGCAGGGGAGGTGTTGGATTGGGGCATGCACGGGCTGCTGCACGTGCTCCCTGTGTGTTCCCAACACTGCCCTCTCCTCTTGTTCCCACCCCCTGGTTCCGCTCTCTTCTGTGCAGAGACTAGAGGAGGACGGGTCGTGCACGGACGCGACAGCAGGGGAGGTGTTGGATTGGGGCATGCACGGGCTGCTGCACGTGCTCCCTGTGTGTTCCCAACACTGCCCTCTCCTCTTGTTCCCACCCCCTGGTTCCGCTCTCTTCTGTGCAGAGACTAGAGGAGGACGGGTCGTGCACGGACGCGACAGTAGGGGAGGTGTTGGATTGGGGCATGCACGGGCTGCTGCACGTGCTCCCTGTGTGTTCCCAACAGTGCTGACTTTTGAGTCGACTCAAAAGTCTGCACGTGCTGCCAGAGGGCACTCCACAATGCTTTCCCCCATCCCCAATCCCCCCACCCCTCTCTTTCCCTCTCCCTCCCCCCATGCCAGAAACTCGAAGAGGATGGGTCATGCTCAGACGCCACAGCAGGGGAGGTGTTGGACTGGGGCATGCACGGGCTGCTGCATGTGCTGCCAGAGAACTCCCCCGCGCAGACTCTGCTTGACCTGCTTGACCCGGAGGACGATGACTGGGTGGACTTGTCGCTGGCTGTCGTGGCGCGCATCGCTGCCTGCCCCAGCGTGCACTGGCCTGTCAAAGGGGGGTCGGCGTTGTTCGTTGCTAAACTGCTCACCCTTGTGGAAGACTGTGAGTGCCTCTGCTGTACTCTCCTCAACTCGGTTTGACTTGCTTGACCTGGACTATGGTGTCTGGGTGGGCGTGTCTTTCTCTCTGGTGCACCTGCGTTGTCTGATGCAGTATTCTTCCACCCTCCCACCTCACCCATTTCCCCTCCTTCCCTGCTTCCTGATCAATCAAAGGCGCCGAAATTATTCATGGCAGGGCACGGCCTTTTGCAAACCCTACCATGAATTCTGCTGTTTTGCCTCCATGGCTTCTCCCTGATACCTCCCTCACCCTTCCCTTACCCCACCCTCTCCCCTCCCTGCAGGCGCTGAGATGACGCGCGACCAGCAGAGCCGCGCCGTGCAGGTGGCGGTGCAGCTGTGGGGGTGGGCCATGCCCAAACGCGAGCAGCTGCTGGAGCAGTGCGAGGTGAGAAGCAGCAAGGGTTGGGATGGTGAGGGTGGGGGTAGGGATGTTGTCAAAAGTGGAAGGGATGGTGAGAGCCTTGTGTGTGTGTGGGGGTGGTCCATGCCCAAACGGGAGCAGCTGCTGGAGCAGTGCGAGGTGAGAGGCAGCGGGGAAGGGGGGGGAACCGAGGAAGAGAGAACGAGAAAGGGGGGCTGAGGGGGTGGCGAGGCTGAGAGGTGTATGGCGGTGCAACTGTGGGGGTGGGCCATGCCAAAACGGGAGCAGCTGCTGGAGCAGTGTGAGGTGAGGGGCAGAGGATAAGCAGGGCGAAGAGGAGGGGATCTTTTTCCAGGGGTTAAATCTAGGATTGGGGGGAGGGAGGAGATGGGGGGGGAGGGGAGTGGGGAGGATGAGAGGCGTGTGGCAGGATGGCAGTGCGGGTGAAGGGGGTGGGGGCAAGCCACTCGTGAGCAGTACTGCCACTCGTGAGCAGTACTGCCACTCGTGAGCAGTACTGCCACTCGTGAGCAGTACTGCCACTCGTGAGCAGCACTGCCACTCGTGAGCAGTACTGCCACTCGTGAGCAGCACTGCCACTCGTGAGCAGTACTGCCACTCGTGAGCAGTACTGCCACTCGTGAGCAGCACTGCCACTCGTGAGCAGCACTGCCACTCGTGAGCAGTACTGCCACTCGTGAGCAGCACTGCCACTCGTGAGCAGTACTGCCACTCGAGAGCAGTACTGCCACAGGCGTTCTTTCTTAGAATCCTCAACAACAACCACAGCACTATGACCACATGTGAACAGCGGAGAGGTTCTCCATCACGCTGGACTCTGCTTGACTCTGGTTGACTTAGGGTTGACTTTGTGAGACTTTTGTCCTGATCTGTCCTCTGCTGCCCCCATCTCGCCCCTCCCTCCCTGCCCCCCTTCAGACCGAGGAGGAGGTCATGGAGGTTCTCAATTGCTCAAGTGTTGACTCTGGTTGACTCTGGTTGACTTTGTGAGACTTTTGTCCTGATCTGACGTGTGCCGCCCGCATCTCGCCCCTCGCTCCCTGCCCCCCTTCAGACCGAGGAGGAGGTCATGGAGGTTCTCGACCGCTCAGCTGCTGCCACGTGGCGCTCTGTTGCTCTTGGAGGTGCGCTCTGTTGGCCAGTACCTTCTTTGTGGGTTTGCTTGGGATGTGCTGGTGCTGATGCCAGTGACATTACAGTCCGCACTTCCATTATGTTTTTTCTTTTTATTAAGTGGCCTCTTAAGGGGCACCAGGCACCTGAGTAGTGTACCCTAACACTACTTTGGCTTGTTATTTTCACTCAAGTCTCAGTCAGTCAGCCTTTTTCAAGTCCCTCGTCTGGTTCACTCCTGTCCTCACTCTCTCTTCGCCCCCTTTGTTCTACCGCCCTCTGTCTGTCTACAGCTACGGCTTCTGTGCTGGGTTGAAATTCAGCCAAGGCAAAAGCAGCAGAGTTGCTTAAAAGGCTATTTTGATTCAACATTTTCCTTAGGCGGCTGATAATCTCTGCTGGTTCAACTTTTTTACAGCTTCCCTTCAGTACGCCCTTCAATTCTCCCTGCGGTGCAACTTGTAAATTATTTTCGGGGCATGCTCTCTGACCTGAAGGCTCCTCATTGGCTGCGTGCCCTCTGATAACCTGCCCGTCTGCGCTGCCTGCCATGAATGCCCTACCTGCCGTACCTGCCCTTACTGCCCTTACTGCAAGCCGTATTGTGTCACTGCATTAACAGCTTTGCTACAGTGCTTTGAGGCGACCTTTGCTACACGGCACCTCGTTCCAACGGCACACAACACGGCGCACGTCGTTTCACAGCATCAACGGCTTTGCTACAGTGCTTTGAGACGACTCTCCAAAGGTTCTGCGAAATCACAGCACGCAGCCGCTAATTCTCCAATGATTTTATAGCTGACCTTGGCTGTGTGTGCTGTGCACTGTATTTATTCTCGCTTGTAACTAACCCTTCAATAGGTAGGACCTGACGGAATGTGCTTCATAAGCATTCCTTTTGCCGCTTTTGTTTTTGCCGTCTTGTTTGTTACTCTACTGCTCGTTAGGAACCTTCCCTGTATGTAGTAGATTGTGCATTTCATAGTTCCTTTTGTTGTATTCGTATCTCTGTGATCTATTCACGTACGTGTTTGGATGCAAACATTTTTTGGGGGTCTCGGGATTTTTATCGCGTACGAGACAATTCAAATCCCCAGCCATTCCTCCCCACAATACCGATGGCGGAGCCAAACGCGTGGCTCGCGGCGGTGCGCGCCGACTACTGCGCCGCGGGCGTCGTTCCGTACTGCTACGACGATGCCGGCCGGTTGTTCTTTCTGCTCCAAACCGAAGGGTGCGGGCATTGCCCCCCCGCGCGATCGCATCCGCGCGTAATCAAGCCTCCGCGAGCGGGCGCGCGCATGGGGCTCCCCGCGCAAGCGCATCCGCGTGCGACGCAACAAAGCAGAATCAGGATGAAGAGGAGAACAGGCAAGCGAGTGCAAGTCCTTCGGATCAGCCGCAAGAGATAGTAGTGAAGCAGGAACCGGATCAAGAGAATGAGGAGGAGCAAAAGAAAGCGAGTGCAAGTCTTTCAGATCAGCCGCAAGAGATAGTAGTGAAGCAGGAACCGGATCAAGAGAATGAGGAGGAGCAAAAGCAAGCGGTTGCAAACCCCGCGGATCAGTCGCAAGATACTGCAGCGGAGAGCGGCGCGGAGAAGCGGAAGAGGATGAACGAGCAGTTGCGGGCGGAGCTGGCGCAGGAAGACCCGCGGAGTCGGAAGAAGCGGCTAAAAGCGCTCAAGGCGGAGTATCGGCGGAGGGAAAGCGCGCGGAAGCGGGAGGAGAAGCTGCAGGATCAAGATCAGGATCAGGAGCAAGAACGTGAGGAGGAGCGAAAGCGAGAGAGTCAAAGTCCCTCGGATCAGTCGCAAGAGCCTGTAGCGGAGAGCGGTGCGGAGAAGCGGCGGAGGTTTCTCGAGTACGCGCGGATGCGGTTGGCGCAGTTGGCGCAGGAAGGTCCGCGGAGTTGGAAGAAGCGGCTGGAAGAGATCAAGGCGGAGAGCCGCCTGCGGGAGCAGGGGCGGCAGCGGCAGGAGAAGCGGAGGCGGGAGATGCAGAAGAGCGGAGTGTTTTTGCTGGACTTCGGGGGGAAGAAAGAGGAGGCGGACAACCACTCCCCCTCCGCACTGCTGCGCGGTATGCCGCTCCTCATTCCCCCGCTTCTCGGCTTCCCCGCTCCCCTGCTCCCCCGCCCTCCCCACTCCCCCGCCACCTTGTGTCGCCCTAGAATCAATCAGGAGGTGAGTGATTCTTGCTGAACCCCCGATGAGTCTCATGTTTCAACCCCATGTGCCGCCTCGCTGTGCCTCTGTGCTGCTGCCGCGGTGAAGGGAGTACAGGAAGTTGATTGATTTTTTACGCACCCCTAATGAGTCTCATGTTTCACCCCCATGTGTCTCGCTGTGCCTCTGTGCTGCTGCTTCGGTGCAGGGAGTATGTGGAGGAGTATGAAGCTGGCTATTACAACCTCAAGGGTACAAAGTGGGAGAAGCGCATTGTTGACGTGGCAGCAGCGCTCGCGGACCAATCAGAGTCCTTCTACAGCGGGAACAGCGGGCACGTGTTCTTCCTCTGCCACGCGGACCGCCTAAATAGCCCCAAGCAGGCCGGCAGCAGTGTGACAGACAACAGCGTGATTGAATCGAACGGAACGAACGGCACTGCAACAGGCGGTGCTGCTGTGACAGTAAAGAAAATATCTGCAGCTGCCACCACCCCAGCAGTGCCTGCTTCAGTAGTCGCGCGGCTGAACGCCAGGTGGGTGGATGCATCCAAAGTGATGGACCATCTATTGAATAAGAAGAGATTAAAGCCCGCGCTGCACTATCGTCTCAACCCGTCGGGCCCTGCAGGCGGCGTTCCTGAACTTGTGGCTTGCATCGCACGGCTTCAGGAGATTGGGAGTGCTCGCGCGAATCCTCCTGTGAATCCTCCTGTGAATCCTCCTGTGAATCCTCCTGTGAATCCTCCTGTGAATCCTCCTGTGAATCCTCTTGTGAATCTTCCTGTGAATCCTTCTGTGAATCCTCCTGTAAATTCCGTGAATCCTCCTGCTTTGTCTGATACGCCAAAAGTGCTCACTATGCGTCAGAAAAGGAGGCATCGTAAACGCATGAGAACCGAGGTCGTAGCCTGCATCGCACGGCTTCAGGAGATTGGGGGTGCTCGCGTGAATCCTCCTGCGGGTCCTTCTGTGAATCCTCCTTTGAACCCTCTTGTGAATCCTCCTGTGAATCCTCCTGCTCTGTCTGATACGCCAAAAGTGCTTACTAGGCGTCTGCAAAGGAGGCATCGTAAACGCATGAGAACCGAGTCTTGTACTAATGCATGTTAAGCCGTGTGTTTCATCTTTTATCTGTGATTCTCATCATGCTGTTGTGTTGTTAATGCATGTTTATCGTGACAGGACAGGCTTACGGTACTACCATGTTGATTTGTTTAAGAAGTTCGCAAGAAGTTTAATAGTGTAGCATCCACTCTAGGTTCTCAAATTATATGCGCCATATAGGTGTTTTGTTATGTATACCGGTATTTACTGTAAGGTGCATACAAGCTTGGGAGCACCAACAGTGCACCCCATGTGCGACCAACCTGTGTATTCACCAATTCCCTCACACTAGTAAAACACCACAGCTGCCTAAATAACCTAAATGCACCCTTTCTCCCCCCCTTCCCTCTTCCCCCCTCCTCTTACCCACTTCAGCATAATGCACACCTCACTATCAGATGATACAAGGCAGACAAGACATCACTAGTCAGTGCGCTCCCCCTGATCAGTGTCTGCAGCACCGCGTCGCCTCCCCTCCACATCCCCTCCCCTCCGCATCCCTCCTGTCCCGCATCCACGTTCGCTCCTTCCCCCCTTCACACATCAAACACAGCCATGCGGTCTGCAATGTGCCGCCTGCATATGGGGCACTGCCGGCACTTGTCTGCACAGGGACTGGTGGTGTGTACAGGGAAGGGAGGGGGAGGGGAAGGGGGAAATAGGAACAAGGAAATGAGACGGGCCTAGCATATGGGGCACTGCCGGCACTTGTCTGCACAGGGACTGGTCGCACAGCACCTTCTCCTGCTGCGCGCGCTCCACCTCCCAGCCTCACGCCACTGCCCCCCTCTGCTCCCAGTGCTCTCTCACCCTCTTTCATGCAACTCACTGGCACAGCACGCACTGTTTTAGGATGACTCAGAACCGACTCTCTTGTAACCCAATCACAGCCGTAAGACGTGTCACTCACTGGCAGAGCACCCGATGACGGCAGGGCAGCAGCACGAGGCTGATCTCGCGCTCGAAGCACACGCGGCACAGCACCTTCTCCTGCTGCACTCGCTCCAGCTCCTGCCGCTGCGCCTTGCCCGTCTCCACCTGCTCCGCCAGTGCTGCCTGCAGCCGCACCACCTCCTCTGCTAGCTGGCCTTTTCTCATTCTCTTGATGTGGTCGGGCGGGACAGCCTCAAACGTATCGTATGTGCTGTGGAGGGGGGGGGGAGGGGAGGGTAGGTAGCGCAGTGGAAGGGGATAAGCGGACTGCACTCAGTACCTTGCCCGTCTCCACCTGCTCCGCCAGTGCTGCCTGCAGCCGCACCACCTCCTCTGCTAATTGCCCCTTGCGCATGCGCTTTATGTGGTCCGGTGGTACTGCCTCAAATGTGTCGTATGTGCTGTGGAGGGGGTTGGAGGGCGGGTGAAAAGGGAAGAGGCGGAGGTTGGTAAGGTGAATGATGCGGTATGGTAAGGTGAAACCCCATCAAACTCACCGAGGAAAGGGAGGGTCTACTTTTGAGTAGACTCAAAAAATGGCTCATCCTCATCAAACTCACCTGGGAAACAGCGAGGCAGTGAGGCTCTTCTGCTCCTCCCGCACCTCATTGTCCCGCCACCACCACCCCGCCAGCCGCATCCCACCACCTACGCAGCACCCTCACCTCTCTCACTCAATGTATCTCATTTTTCTTCTTCCAACACTCACCCAGGGAAAAGAGAAGCAGTGAGGCTCTTCTGCTCCTCCCGCACCTCATCATCTCGCCACCACCACCCCGCCAGCCGCATGCCCTTCGTCACAAACATGAACGGGTCATGCTCCCGCAATCTAGACAGAATCCTCACCTCTCTCACTCGATGTGCCTCTGGTTGCTTCTCCCATCATCGTCCCGCCACCACCACCCTGTCAACCGCATACCACCCACATCCCATCTGCATACTTGTCCTCGCCACTCACCCAGGAAAGAGAGAGGCTGTGAGACTCTTCTGCTCCTCTCGCACTTCATCATCCCGCCACCACCACCCCGCCAGCCGCATGCCCCTCGTCACAAACATGAACGGGTCATGCTCCCTCAATCTAGGCAGATTTCTCACCTCTCTCACTCGATGTGCCTCTAGTTGCTTCTCCCATCATCGTCCCGCCACCACCACCCTGTCAACCCCATACCACCCACATCCCATCTGCATACCCATGCTCGCCACTCACCCAGGAAAAAGAGAGGCTGTGAGGCTCTTCTGCTCTTCCCTTATTTCATCATCCCGCCACCACCACCCCGCCAGCCGCATGCCCCGCGTCACAAACATAAACGGATCATGCTCCCGCACTACCGCCGAAAACCGTCGCCCGGACTCGGGCGCGTACAACAACATCACCCCCTCTGCGAGCTGAGTCAGCGCTGACATCAGCGCTGCCAGCTGGACAGCAATGAGTGGCGAGAAGAGCATCCAATAAGACATGTGCGCTGCCCAGTTTGGCTGGCCTTCGAGACGCATGCATAGCAGCACTTGGAATACTATGACTCCGGCTTTAAGTAGATGTCCCCCCACCTCTGGGGCACCACAGTGAAACTCCACCTCACTTTCACTGTCATCATCCCCCCCCTCCTCACTCCCTCTCGCCCCTCCTCCCACGGCTCCCGGCCCTCCTCCTCCCACCCCCCCTCCCACCCCGCCTCCCACCCCTCCGCCCCCTGAAACTCTCTCTTCTCTTCCTCCCCCTGCTCCACCTCCGTCCCCTCCTCCTCGTCTTATCTCTGCCTCTTCATCCTCCTCCGCCTCCTCCCCCTCTCCTCCTCCCCCCCCTCTTCTGCTCCCTCTCCCTGCCCTTCCTGCACCCAACCCTCCACTTCCCACCCTCCTGTCACCCACCCTACCAGAACCACTGCCAGCAGCAGCAGCAGCGCTGAGCCCAGCAGCAGAAGCAGCAACCGAAGCAGCATCACCGATACCAGCAACAGTCGGGCTCTCCGCTACTCTAGACTCTGACACGCCCTCTCCCCTTTGCGGGGATTGTGACCCGAGAAGGGGAGTGGTGATGGTGAGGGTGGTAGCTTGAGGGGGCGAGGAGGAGGAGGAGGAGGAGGAGGAGGAAGAAGAGGAGGAGGGTGGTTGGGAGGAGGGGAGGAGAGAGGGCGAGGAGTAGGATGGGCGGAGGAGAGGAGAGGGGGCGGGGGAGGGGCGGGGGGGAGGTTGGTGCGGGTTGGTCCATTGCATGCAGAGGAGGAAGGCAAAGAACTCGCCGATGCTGTTAAGGACAGAAAGGGGGGAGGAGGGAGCGCACATATGCGTTGGGGAAACCCGAGAGAGCAGCTAGCACTCACCAGAGGTTCACCAAGAGCGTTTGAATGACTCGAGAGAATTCTTAAGAGTGATCCAAGCAAGTATGTCCACTGGTGCTCACCGGTGCTTACTGGTGCTTACTGCGCGGTCAACTTAGCAGAGTGAGCAGTGAGCATGCAGCACACACTCACCAGAGGTCCACCAGCAGTGTCCACCAGTCAATGCCAATCACCTCCGTCACATCTGCGCTCGACACAAGTGGGAGGGGCAGAGGCAGCATGGGTGGGGCAGAGGGAACATAGTGGGCAACAGCACAATTGGGGAAAGGATGAGGAACTCCTGAGACGCCTCATAAGTCCACCAGCAGTGTCCACCAGTCAATGCCAATCACCTCTGTCACATCTGCGCTCAACACAGGTGGATGGGCCAGCATGGATGGGCAGACGCAGCATGCGTGGCCAACAGCACAGGTGCGGCAAGGATGAGAAAACTCCCGAGACGCCTCACATGTCCACCAATCAATGCCTATATTACATCTGCGCTCAACACAAGTGGGTGGGGCAGTGGCAGCATGGGTGGGGCAGTTTGGTGGCTTACCATTGAAGACATATACATTAAGATAGTTAGCATGGCTTACCGTTGAGCTTGAGCACAGAGAACACGGTTGCTGCCATGAAGAAAATCATCGACACCGCCACTGCAAAGTGCTTTGGGGGGGGAGAAACGGGGTTTGGGAGGGAGGAAGGGGGTAAGAGAAACGCAGGGAGAAAGTCGGGCGAAGAGGGGATTGAAAAATAGCTGTTTCCATGGGAAATATCATTGAGAGCGCAAACACCACAAGCCATGCACGCCCTCGCTGCAGCCCATGCATGGTGTATTGTCATGTATATATCACCACCAACATGCACGCATAGATAAATCGTACCACAAGATTTGGCACCCCATGCACCCAGGCAGTGTCTCCCACAGTGCCTCGTCTGTCATGTGGTCTGACTGCATGGGTGCACTGCACTTTTACTGTCACACGCACCACACAGCACCAACACACATGCATGCATGCCCATGCATACCGGCAATGTCTCCCACAGTGCCTCGTCTGTCATGTTGTCATCCTCCCCCGGCATCAGCGCCATGCACATCCTGACGTGGCACACATTGATTGGCCAATGGGAGAATGGGAAAGGAGCACACTTTTTTTTACGTTGTTTTTGTTTCAGTTTTTTTTTTTTTTTTTTTGGAAGGGAGGAGCAGAGAGGGAGAGGCTCGTGAGGATGTCAATAGGCGCTAACATTAACACTGTGAACACCTCGTGTAAAGACTTCACCTGCAATCGTGCCTGAGACTCACCTGAATCCACCTGAATCAACCCGGACCAAGCTAAATCTACCTGAAAACACCTGAATCCTCACCTGAAGTTGTCAATGAGTACGATCCCCTCGAGCAGAATAAGAGGCAGGAACACAATGGCCAGATCCACTGGCGGCCGTGCCACACACACTGCAGGGCAGGGGACGATGCGATGCATGGTGGGTGCATGGTGGGTGGTGGATGAGATGACTGAGAAGATGGGTAGCAGGTGAATGAGAGGCAGGAACACAATGGCTAGGTCCACTGGCGGCCGCGCCACACACACTGCAGCGGGTGAGCACATAGAGGGGCAATCGGTGATGGGGGACGGGGGATGGGGGATGGAGGAAGAATGGGGAGATGGGGTGGGGGAATAGGGATGGGGATGGGGGGATGGGAGTAAGGATAGGGGATAGCAAGCAGTGCCTACTTGCATATAGCGGGAATTTTGAAGCTGTTATACATGATAGAGAGATGTTAACTGGGGGAAGGTGGACGTCAATTTCGGAAAAATGTGTGGGACAAAGGACGCACTCTCTCGTGCAGCGAGGTACCAGCAGAGGAGCAGTTCGAATGCAACGAGCAGCGGAAGCGTGAGCAGCGAGTGGCAGGGGGCAAGAGTGGGTAGGGAAATGCAATGGGAACAAAAGACGCACTTTCTCTTGCAGCGAGGTAGCAGCAGAGCAGCAGCTCGAATGCAACGAGCAGCGGAAGCGTGAGCAGCGAGTGGCAGGGGGCAAGAGTGGGTAGGGAAATGCAATGGGAACAAAAGACGCACTTTCTCTTGCAGCGAGGTAGCAGCAGAGCAGCAGCTCGAATGCAACGAGCAGCGGAAGCGTGAGCAGCGAGTGGCAGGGGGCAAGAGTGGGTAGGGAAATGCAATGGGAACAAAAGACGCACTTTCTCTTGCAGCGAGGTAGCAGCAGAGCAGCAGCTCGAATGCAACGAGCAGCGGCAGCGTGAGCAGCGAGTGGCAGGGGCGCCAGTGGCGGTCGTAAGGCGAGCTGGGCGCGGGCATGGAGCAGTTGCAGCGGGACAGCGCGCCGTGAAACACCCACAGCGGACAGAACACCCACCTGCCGGGGATGGGGGAGGGGGTGGTTATGAAGGGACGAGGGTTGGGGGGTGCGCGGGAAGAGGGTGGAAACGGGAGGGTGGAAGGTGTGGGATGGGATGGAAAGGAAGGTAAGAGGGGTTGAAGCAAGGGGTTCGGTTGGCAATCGTAGGGCGAGCTGGGAGCGGGCATGGAGCAGTTGCAGCGGGACAGCGCACCGTGAAACACCCACAGCGGACAGAACACCCACCTGTTGGGAAGTGAGGAGGTGGGTAGGAAGGGTTGAGGGGTGTGCGAGAAGGGGGTGGGGAAGGGGCCGGGGGAGGGAGGGTGGAAAAAGGGGAGTGGCGGACGTAGGGCGAGCTGGGCGCGGGCATGGAGCAATTACAGCGGGACAGGGCGCCGTGAAACACCCACAGCGGACAGGGAGGAGGCGAGGAGGGAATGGGAACGGAGATGGGCAGTGATACAAAGGAGGATTTGACGTGGAAACGACAAGAGGATGCGGAGGCATGTGAAGAGCAGACACACACATGTGCTAAGAAGCAGCGGAGGAAGGATTCATACCAGAAACACTGCACTCACCACCAGGACCATGTTCGGCCTTGCAGTTTCAGGATGAGGAGGCACGTGAAGAGCAGCAGACACAGGTGCGCGATGGTCGGCAGCACTGTCGCCCAGCTCACAGGCGCGTGCCGGCCACGAGCCATGGCGAAGCCGACGCGAAACCCTTGAAGCGGTGTTCGCTAAGACAAACGAACTCGGGTGGTAACCTGGTAACCCTGGACCTAGTGCGATGAAGTCCAACCCTTCGACCGAATCCGTGACCTAGGCATATGGTATGGCGCCAACTCGACACAACCTACGGCCGCTGAGTCTCAACCAAAGGCTAACCTCTAGTACCTAATTATCTGCTGATACTTTGTGGAGCAGACACGTGGCATCTGGTGGTTCTCGCGGCTCGAGACGTCGGCTGCATCGTCCGTTAGTGGACCAACACATGCCCTGTTGATATAATCAGGGTAAAATCCTACCCCGTTCCTGCTCACTGTGTGTCCGCTCGCTGCGTACCAGCTATTCAGCGGCTGCGATTCTGTCACGTAACTGATGTCTACATATCGCAGCGGTCACTGACCGTGTGTCAGGTGGCCTGAAACGAGGAAAAAACGCACCCAAAGTGGCTGCTGCTACCGTTTACGTCGCTTAGTGCTACTTCGAGCTAGTCATGCCCTTTTCTGCCACTCAAGGCAACCAAACGGACCGTTGATAACGCAAACGATTCAAAGCAGCTTTAGAACGCGAATCGTGAATAATGAATATCAAATCGTTCAGAGACCGAGAAACTGCGTAGGGAAACCGAGAATCACTGCTTGCTGCACAGCTTAAACTACGGAGTCAGGTCAGGACACACTACCTAATAACTCGTGATGACAAAAAACCTTGAGATTGTCGTCGAGAGAAACTGATGAAAGCGACTGGCGATTGTCGCACGATCTCCCCAGTTTCATGGGCCATTTTTAACGGCATTCAACTTATGCCAGCGCAATTATGCAGACGCATACAATAGACGGCCGCAGGGGAAAGAGGCTGACGGACTGTTATCTGCCCGCGGTCAGAAAAAAATAAACCCCATCTGGATGGCATGCGATTGAGGGAGCCTCAACCCTAAACACGGGTAACCGCATGTTTTTGCCGGCAAGCCGACCATTTTCCCCTGAACCGTCTATTGCATGCGTTTGCAAAGCTGCACTAGCAAGATCTGCATGCGGCAGGTAAAACCCGCAGTTTCATCACATTCCGTGCCTCCCCGTGCCTCCACCAGGTTCGGTGAATTTGGCGATGAAAGGTCGCCGCTGATTGGTTGCGACGGCCCCACCACGTGCTGCGTCAGCCTCGCACGGCAGCGTCCGTCGTCTGACGAACCAAGATGGTTGACTAATGGGGAATGCATCGGTGTAGAAATGCACCATTTCATTCATGTTGTCCCGTACAATCAATTTCAGCCCAAACACACTATTTTTTTCCGAGTTGAGTTGGCCGATCTCCTTTGTTTATCCATACAGGTATAGGTGTGGCAGGATTTACAGTGCACCTCACAAGCAGAGCGCGGCACATCACATGTATCCTCTTAATTCTCTATGCTAGTCGGAAGAGCGGAAAGGCTGTGCAAGCCCATCGGCACCGGGCGTGGGAGCATTATGCAGGAAGATGTACCAGTTGAGGCTTGTGGCGATGGATGCCCTTTTGGGGGGGGGGGGGGAGTAAGAGGGGTGGACCGCAGCAGAAATGAATGCATGCATAATGGGAAGAGCGTTGTGTGGGGATATGTACCAGTCGAGACGTTGCAGAAAAAACAGAGAACAGGCAAGCCTACCAAGGGAGGGAAAACAGAGAACAGGTTTGGCAATCTCGAGAAAAAGAACGTGGGAAACGGCACGCATGCTGCGGGTGGTTACCAGACGATGTAGGGCCAGAGGAGGATGGAGGCGAGCTTGCTGAGGTAAGTATTGAATTGACTCAGATCAGAAGCAGAACTAGAGGATGGAGACCGTGGGTGGGCGAGGGTGGTTACCAGACGATGTAGGGCCAGAGGAGGATGGAGGCGAGCTTGCTGACAGGCCAGAAGAGCACGATGGTGGTGAAGACTGTCAGCCATAGCAGCACTATCTCCGCCAGTGCCCAGTCCTGAGCGCATGGGGTGCGGAAGGGGAGGGAAGGACAGTAAGGGAAGGCTTGCCACGGTAAGCTAAGATGGAAGGGAAGGGAAGAAAAGGGGATGGGGACATAGAGAGATCGCAAGGGGTGCTAGAAATGGGGACCCAAGCACAATACCTCCCAAGAACAGTATCTCTCCTCTCAAGCAAATGTTCAGGGGAAAATCCGTTTCGATCACACGTTCAAGCACAGTACCTCGCCTCTTCTTACCCCTCGTGTGCTGCTCACTTATTAAAAATTATGCCCCACTAGCTCCCCTCCCAGAACCACCCACACCCAGAGCCACCCACTGTGGTGCCCTGATAGCTGCTGCCCCAACAAAGCCGCCCCATTATCCACCACATTAGCGCCCCACTAGTCTCACAAAGCCACGAACCGAGCTGCACCACTCACAATCTTGTGCATGCCAAAGAAGAGCGGCGTCCAGAAGAAGTTGAGCAGCAACTGGCGCGCAAGGGGAGTGGGGGAGAGGGGAAAAAGGGGGTGGGGTGGGGCGAGGACGCATTAAGATGAACAGTGTGGTGGATTGTTGGAAGAAAGCGAATGCAGGGGACAAGCAATCTTGTGCATGCCAAAGAAGAGCGGCGTCCAGAGGAAGTTGAGCAGCAGCTGGCGTGGAGGGCGCGCAGGGAGGAAAGCCGATATACACAGGCAGGCAGAGGCAGAGTGGCAGATTCATGAATCCTTAAGACGGTCCGCGGAGAGGTAGACCGTTAAAACCGGGGTCTCAAGTTTCCCGAAGTTGCCTCATCCTTCCTACCTTTGGTTGGGTTACAAGGTCCAACCAAGCTTCCTACCTTTGGTTTTGTCACAAAGTCCAACCAACCTTCCTACCTATGAAACCTGTGGAGCCTGGGTTTTAAGAAGAAGGAAAGGAAGAAAGACCTTTTGGATTCATTCATATTGGGGAACGCGAGCAGCTGGATGGCTATCACGAAAAGAGAACACGATTGTTACAAAGAAACGCATGGGGTATCCCCGCGAGAGAGGGATGAAGAGAGTGAGCGGGGGGTTTGGGCAGGGGGTCGGGGGGGTGGAGGGGTGGGGGTTGGGAAGACCTTAGAGGAGGGAAGATTAAGGGATGAAAAGAGAGAGGGGAGATGGTTCAGGTTACCTGAAACACGTAGATACCCAGAGGGAGAGCTTGCACGGAGAATCCTGCGTGGTCAAAGCACAGAGAAGAGCGCAAAGTAGATGTATCCGGATGCACAAAGAAGAGCGCAACCAGCAGCATGAATGAGATTGTGTGGAGCGAACTAGAGCACGAGTTGTGCGATTTTTGAACAAGCGTTGAACTGTTGTGTGAACTAGAGCATTCAATGGGTGTGACACGAAGATACCACAACGTAGTTTTTGTGAACGATTTTCGAGAATTCTTAAAGATTGCTCGTACATGACACAAGACAGGGCAGGAGAGGGAGGGTGTGTGAGGAAGAGAAGGCAGAATAGCCTCGAATGGCGTACCTCCTTGTAGCCACACGAGCCATGCTGCGACGCCCATCATGATGTAGAGGTTGATCCACACCACTGGGAATACCCACCCCTGCTCATGCACCAAGGGACAAAGAGGGACAGGTACAGAGCCAAAATGGTAAAAATGCATATTCCATGCCTAGATCAATGAAGGACCATTCGAGTCAACATGGAAAACATTCCCTTGCTCGCCTGCTGCCATGCCTAACCAACGGGTAAATGTTCACTCCATCTCTTCGATTTTTTTCTCCCAAATTGCCGCCCTCACTTGGCGCCAATCCCTCGTAGTTTAGACCCAGGCACTCACCGGTGGGGTCCACCAGGGCTTGTCCAGGCTCCTGTACCATGCTGCATTGGGTACAGTGACACGGGTGGTGTAGATTTCATAAACATTATATTATATTGAGAGAGCTTGTCCGGGCTGCGGTGTCATGCTATAACGGAGATACGAAACAGAGTGCTGTACATGATATTGACAGTAACGATTGCGATTGATATAGCAAGCAAGCTTGCGAGCAGTTATTAAGACACGCATAAGCGATAAGCGAAAGAGCATGGTGAGAGGAACGATGAAAGCATGGAATTGAAGGGAAGTTCTCGAAGATTTCTCAGAAGTGACCGCCAGAGAGAGCAAAAGGCGCACTCCAGGGAGGGACGAAAAGCGCAGCGTACGAAAACTTGGCACGATCAGCTACGCATGGGGCTACTTAGACCGTTTGGAATATTGCGACGGAATTGAAACGGCAGCGACTCACGCGAATCGCCGCCGCCGAAGAGCGACGCGGAGATGAAGCCCTGGGCGATGGGGAGCCCGATGGACACTGCGAGCATCGCATAATCGGACCACGCCATTGCGACTCGTAACGACGGTGTGCGACAACGGCGATAATCACAGAAGACGGAAAATGCCCAAGCGATGACTCTATCAACGCGCAACCAATCCAGGCAGACACAGGGATCCTGGTGACGACCGGCAGGCAGCAGTCAGCGGACAGCACGCAGCAAGGAGATAATCAATTCCCAAGATTCGACGTGGATGTGAATTATCACACAGCTTCTTTCCTCCCTCCCTCGATCTAGCTTCCCGTCCGTTTCTTGCTCCAAAGTTCCTTGAGAAACAAATTCGCCCCCACGACATTGGGGGGAGGGGAGGACAGCGCTGCGAGCCACATGTTTTGACTGGCGGGTTGCTTTGACACGCGGCGAGCCAAGAGCCGCTGGTTGGTGCGCCCCTCGGATTGGCGCATGACAGCTGGTAATCAGAGAAAATATGTTAGAGCTAGTGCGAACTTCTTATTCTGTACATATATTCAAACACGAATTCACGCTACTCGCATCTGTTCTTACCGCGGATATTATTGTGTGTCAGAAATGTATTTGCTCGTGATGTGTTCCCTGTAGCCACCACCACCTCTCTCGCTAATATCCTCGACATCTTCTAGGGAGAATTTCGACAAATCCGCAAATACGCATCGCGCACACGCAAGAGAGAAATACATACGGCCAGTACCAGAATCAACGAATGATAGCGGATGATGTGACATACTGAGTACGTGCTGCTGGTGATGGCTCTAGGTTTGGAGCTTCGTAGCCATGCTAAACCTGGCTGAGCCCCAGTTTACGCATAAGGAGTCGCATACGTACTAGATCGTTCTAATAGGCTGTCATTCCCCTACGAGCCGCTACCATGAACCCGAACCGCAATCGACTTCGTCCCAGCAGGGCCGATGCGGTTACTAGTTCTAGAGACATCGTTACTAGTTCTCGAGACGTCGTTGTTCACGGAGGCACTAGACGGGCATCGCGCAGTGAAAATATGGCAGCCTCACAGGTCGCGAATCGCAACGTGAGGAATCCGAACTATGGGAGAGACATCGTGGTTCACGGTGGCTCCGGACAGGCATCGCGTAGTGTAGATTCAGCAGCCATACAGGCCTCGATTAGTAGAAACGTGAGAGATCCGAACGATACTCGCAGCTATGCGAAGAGCACGGACGAGGAGATTCGCGCCAAGTGGAACACAGTCATGGCTGCCGTTGACGAAGAGCGTCTGGTTACCAGCATGGAGCTAGAACTGCAGCTCAGGAAGGTGAGCGACAAGCTTCCAACGGTCACATCCATAGGATTAGTACCTTGGAGCCTATCTCACTGCTCAAATCGCAGGCTGCTTGGATGTCTCTCGTCTGATCATCCCTAACCTTGTCTGCACTGCTTTCCCCTGGTTACCCGTTCTCCTGGTGTTTCCATTTCCTGGTAACCCGGTTACCTGGTGCAGGAGCACGCGGCGCTGGGGAACGCGCTGGTGCTGAGCTCGTTGGAGCCTCTGACAGAGAACATCAACTCAGCTGCTGACATGCTGCTTCTCCTCAACGATAACTGGGTGCGTGATGAGCGGATCTAGGACTGGGTGCGTGTGGTTACCCGGTTACTCGTTTCAAGAGCACGCGCGAGCTGTTGTTGAGCTCGTTGGAGCCTCTGACAGAGAATATCAACTCAGCTGCTGACATGCTGCTGCTCCTCAACGACAACTGGGTGCGTGATGGGCAGATCTAGTACTGGGTGCGTGTGGTAACCCGGTTACATGTCGCAGGAGCATGCGCGCGCTGGTGCTGAGCTCGTTGGAGCCTCTCATGGAGAACATCAATTCCGCTGCTGACATGCTGCTCCTCCTCAACGACAACTGGGTGCATGTGGTAGCATGTCGTAGCAGAATGCTCAGACCTAGGGCTGCATGCGTGTGGTAACCGGGTTACCTGGAAAGCGTGCTGGTTGGATTTCTGACAGAGAACATCAACTCCGCCTCTGACATGCTGCTTCTCCTGAACGGCAACTGGGTGCGTGTGGAAACACGCCTTCACTACAGGCTGACCTTTCTACTTTCACAGAACTCCCCCATGTTCTTTTACCCCATTCTCCCCGTCTTCGCATGTTAAGGCCTGAAACGCGGAATATCTAACCTGAACAATTTTTTTCCCTTTTGCTGCCTCAGGATTGGCTGATGAGCTCTCTGGACCAATCAGGGACGGACGAGTGGCTGGCAGTGGAGGTGGAGCATCAGGACGACTTCGCCGCCCTCATGACCGCCATTCATTCCACCCGCACCACCCGCCTTGTGGCCTCGGGATCGTCGCTCATGGAGCAAGCCCAGGGCCTCACCGCCTCGCCTGCTGCCTGGGGGGTGAGTGTGAGTGAGAGGCGGTTTGTGATTCTGTGTGGGGAGGTCCGGGGGTGGAGGGCTTGGGAGGCCGCCTAGTCGCCTCGGGATCATCTCTCATGGAGCAGGCTCAGGGCCTCACTGCCTCGCCTGCTGCCTGGGGGGTGAGTGAGAGGCGGGGGAGTGGGTAAAGCGCTTAAGGTGAGTTCCTTTGAGTCTATTCATGAATCACTGTGGAGGGGTGAGTGGAGGGCTTGGGAGGCCGCCTATTCGCTTCGAGATCGTCGCTCATGGAGCAAGCTCAGGGCCTCACTGCCTCGCCTGCTGCCTGGGGGGTGAGTGAGAGATGGTTGGTTTTAAAAATATCAACTCTTGACATGTTTTGAGATGGCGCTCGCCTTCCAGCTTTAGCAGGCTGATTGAAAAATATATAGCAGCTTCAGGTGGTTGGGCTGTCTCTAGTGAGCTCGTGCCTAGCACAGCACCAGGCTGCTTTTTTCTCCCCATGTGCCACACACCTTACTACCAGCACTCCCAGTTCCCATCTCTTCCTCTGCACAGAATCTCCCAGTTGCAGTAAGTGTTTTACTTGAGGCCAATGCTTTCAACCGCTTTCTCCTTATAACCCCTCTTCCTTCCCCCATGCCTCCCACCTCATTACCATCTCTCCCAATCGCCTTTCTCCCTCCCTTGCAGCAAGAGGTGCCCCGGCTGGCACGGCTGCGGGTAAGACTGGCTGAGGAGCTGGAACTGCAGAAGCGGCTGCAGCAGCTGCTGGTGAGGAGGGGGGCTGGGGAGGAGGAAGGAAGAAAGGATGAAGGGGAGGAAAGGAATGAATGAGAAAAGAAGGGGCATGGAAAGAGGAGCTGGAGCTGAGTAAGCGGCTGCAGCAGCTGGTGGTGAGGATGAGAGGGGGACGAAGAGGAAGGATGAAGAGGAGGGACGAAGAGGAAGGATGAAGAGGAGGGATGAAGAGGAGGGATGAAGAGGAGGGATGAAGAGGAGGGATGAAGAGGAGGGATGAAGAGGAGGGATGAAGAGGAGGGATGAAGAGGAGGGACGAAGAGGAGGGATGAAGAGGAGGGACGAAGAGGAGGGATGAAGAGGAGGGAAGAGATTTGTAGAATAGGTACGGACAGAAGAGGAGGGAAGAGATTTGTAGAATAGGTACGGACAGAAGAGGAGGGAAGAGATTTGTAGAATAGGTACGGACAGAAGAGGAGGGAAGAGATTTGTAGAATAGGTACGGACAGAAGAGGAGGGAAGAGATTTGTAGAATAGGTACGGACAGAAGAGGAGGGAAGAGATTTGTAGAATAGGTACGGACAGAAGAGGAGGGAAGAGATTTGTAGAATAGGTACGGACAGAAGAGGAGGGAAGAGATTTGTAGAATAGGTACGGACAGAAGAGGAGGGAAGAGATTTGTAGAATAGGTACGGACAGAAGAGGAGGGAAGAGATTTGTAGAATAGGTACGGACAGAAGAGGAGGGAAGAGATTTGTAGAATAGGTATGGACAGAAGAGGAGGGAAGAGATTTGTAGAATAGGTACGGACAGAAGAGGAGGGAAGAGATTTGTAGAATAGGTACGGACAGAAGAGCTGGCACTGAGCAAGCGACTACTGCAGCAGCTGGTGGTGTGGAGGAGGGGGGAGGGGGAAGAGTAGCTGGAAAGGAAAGATGCAGAGGGATGTGGTGAGTAGACAATCAAGTATGCGCAGAGGAGCGGGAGTTGGGTTACGAGGGTGCAGCAGCTGCTCGTGGTGAGTAGAGCGGAGGGGGAAGGGGGAGAGAAAATGGAGGAGGGAGGGGAGTTGAAGAGAAGGGAGAATAAAGGACAGCTGCTGCTGATACAGCCTAGTTGGTGTATGGGAGTTCTTACATGGTGTGTACAGGTGCATTCCTTCCAGTAGCATTTTCTGGCTGTGGTACTGTACCTTCTCTTCGCTTTGTATACCGGCAGGAACTTGCAGACTTGTTTCCTAGTTGATAATGGTTCCTAACCCGAAATTACCCGTTTCTGTGTGCGTGGCTAGACCTTCCCTATACAGCAACAATACTGCCATTACATAACACCACCTACACAGTACCCAATCGAATCATTCTGCAACAATGCCAAGCAAGCGTGCAGCAGCAAGTGTGAGAGCAGAGCAGACGCAGCAGATGCTTTTGTCTGCTTCCGAGGATGTCAAAAGGTGACAGCAGGCTTCTCCATCATGCGAATGCCCGCCCCCTTGTCCCACTCCTCCGCTGACAGTGTCTTTGCCATTGCCTCCTGGCCTCGCCACAGGATCTGCAGGAACACACACACGCAGCAGAGAGTGAAAGAGAGAGAGGAGTGGGTTTGGCCAGTGCAGGTTTGAGTGCACTTGTTGCGGGTCCCTCTACACACACCAGTGAGTCAATGTGCAGAAACACCCCTCACACTCACCTTCTCATCTCAATTACTCCAAAAAGGGCCCTCTGTGGGTTCATGTAGTATGGGCGCTCCAAACCCTGCATACACACCCCTCCCTTCACCCTGCTGACCACCATAACCTCAAGTGCACTGAGTCCATGTGCAGAAACACCCCTCACACGCACCTTGTCGATCACTCCAAACTCAAGGGCCCTCTGTGGGTTCATGTAGTATGGGCGCTCCATGGTCTTGGCTATCTTCTCAAATGACTGGCGGGAAGAAAGGAGAGAGAAGAAAAAGATGGGGGGCCGTGAGATGGGGTGCTGTGAGATGGGGTGCTGTGAGATGGGGTGCTCAAATGGCTGCCGAATGGAGTACGCTGGAAAGAGGTTGAGTGGAGTTGAGTGCGGTGAATGGACCTCAACATGAACAAGCGAGGTCTCAAAGTCAAGCACCAGCCCGCGGGATACAGAATCAAGAAGTACAGGCTTGAACGTACATTGCCTGTGTGACGGGCCAGAAGCTTGACAAGCGTGTCTCTGTTGTTAACCACCTGAGATAGGGGAGGGGAGAAGCAAGGAGAGGGGAGGAGAGTAGGTGAGTGAAGCGAGCAAGGGCAAAAACAGCGGATAAAACCAGTAAAAAGAAGATGAAAAAAAAAGAGTTGATGGCCTAGTGAACAACTGCGATACAGCAGAAGGCACCAGCACAAGCCCACTTCTGAATCAACGGACCTCCTTGGCTTAGATGCAAATCAACGGACCTCCTTGGCCGAGATGCAAATCAACGGACCTCCTTGGCCGAGATGCAAATCAACGGACCTCCTTGGCGCGGATGTGCACATCGATGGCTGACATCTGTCCAGTGGAGGGCAGGCGCGGCTGCTGGATCATGGCGGTGGCGTGCGGTAGCATGAAGCGGCGCCCCTTCTCCCCCGCCGCCAGCAGCATGCACGCCTGCCCTATGGCCGCCCCCACGCCCACTGTTTGCATCTGGTGGGGGAGGGACGGGAAAAAGGGGGGGAGGGGATGGAGCGGGGGAAGGGGGGGGGAGAGGGGCGCAGGGGGTGTAGAGGGGACAACATGGCAGCATGAAGCGGCGCCCCTTCTCCCCCGCCGCTAGCAGCGTCTCATATCCGGCTAACTGCTCTGCCTTCCTAACTCATACTTCATGTGCACCGTACCTCATTCCTCTGCACCGCAGCTCATTCATTCTCTCTGCACCGCACCTCACTCCTCTGCACCATACCTCACTCCTCTGCACCGCGCCTCACTCCTCTGCATCGTACCTCGTTCTTCATCTGCATCATGGTGTCGTAGATGGCGAACCCCTCTGTCTCCATGCCCACCTGCTCGCACCCACGGCAATGGGGGTGGGGGGGGGACGGGGAGAGGAAGTGAAGAACGAAGGGGAAAAGGAAGAGGAGTAAAAGGGAGGAGGGGAAAGGGGGCGAGAAAAAGGAGGCGAGAATAAGGGGAAGAAAGACGGTGAGGGTTGTTAATCAGCGGATTACAGCCACGGCTGAGTATATGGCCAGCAATAAACGCTCGCATGCTGCCAAGTCACCTTGCCACGTCAGCCTGGCTCACCGTTTCGCCATCAGCGCGGGAGGTGCCGGTGGAGTTGAGGTACACGTAGGTGGGCTGACGAGGGTCCAGCCACTGCAGGTACAGCAGCTGCGCTATCACCAGCTCTGTCACTGCTGGGACGAGCTGCAAGCAGCGGGGGCAAGAAGAAGGTAAATTGTAACGAGAAGATGATGCACTGCAGGCATAGCAGCTGCGCCATCACAAGCAACTCCGTTAACGCTGACAAAAGCAACGCTACTAGCACGATGGAGCACTCACCGGCATGCCGATGTACACGATTCGGCTGTTCAGCAGCAGCGACGGGAGATCGGGCGGCGGCCGTCGCGGTCGGTGCTCGCCGTACCCTCCGCCGCGCTCCACTTGCGCGGGCGCCGCCATTTGCGTCGCCGCCATTTTCGCCGCGGCGAGGTCCAGCAGCGGCGGCCCGTCGAACCGCCCGCTCGCCGCGTCGGCCATCTGCGCGCGCCCCTCGTCGGACCGAGCGACTTCCGCCAGCCACGGGAGGAATTTGTCGTTTACCGGCGCGATCAGCCGCGGGTCGCGGCGAGCGCGCAACGCCATAGTCACTCTGCCGTGAGACCCGGCGGCGGACGCGGGGAGAGACGCGCCGAGGTGCTCCTTTCTCCCGCCGAGCGGAGACGCGGAGAGCGCAGCCGCGCCGAGCCCCGCCGGCGCCAGCGACGCCCTAAGCGCGGAAGCCATGCCGACGGAAAGCTCGGAACGAGAGGGGCTAGGCAAAAACAGATACGGAGGATTGCCGGAGCAGCTAGCAAGGCGCGGATTCCGCCGAGGCGAGAGTGACGGAGATACCTAGAAGAATGACAAGACGACTGACGGAATGGAAACTTGGCAGAGCGGGAAATTAGGGTTTCGACAAGTCTCAGGAAGAGAGTGACGTGGGGCGAGGAGAAACGGTGGCAGGACCTGGTTCGGCGGGCTAATGCCTGTCCTCGGGGAAATACTAGTTGATTCAGCTACACTTGACCGCAACATATACAGTTAAAACAGAATAAACAAAACACATTGGCTACAAGAAGATTCATGCGTTGGATGCATACATACCTATGCATCTTGCTAAAAAAAAGGGATGGATTACAAATAGCGTTTTCTACAGCAATAGTACATGGTAGTACGCACCAATGGGTGAGAACCTACAAGGGGGCAGCATCCAGCCCTATGGGCTGCCTTGCAACCTCCTCTTCCTCTTCACCCCCATAACCCTCATTCCCATCATCCATACCCCCCTTCTCCTGCCTTCCAAGCACCAAGAACCCTTCATCCTCTACCCTTGCCTTCCCCTCACTGGAAGCATTCTGTTGCCCAGCCTGCCCAGCCACCTGAACCACCTGACCAATCACCTGAACGGCAGCAGCCCCACCAATGGCCCCTCCAAGCATTTTCTCCTCCACCACTCGATCAAAATCCGAGGCCGAAACTACAGCAGGTGACGTCAAACCAACAGCCGGCCCTGCCGCAGCAGCACTAGATCGTGCCCCTGGTGTTGCTCTTGTGTCGGCCCCAGCTGCCTCTCCCACAGAGGCGCGAGTTACTGCCGAAGCTGCCATCCCAGCCACACCTGCATCCGAACCTCCTGTTGCTGACACCAGCCCCAGTGCCGAACCTAAGAGCGGGTCCAAGGCTTGGGAGTGGTTCGGGAGAGATGCAGTGGTTGGGACGGCGGCTGGGAAGGAAGAAGAGGGTGAGAAAGCTGTTGCAGATGTGGAGTGAGGCACTGTTCGGGCAGGAGAGGGATGAAGTGCGGTTGTAGGAGGTTGGGAGGGAGTGAAGGGAGTGCGTGCTTGATGAGAGTGAGTGGGTACAGGATGGGCAGGAGAGAGGGGTGTGGGCATGGAGGAGAGGGGCAGGAGCGAGGGAGAGGAGTGCGAGGCATGGGGGAGATGAGAGCCGGTGGGGACTGGTGAGTGATGTGCAGGCAAGTGATGTGCAGGCAAGTGATGTGCAGGCAAGTGATGTGCAGGCAAGTGATGGACAGGCAAGTGATGTGCAGGCAAGTGATGGACAGGCAAGTGATGGACAGGCAAGTGATGTGCAGGCAAGTGATGTGCAGGCAAGTGATGTGCAGGCAAGTGATGTGCAGGCAAGTGATGTGCAGGCAAGTGATGGACAGGCAAGTGATGGACAGGCAAGTGATGTGCAGGCAAGTGATGGACAGGCACAGCAGCACTAGAAGAGGATACGCTTCTATCTGCTTCCCCAGAAAGAAGAGGAGATGAGGTAAGGGTAGCAGCAGGAGCGACAGCCGCAGCCGCAGCAGGAGCAGCAGCTGGAGCAGCAGCAGGAGTAGCGGTGGTGGGAGGGGCAGCAGGGGCAGGGAGGGCGAGGGCAGCAGAGCCAGCGCCCTGCAGCAGGCCAGCCACACCGGCACCAGACGACTGCACGTTGGTGGGGAGAAAGAGGTCGTGCTTCTGATCCTTGAACGCCCTCCACACCTGGTGGGGAGAAGGGGCGGGAGGGGTGAGGGGGGGGTGGGGGATGTGTTTGAGACGCCTCAAAACTCGTCTCATGGCACATGGATGATTGCACGTTGGTGGGGAAAAAGAGATCGTGCTTCTGGTCCTTGAACGCCCTCCACACCTGGTGGGGCGAAGGGAGACGGGAGGGGGAGAACGAAACACAAAAAGGAAGTGGTGCGTGGAAGAAGCAAAGGGGTGGTGTGGTGGAAGGTGATGAAATCAGGAAAGAAGCAGCATTCTCCTGGAAACACTGGAAGACGTGGTGTTTGATTGAGAGCTTTGTGACCTTGGTACCACTGGAAAACCCACCTTGAGCACACGGATGGAGTAGGCCCCATCTGCCCCCAGCAGCTTCAATCAACACCTTTGAAGCGCATCAGAACTTGGCTTATGAAATGCCTCACACCAGAAGAACCACTGCAAATCCCACCTCGGAGCCATTCAGGATCTCGAGCACCCGGATGGAGAACGCCCATCTGCCCCCAGCAGCTTGAGAGATTCGTCACCTCAGGGCCGTTGCAGATCTCACACCAGCCCAATGCAAGTCTCACCTCAGAGCCATTCAGGATCTCGAGCACCCGGATGGAGTAGGCCCCATCTGCCCCCAGCAGCTTCAGAATTTCCACTGCCAGCACTCGCCCCACCGCTGCCTCTGATTCGCTCCACCGCATCCGGGCAGCCAGCGAAGCTTTTCCACCTGCCCGCCAGTCAAGGATCGCCAGCAGGACCTGCACCAGGCCATTCCTGGGGCAAGACAATCGAAAACACAGAGGACAATAGAAAAGGATCAGCGCACGTGTCCAAGCACATATCCTGTCGGCGTGAATAGGCGTAAGTGCAATACCACCTACCGCTCTGCTTACAGTACTTAAGCACCTGCCATGCTGCTTACCTGAGCGCCTGAGCAACAATGACGTCTCGGGATCTGTTGGTTGGAGCCAGCAGCCTCTTCATTGCTTCCAGAGCCAGCACTGCCGCTCCCGCCCACCCGATCGCCCGCATCAGCAGCGCTATCACCTGGAAACATCAGTGCAGGGACACGATGGAAGGGACATGATTTACCTTCAAAGTTCAAAACTTCCAAAGAAAACAAGATGCCACATCAGAACCATGGCAGTGGAGGAAGGGCACCAAGCAAGGTCATCAGCTCAGCACAGGAAGGCTAGATAGATCACACCTGTGGGAAGTACAAGTCTCACTTGAGGGGCGTTAGTGCCGGAGAGTACAATCCTCATCTGAGGGGTGTTGGTGCCGGGGACTACAAGTCTCACCTGATAGAATGCAATTATAAAGAGGATTCGCTCCTCCTGTCAATCAGCAGAAGCACATTGCTGAAATCCTTGTCTTTCAAAACAAACAAGGCGGCTCAATTACAAGGGATGATTTTCAGAAACAAGGCCGTCTATACTCCTTCCTCCGCTGCTTCTTCTCATTCTGCTTCTGCTAAGGCCTCTATTTCGTATGCCTCTTCTCCTTCTTTCGCACCTGCTTCTTCAACTAAGTCTAATCTTACTGGAGCTGCTACCGGTGGTGGAGCTGCTGCCTCTGCTTCTGCATCTGCCACCATCGGTAGCAGCTCCAGTAAGATCAGACTTAGTTGAAGAAGCAGGTGCGAAAAAAGGAGAAGAGGCATACGAAATAGAGGCCTTAGCAGAAGCAGAAAGAGAAGAAACAGCGGAGGAAGGAGTATAGACGGCCTCGATTCTGAAAATCATCCCTTGTAATTGAGACACCTTGTCTGTTTTGAAAGACAAGGATTTCAACAATGTGCTTCTGTTGATTGACAGGAGGAGCGAATCCCCTTTGTAAGTGCATTCTATCCTGAGGGGCGTTGGTGAACCTACCTTAATCCGGGGTGGAACCTTAATCCGAGGGTGAACCTTAATCCGGGGGTGAACCTTAATCCGGGGGTGAACCTACCTTAATCCGGGGTGGAACCTAATCCGGGGGTGAACCTTAATACGGGGGTGAACCTTAATCCGGGGGTGAACCTAATCCGGGGGTGAACCTAATCCGGGGGTGAACCTAATCCGGGGGCGAACCTAATCCGGGGGCGAACCCAATCCCGGGGTGAACCTTAATCCGGGGGCGAACCTTAATCCGGGGGCGAACCTTAATCCGGGGGCGAACCTTAATCCGGGGGCGAACCTTAATCCGGGGGCGAACCTAATCCGGGGGCGAACCTAATCCGGGGGCGAACCTAATCCGGCGGCGAACCTAATCTGGCGGCGAACCTGATCCGGGGGCGAACCTGATCCAGGGGCGAACCTTAATCCGGGGGCGAACCTTAATCCGGGGGCGAACCTTAATCCGGGGGCGAACCTTAATCCGGGGGCGAACCTAATCCGGGGGCGAACCTAATCCGGGGGCGAACCTAATCCGGGGGCGAACCTAATCCGGGGGCGAACCTAATCCGGGGGCGAACCTAATCCGGGGGCGAACCTAATCCGGGGGCGAACCTAATCCGGGGGCGAACCTTATCCGAGGGCGAACCTAATCCGAGGGCGAACCTAATCCGCGGGCGAACCTTAATCCGGGGGCGAACCTTAATCCGGGGGCGAACCTTAATCCGGGGGCGAACCTTATCCGGGGGCGAACCTTATCCGGGGGCGAACCTTATCCGGGGCCGAACCTAATCCGGGGGCGAACCTTAATCCGGGGGCGAACCTTAATCCGGGGGCGAACCTTAATCCGGGGGCGAACCTTAATCCGGGGGCGAACCTTAATCCGGGGGCGAACCTTAATCCGGGGGTGAACCTAATCCGGGGGTGACCCTAATCCGGGGGTGAACCTTAATCCGAACCTTAATCCGGGGGCGAACCTTAATCCAAGGGCGAACCTACCTTAATCCGGGGGCGAACCTTAATCCGGGGGCGAACCTAAATCCGGGGGCGAACCTACCTTAATCCGGGGGTGAACCTAATCCGGGGGTGAACCTAATCCGGGGGCGAACCTAATCCGGGGGCTAACCTAATACGGGGGCGAACCTAATCCGGGGGTGAACCTAATCCGGAGCGAACCTAATCCGGGGGCGAACCTAATCCGGGGGTGAACCCAATCCCGGGGTGAACCTTAATCCGGGGGCGAACCTTAATCCAAGGGCGAACCTACCTTAATCCGGGGGCGAACCTTAATCCGGGGGCGAACCTAAATCCGGGGGCGAACCTACCTTAATCCGGGGGTGAACCTAATCCGGGGGTGAACCTAATCCGGGGGCGAACCTAATCCGGGGGCTAACCTAATACGGGGGCGAACCTAATCCGGGGGTGAACCTAATCCGGAGCGAACCTAATCCGGGGGCGAACCTAATCCGGGGGTGAACCCAATCCCGGGGTGAACCTTAATCCGGGGGCGAACCTTAATCCGGGGGCGAACCTTAATCCGGGGGCGAACCTTAATCCGGGGGCGAACCTTAATCCGGGGGCGAACCTTAATCCGGGGGCGAACCTTAATCCGGGGGCGAACCTTAATCCGGGGGCGAACCTTAATCCGGGGGCGAACCTTAATCCGGGGGCGAACCTTAATCCGGGGGCGAACCTTAATCCGGGGGCGAACCTTAATCCGGGGGCGAACCTTAATCCGGGGGCGAACCTTATCCGGGGGCGAACCTTATCCGGGGGTGAACCTTATCCGGGGGCGAACCTAATCCGGGGGAGAACCTAATCCGGGGGCGAACCTTAATCCGGGGGCGAACCTTAATCCGGGGGCGAACCTTAATCCGGGGGCGAACCTTAATCCGGGGGCGAACCTTAATCCGGGGGCGAACCTTAATCCGGGGGCGAACCTTAATCCGGGGGCGAACCTTAATCCGGGGGCGAACCTTAATCCGGGGGCGAACCTTAATCCGGGGGCGAACCTTAATCCGGGGGCGAACCTTAATCCGGGGGCGAACCTTAATCCGGGGGCGAACCTTAATCCGGGGGCGAACCTTAATCCGGGGGCGAACCTTAATCCGGGGGCGAACCTTAATCCGGGGGCGAACCTTAATCCGGGGGCGAACCTTAATCCGGGGGCGAACCTTAATCCGGGGGCGAACCTTAATCCGGGGGCGAACCTTAATCCGGGGGCGAACCTTAATCCGGGGGCGAACCTTAATCCGGGGGCGAACCTTAATCCGGGGGCGAACCTTAATCCGGGGGCGAACCTTAATCCGGGGGTGAACCTTAATCCGGGAGCGCGCCTTGATCCAGAGGGGATAATCCAGGGGGGCGCCTTAATCCAGAGGTCATCAGCTCAGCACAGGGAGGCAAGATAGATCACACCTGCGAGGGGTACAAGTCTCACCTGGGGGGCGTTGGTGCCGGGGAGAGCCAGAGCCTCAGCACAGGGGTCATTGGCAGCAATCGGGTGAAGAATCTTCAACGAGCACATGCGCGCCCTCTCCCCTGCCTGCCTCCTCCGCGTCTGCCCCTGCAAGTACGTTTGCTTCTTGAGACGTTTCCAAGCATTCGAGTCTCACCTGAGGGGCGTTGGCACCGGGGACAGCAAGAGCCTCAGCGCAGGGCCCATTGGCCGCAATCTGGTGGAGAATCTTCAACGAGCACATGCGTGCCCTCTCCCCGGCCTGCCTCCTCGCCTCTGCATCTGCCTCTGCTGCAGTTACCCCTCCCCTGGTTCCACCCTGTGGCCCCCCTGCCCCTGCAGCCCCAGCTGCTGCTGCCCCTGCTGCATTAGCAGTGGCAGTGGCAGGTGAAGGAACTGCAGCAGCAGCGCCAGCAGCAGAGGGAGCAGCGGCGCTTAGCAGTTGTCCCTCGGCTGCAGTCAGCAGCAGCAGCTTCGGCACGTAGCCCAGCAGTGCCACGTGTTCGCTCAGGAGTGGCTGGACACGCAGCAGGGAGATAAGCGCTGTTGCTAAAAGCTCAACTCTCTCGGTTGCCGCTGCCACTGCTGCTGCTCCTACCAACCCCCTCCCTGCTACCACTGCTGCCGTTGCTGTTGCTGATGTGCCTGCTGGTGCCGTTGCTGCAGGAGCAGGGGCAGGGGAAGCTGGGGCGAAGAGTGCTGATGTGGCAAGCACGTATTGGTCGAGAAGGCCCTCGAGAAAGCGCTTGGGGTTGCGCAGCGGGTACTTGGGGTCCTTGAGGAACAGACGAATGTACACGCCGCCCACCTGCCACTCGTCCCCTTCTTCAGGTGAATTCAACAGAGTTTTGTCTGATGCGCCTGATGCTGCGCCTGGAGCACCTGAACCAGCACCTGATGCAACACCTGAACTGGCCCCACCAGTAGCTCCCACTAGATCAGGGGGATCCCATTCAAAAGAAGCAAGGTTTCCAAAAACGGAAGCACCGGTTTCTCCTCCTCCCTTGCCCCCACCACCAGACCTCCGTGCAATCTCCACCATCCGTACGACCTCAGCAGCCAGCACCGCGATCCGACGGCCGAGATTAAGCGCGAGGGCCGGGGACCAGACGAGCTCGGGGGTTTGCGTGGTCTGGGAGAGAGCAGAAATGGCGGCTTCCCCTGAGCCGTCCCGCAGGAAGGAGAGGAGGCCTTGGGGGAGGAAGCGGGAGAGGGAGAGGAAGACCCGCGGGCCGTGCAGGGGCTGTGAGAGGAGCGCGGAGAGGAGGAGGGCCGTGGTGACGCGGATAGGGTGGGGTATGTCGTCTCCTGCATGGTAGGGGAGAAGGGAAAAAAATGAGTGCGGTTGGGCATACATGCTTAAGGGGGAGTATGGGCAGGAAGAGTGAAGTGAAGCTGTGAGTGGCGCAAAGAAGGCAGTGAGGAAAGGATAGCAAACGAGACATGTGGAGTGCCCAGAGACGAGGTGCGTGAAGGAAAGAGTTGCGGGTTTTATACCAGGGGCGGGGAGCAGGAGGGCGAGGAGGAAAACTCTTGAGTCGCCTTAAAATATCTCACCAGAGGCAGGGAGCAGGAGTGCGAGGAGGAAGACGATGCCGCCTTGCTTCGCCACCACCCACGCGAGCTCTGGTGTCCCCGCCAGCGACTGCAGCATGCGTACAGGAGGAGGGCGCATTTAAGAGAGTGCTTACCAGGGGCCGGAAGAAGGAGGGCGAGGAGGAAGACTATTCCCCCTTGCTTTGCCACCACCCACGCCAGCTCTGGCGTCCCCGCCAGCGACTGCAGCATGCCCAGAATGGACGGCCGAGATTGCGGCGATCGCACGAGCAGCAGCAGCAGCATGAGGAGCGACCCGCGGTCTGATACCATTGCAGCCACACTGGGGGCGAATCCTGTGAGTCTGGTCAGCACTGCCAGAGCCAGATGGCGAATCCTGGCCTCTATGTGTGCAGCAGAGAGAGTGGCAGGTGTGACGGTAGAGGAAGAGGAGGAGGAGGAGGGAGAGGAGGTTGGGGCAGAGAGTGTGGGGAGGGAGAGGGAGATGCAGGTGAAGAGAGGGGCGAGGGAGGCCGGGGAGGCGACGGCAGCAGCGGCAGAAGGCGAGGTGGAGAGCACATTGTGGAGGGAGGTGAGGGCCATGATGATATTCTCCAGCACCCACCGCACATCCCGAGCTTTCCTCCTCTTCTTCCGCCTCCCTTTCCTATCCTGCCCAACCCCTCCTTCATCCTCTCCACCACCCCTCCCTCCTGCCCCTCCTTCGCCCCCATCAACCTCCCAATCGTCTGGTATCCTAAACCCTCCACCATCTCCCTCCCCACCTCCACCGTTCTCCTCCTCTTCCCTTCCCCCCTTCCCATCCTCATCCTCCTCCTGCTCGTCCCCCTCCCCACCCCGCCGGTCCCACTTGCGCAGCAGCAGGGCGGCAGCAGGATGCAGAGGCGTGTGGTGCGTTTGGGAGTGGTGCAGGGGCGGGAGCAGCGCGCACATGTCGAGGAGGAAAGGCACGAGGGCAGCGGAGAGTGACTCGGGGTCTGAGAGAGGGAAGTCCGGATGCTGGATGAACAGACGCAGGTAGATGTCTCCCACCTGCAGGACGGACGGAGGGAACACATGAGGGGTGGGGAGAGGGGGATGCATGAGGTCTCAATGAGAGACTCGGGGTTGGAAAGAGGGAAGTCTGGGTGCTGGATGAACAGACGCAGGTAGATGTCTCCCACCTGCTATGGGGGGGCCGAGGAGTGTACAAGGGGTGAGGGGAAACAGGAGGAGGAAATAGGGATGCATGAGGTCTCATTGATGGGGGCAGCGGACAGTGACTCGGGGTCAGAGAGAGGGAAGTCTAGATGCTGTATGAACAGGCGCAGGTAGATGTCTCCCACCTGGTGGAGGGGGGATGCGAGGCGTAGAGGAGTGTAGAAGAGGGAAGGAAATGAATGAGAAGCATAGGACAGAGATACAGGGTCGAATGAAGAGAGGGAAGTTTGGATGCTGGATGAAGAGACACAGGTGAATGTCTCCCACCTGGTGGCGGGTCACGGCAGCGAGGGGTATGGGCAGAGCGGTGTGGGGCGAAAGGGGTCAACAGGATGGGTGTAGGAAGTAGGGACAGGTGTAGGAAGTAGGGACAGGTGTCGGAAGTAGGGATGAGGTGAGTGAGTGGAGCGAATGGCATTCAAACATTGGAACAGACTCTCATGTCCAGTGATCTTATTCAAGAAGGAGCTCACCTGGACCTTGTCCTCGTTATAAGCTCACCTGGATCTCGTCCTCCAGTGCGGTGTACACAAACGTCTGGCATGCATCCACCGCATACGACCCATCTGCCTCCCTCTGCGCCCTCCTATCCTCCAGAAACCGCAGCAGCTGTGCCCTCATGCCACTGCTCCATATCACCTGTTTGAGAAACAACAAGGGATCAGAAACTCAACTCAAATCACTGCTATGGAAACCTATGCGCCCTCCAGATCTTTCTGTGCCTTCCTCACAGAAGCACCTGCTCCACATCACCTAGCATGGAAGAGCAAAGCAATCATGACAAGTTAAGGCTGGATCCAGACAGCCCACAGGTGTACGGTTGCCCAGCGAGTGACCCCGACATGTTTACAAGCAACCTTCGTCGCAGCATATGATGCTCTGCGGGCAGGTCAAGCAGCACAGTCCCTGCATTCCTCCACTCACCTCACATGCCATCCACTCAAGCTAAGGACAGCACTCTCTCACCAATGCTGGTGTGCACTGCCATCAGCATCAGCACACTCACCTGAAGGCTATCCACATTGCTGGTCAGCACTTTCAGTACTCACTCCGCATGCCATCACGCACCTCACATGCCATCCACTCAAACTACTGACAGCACTCTCTCACCAATGTTAGGGCGCGCTTCCTTCAGCACGAGCACTCACCCACGGGCGCCTTCCACATTGCTCGTCAGTGCCTTAAGCAGCCCCACAGGCTAATTCTCTGGCAGCCTAGCGGACAGCCTACTTACAAAGTGATATATCGTCTTACCTGTGGGCTCTCCACATTGCTAGTGAGTGCTTTGAGAAGTCCCACAGGTGAGTTTTCTGCCAGCCTAGCAGCCAGCCGCGGCGTGAGCAGCACCTTAACAGCCGCCCGTGCTGCCGCATCTGCCGACCCTTCCTCCCCCCCCCCTCCCCCCACCCCTCCTCCTCGCCTCCCCTCTCCACAAACCCGCTCTTTTCCCTCAAGTACCCTGTGAGCCGGGCGAGGGCTCGTGCTGCTAGAACTGCGTGTAGGTTGCGCTCTGATTGGACATTGGCGCCGATCGCTGATTGGCTCGTGCCCCCTCTGACAGCAGAGGCAGAGGCGGATGGGGAGGAAGAGGATGTGGTGCTGCTGGTGGTGATTCTGGTGCCGTTCATGCCGGTTGAAGGGAGAGGGGTGGAGATTGTGTGTGATGTGGAGGGCAGGGCGAGGTACTGGGAAGAGGACTGATAGGAATGAGAGCCGGATGGGAGCAAGGCTGCGCCCCCACCAACACTTGCAGTAACTTCTGCGCCTGCGCTCATTCCGCTGCCGCCGCCGCCGCCACTTGTGGTATCACCAGTGGTATCCGCAGTAGCGTCGAACTTAAACAGCAACGGAAGCAGGTACCACAGAGCTCCTGCCCTTAACAGCCTCTCTCTCAGCCCCTTAGACAGCGCCAGGTGGAAAATCCCTTCCAATGCTGCCTCCACAGCCCCGGGCGTGCTCTCTAGCTCCGTCGCCACCACCAGGTCCGGCACCAAGGCTGCCGCACAGGCTTGGTTGGTCCGAACCTCGGTGCGGGCGGAGGGGAAGGCGGAGAGAATGGCGAGCGTGCGGAGGATGTGCGTCGCGATGAGGGCAGGGGGGTCGGTGGGGGAGGAGGACGGGGAGAGCAGGGAGAGGCAGCGGGAGAGCAGCGTGGTGAGGAGAGGCAGGCCGCCGTCTCGCAAGAGCTCTTCGCCGTTCAGGGACGAACAGGCACAGCTGGAAGAAATGGGGTGTGGGGAGGGAGGGAACAAGAAACTCGTTAAATACTGTATCCCTGGAGCTGAATGAGTGAATATACAAGATCAAGTGGGGAATAGAGCAGCACCAGGGAGCGGGAAGCAAGGAGGAGGAGAATGGAACACCAGAGAACAACAGACCCCACGACTGCACCGCTACTCACATGAGCCACAGCAGATGCGTTGCCGCTTGCAGTAACTCCGACCGCTCCGGCGACAGAAAGCTAGACGGGCTCTCCTGCTGCCGCCTCGCCTTCCCACCATCCTCCGCACCAACAGCACCACCAGCAGCATCCCCTGTATTCCCTGCACCTGCCTCGCCATCCCCATCCTCCAATCTTAGCAGCTGCAGCAGCAGCGGGAACCCAGCATACTTAAACGGCTCCAGAACCCCCGGATACCTCCTAAACAGAATAACCTGCGCGCGCAGCAGCAGCAGCACGCGCCAGGTCTGAGGCCCCTGCAGGCCCTGCATGGCAGACTGCAGGTGCTCGTATGCCTTCTGCACCGCTATGAATTTGTCCCGCCCCTCGGGGTTCTTGTCCGGGTGGTATCTCACTGCCATGCGCCGGTACTGCCGCTTCAGCACGTCCTCGTCCACTTGCACGCCTTGTCTTGTAGTGGGGAAGGCCGTGCCTGAGGTGGTGGAGGCTGGCTGCTGCTTGTCTGGAAAAGCAGCGGCCGGAAGGACAAGAATTGGACCAACGAAAGGGGGAAGGGAAACGGTGTGAGTGAAGAGAGGGGGGATTGAAGAAGATACAGAGGGAGGGCGGGCAGCGGTGGAGCATCACTTTGCAGCGCGGGCAGGCGCACGCCCTCAATCTGAAAACTCAGACTGCCATGGAGGTGGACGCGGCAGGGATTGCTGATGCCATCGAACCCCTAGCTGAAGGTTACCTATTTTAAATCCTATGACCCCGCCTTGGACCCTTTGTGGACCAGGCGGGTGGCGAGTAGGATGCTTCCCTCGCCTTCAATCTTGCATGCTTGTATGCATATTGTTTATTAATAAAAGGACCACTCGAGGGAGGGCGGGCAGCAGAGAGAAGCAAGGCTGCAAATGCTAAGACAACAGCTCACCAGTGGGAATCTCGAGAATGGCACATGCTTCCTCATCCGAGATCCCCATGGGCTTCCTCGCAAGCTCCTCGCGCCACATGGCGAGCAGCGACTGGAGGAACTCCGCGTGCTCCACGATGGGCCAATCAGGGAAGCGGATCTCGTCGCACAAGTTGCGGAGGTAGTAGCGGTGGCACCACATCTCGTCCTTGAGCTCAGGGTACGAGATGGGCGGCATGGGCGTGTGGTCGTAGAGAGCTCGTGAGAACTGGCACAGGCGCTGGGGGAAATTGCCCAGGTGGGAGAGAATCTGTAGTACGAGGAGGAGTGCAGAGGGGTGCGGAGTGAAGGGGTGGGAGGGGGAGGGAGAAAGGGAGATGCAGGACACACTTCTCTCGTCCAACCCAAATGGTAATGGTAACGGTAATGGAAATGGGAATGGTAATGGTAGTGGTAGCGGTAGTGATAATGGTAATGGTAATGGTAGTGGTAATGGTAGTGGTAATGGTAGTGGTAATGGTAATGGTAGTGGTAATGGTAATGGTAATGATAATGGTAGTGGTAATGGTAATGGTAATGGTAATTGTAATTGTAATCGTAATGATAGTGGTAATGGTCATGGCAATGGTAATGGTAATGGAAATGGTAATAGTAATGGTATTGGTAATGGCAGTGGTAATGGTAATGGTAATGGTAATGGCAGTGGTAATGGCAGTGGTAATGGTAATGGTAATGGTAATGGTAATGGTGATGGTAATGGTAATGGTAATGGCAGTGGTAATGGCAGTGGTAATGGCAGTGGTAATGGTAATGGTAATGGTAATGGTAATGGCAGTGGTAATGGTAATGGTAATGGTAAAGGTAATGGTAATGGTAATGGCAGTGGTAATGGTAATGGTAATGGTAATGGCAGTGGTAATGGAAATGGTAATGGCAGTGGTAATCGTAATGGTAATGGTAATGGGAGAAAGGGAGATGCAGGACATGGAATGGACGAGACAAGTGTGTGAAAAGGGTTGAAGGAGGTACACTGCAGGGAACAGTTCTGAGAACAAACCGTGCTGGTCTAAAACCAAACAAACAATAAACAGACCGAACCAAAAAAAGGAACCAGATTCAGCCCTTAGTACCTGTGGGATGAGCACAGAGCCCCGCATGGCATGCGTCCAAATGAGCTCCGGCGAATCAGAGTCCGCCACCACAGCAGCGGCAAACGCTGCAGCTCCGCGCCTATCGAGCACGTAGAGCAGGCTTTCTGGCAACAGCACTCCCAGGATGCTGCGCTTGGCCAGCGGCTGTGATGCCATGTCTGCTGCCTCTATTCCACTCACATACGCTTGCCTGGCAGGTGGCAGGGAAGGGGGGAGGAGAAGAGGGAGAAGTTGGGAGAAAGAGGTGGCAGAATGATGTGACTTTTGAGTCGATTCAAAAGTGGCATGGCATGGCAGTGACTCACTCCAATACCCCTTTCCCCTGTGATAGACATGCTTTGAGACGGCTTGGGTTTGATTCGCATGCATTCTCTCACCCTGTGTGTGTGGGGTGGTAGAGTGATGCAATGGGCCTTATGTTGAAATGTGAGAGAAGCAAAGGCACTTACAGTGTGTGAGAGCGTGGTGTGGCAAAAGGAAACACCCAACAGGGTTTAGGCACTGACCGAGTGTGTGTGGCATGGCAGAGCGATGCAATCGTCCCGAAGTTGGAGCCAGCGTAGGCGAATGCGAAGAAATGCCACGAGATAGAAGTAGTGTTCTGAGACGTCTCAAAACACAGCTCACCGTGTGTGTGTGGCATGGCAGAGTGAAGCAATCGTGCCAAAGTTGGAGCCAGCGTAGGCAAACGCAAAGAAGTAAACCCCTGTGGTGTACAGGCGGGTGGCAACCGTTGGATTGTAGCGCACGATCTCCTCCAATAGCAGCGCGGCTTTCTCCACGATAGCAGGCTCGTTGGTGAGAATGGCCTGGCGGGGTTCATGGGAGGGTGGCAGGAAAAGGTTTCCTCACTGGAGTGACAAAGCTGGAAAGTGAAAGTTAAATTCTGAGGCGCAACAGGTTCCTCATTGGAGTGACAAAGCTGGCGAGCGAAAGTTAACAGGCATAATTGGGTGGAAGGATGCTCTCAGGGTTGTGTGACGGAACGAGAAAAGGGGGGAAGGGAGTGAAGAGGGGGAGGAAAGGAGCAGTGTAGAATGTGTGAATTCACAGACGTAGTAATGGAGGGAGGATGGCACGGAGGAGGGAAGACGGGATGAAAGTTAAGAGCTGACCTGAGCAATGTGCGGCAGGCATCTGGGGTCACAGAGAGCTCTCTTGACCCTCGGCATGGGCACCAGCACATCGCCTCCCCCTCTCTCCCGCTCCATACCCCCCCTGCCAGTGCTAACGCCACCACCATTGAGGAAATTAGCCCCCCCGCTTCCCACTAGCACTTCTGAAGGGCCGTTGGCGGATGCGGTGCGTAATTGTAACGAGGGGAGGTGGGAGGAGGTGGAGGAGGAGCAGGCAACGAGGGATAGGAGGATGTCCAGTGCTGCTTCTCCCACCTGATCGGGTGGCGTGTGGGAAGGGGGAAGGGAGGGAAGGAGGAGGGGGGAGGGAGAAGTGAGTGAGTGAGCGAATGGGTGAGAGAGTAAGTGGTGAATGGGAGATTGACTGAGTGAGTGAGGGAAAGAGGGAGGGAGGGAGGGAATTAAGATGACATGAAGCATGGCCTGTGCTGTTGCTGAGAAACACACGAACTTGAGCAAGGTTGAGGTAAGCACGGCAGCACCACAGATCAGGAACCTGAGCAGCAGTGTGTATGGCAACAGAAGCGAAAGAGCACCGAGCAGGCATTGCAACCAAACAGACTGGGCAGGTGTGAGGATGGCAACGCCGGTGGCCATGGCCCACCGCAGCTCGCGCACGTCACACACGCGGCGCCATGCACCCCAACCCAGTGGCCCAGCATCTGCTGCCCCAGAACACCTCACAAACAAGCCCTAGCAGGTATCCAAACAGACCTGAGCAGGTGTGAGAATAGCAACGCCAGTGGCCATGGCCCAGCGCAGCTCCCGCACATCACACACACTCCGGCCCACCCCACCACCCACCACCTGCTGACCCAGTCCACCTCACAGACAAACCTGGGCAGGTGTGAGAATAGCAGTGCCAGTGGCCATGGCCCAGCGCAGCTCCCGCACGTCACACACGCGGCGCCACTCGTCCCACCCGGCGGCCCAGCAGCGGGTGCTCCAGTCCACCTCCCCCCGCCACCGCGCCTGCTGCACTGCCGCCTTGAGCACGGGACCCACGCGGCCCCCGTTGGGCAGCATGTAGAACCACTCCTTGGGGGGTTCTGTGTACGCTGCTGCTGCCAGCAGGTTCGACTGGTAGAGTGGTGGACGGGGGTGGTGGGAACGAGAATAAGGAGAAGGATTGATTAGTCGACGCAGAAAGCATCCTTGAGCAGGAGCCCACGGGCCCCACGCGGCCCCCGTTGGGCAGCATGTAGAACCACTCCTTGGGTGGCTCTGTGTATGCCGTTGCTGCCAGCAGGTTCGACTGGAAGGGGCATGGGGACGGTGGGAGTAAGGGTGATAAGAATGACTTGTTAGTTGACTCAGAACGCAAAGCCCCACCTTCCCCACACGGCCTCTGTTGGGAAGCATGTAGAACCACACCTTGAGAGGCTCTGTGTACGCTGTTGCTGCCAGCAAGTTCGACTGGATGGGTTGATGGGGATGGGGGGTGTGATGGGGGTGATGAGGAAGGAGGGAGGAGAGAGAAGAGGAAAATCCACAGTGCATGGTGACCAGAAGGGGAAGGGATGAGTTGGGAGAAAGGATGGGAGGGGTGGATGTGGAGGAACGGGTGGGAGGGAAGTGAAGATGAATGATGCACAGCACATGGGTCAGGGGCGATAAAAGGGGGTGAGTGCACCTGGTAAGGAATGGTGGTGAGGCAACAGTTCACAGACCTGAAGGGGGATGGAGGTGCGCTCGTGAGCGTCATGTGCGGAGCAGAGAAGGTCGACTGCCAGCTCACACCCGCCCACCGCCACACACGCACTCGCATTCTCCCTCACTCGCACCAGCGCCTGCAGGTGACACGCGGATGGAGTCAGGCAGGGGAGTGGGAAAACAGTGGCGGCGAATGGGGAAGATAGAGGAGAGGAAAGGCAGTGAAGATAGGCAGCAACAGAAATGGACCATAAATCGCTCTCCCCCACTCACTCCAGTACTCCCCCACTCAACAGAAATTGACTTTTGAGACGTCTCAAAACTCGCATTCTCCCCCACTCAACCCCATACCTTAAGGAGCAGCAGCAGGCGGTGGCAGAGAATTCTATCAAGGGTGCGATCTAGCAGCAGAATGACACTCTTGAGAATTCGTTTTTAAAGGCATAAGCACTCGTTGCTGCACACTCGCACGTACCTTGAGCAGCAGCAGCAGGCGGTGCCGAAGGGTCCTATCCAGTGTGCGATCCAACAACAGCGTGACGTGCGCCGTGCCGTCAAATGGCCCTATCACCGCCCCGTACTGCCCGTACACTATCGCCATCGCCCGCGCACACAGCTCCCGCACCGCGTTGCTCCCCGCCCCCCCTCCCTTCCCTCCCTTTCCTCCCTTCCCGCCCTGCCCTCCCTGCCCCTCTCCCTTGCCAGCTCCACCATCCACTGCTGCGTCATCCCCTGCTGAGGCAGCGGGCTGCTGCAGCTGGGCTCCCCCGAAGCAGTCCTCGCCTGTGGGGTCGCACCATTCACTCAGCCTGCAATTCATGGGAGGACGGGAGAGAGACTACTTTATAAGTTAACCAGATTTTCACCTCATCACAGGCAAATTGCTGCAGCTGGGCTCCCCCGGAGCAGTCCTCGCCTGTGGGGTCGCACCATTCACTCAGCCTGCAATTCATGGGAGGACAGGAGAGAGAATACTTTATAAGTTAACCAGATTTTCACCTCATCACAGGCAAATTGCTGCAGCTGGGCTCCCCCGAAGCAGTCCTCACCGGTGGGGTCGCACCACTCACTCAGCCTGCAAGCAGATCGGGAGTGGGCAAAGACCGTTGTCATCACTTGGTACAGAAAAATCACGATAGATTGACTCCGGCCGCTGAGATTCAGAATAAGCACTCACCTTGCACGATCGTGTGACGCATCCACCCCGTCCACCACGAGCCCCATATCCGCCACCCTCAAGAACCGGTGGTACAGCGACTGGAAGACATGAGGCAAGCCTTGAGGCGCCAACCTCTGAACGCACCTGGCACGGTCGTGAGAGGCATCCACCCCATCCACCACGAGCCCCATATCCGCCTCCCTCAAGAACCGATGGTACAGCGATCGGAAGAAGAGAGACGAGCTCCTTAAGGCACCTCTGGACTTTCCTTGCACAGTCCTGTGATCCTGTGAGGCACCTCTGAACTCACCTGGCACGGTCCTGAGAGGCATCCAGCCCATCCACCACGAGCCCCATATCCGCCTCCCTCAAGAACCGATGGTACAGCGACCGGAAGAACGCTGCAGGGTCCCGAATGGACCCCACTGCCGCTGCCCCTGCCTCCCCTGCACTACCAGTAGGCGAATCCGCAGTGCTGTCACCAGCACCAGCAGCAGCAGTGGTGGCGTCTGGTGTACTGTCAAGGGCAGATGGGTGGAGGAAGAGGCGCAGGTAATACCCCCCCACACACAGCTCACAGGCCAACGACCGGTACCGCACCCGAAACTCAGCGTAATTCCAGCTCAGCACAACCCCCCCTTCCTCCCCCCCATCACCCTCCCCACCAGACCCTCCCTTCTCCGATCCTTCCTTCTCCTCTTGGCTGTCCTCCCGCCTCTCTTCCTCCGCCCCTCCTCCCCCCATGAATCTCTCCTGTTCCACGTCCAGCAGATGTACCTCCCCCTGAAGAGCCTCCCTCAGCTCCTGCCGCGTGCGCTCATTCCAGATCAGATCCGCCCTGCAGTGGTCCCCTGCAAACTCGTGCCAGAACCGCTCCCAGTTGAGACCTCCCCCAGCTGTGCCTGCCTCCTGGGGTGCTGGTGCACCTGGGAGATTTTGCTGGGTGGGAGTAGCTGTGCCTGCATGCAGAGCTGTTGCTGGGACTGGTGGTGTGTTCGGTGCTACTGCTGCTGCTCCGCTCCCCTGCTGCTGAAAATGCTGCTGCTGCTGCTGAGACTGCTGTTGATGGGGATGCTGCGGCTGGTACTGTTGCTGCGATTGTTGTTGATGCTGGTGCTGCACCTGAGAAGGGTGCGGCTGATGTGCTCCTGGCGCTCCTGCTGTGCTTCCTGCAACTGCTCCTCCTGCCACTGCTGCTCCTGCCACTGCTCCTGCCACTGCTGCTGCTCCACCTGCTCCTCCTGACACACGTGCGGCTGTAGCCAGTGGATCCACGGTAGCACCACCAGGCATACCGGGACCAATCCCACCTGCACCACCAGCACTACCTGCAATAGCAGCAGCAGCAGCAGCAGCAGAGGCAGCAGCAGTAGTGCTACCTGCAGCAGCTGTAGCAGTGGTAGCAGAAACACCACCACCAGACAGAGCATTTTCAACAGCAGCAACAGAAGCAGAGGCAATTGCATCCCGAACCGAACTGGACACCGAGCCTATAACGGAGTTGGCTAGGGCCGAAGCTGAGGCAGCTCCGGCAGGCCAGAGGTCCGAAATGGACAGGTCTTGCGGACGGGAGGAGGGCAGGAAAGGCGTCGACTGGGACAGAAAATCCGCTGCAGCTGCTGAGAACTGCCCATCTCCTGCGACCCCTGCTCCTGCCAAACCAGCTCCCAGATTTCCCGCCAAGCTATCCCCCCCACTGCCCCATCCCCCAGCAGCGCCTGCACCCCCTAGCCCGTGCCTTCTGCGGCCAATAGCAGCAGCAGCTGCCGATACCCTCCTCCTGCCCTTCCTCCCGGTCTGCTGCTGACCTGGCACTGCTGACGTGTCGCGATACGAGTACAGATGCGCACAAAGACCAGGAGGGAAGCACCTGCGGATAAGATCCAAACTCGGTTCATGCCCCTCGGCCCATAGTGCAATCAGCTGCCGGCTCAGCTCTCTCCTCTCTCCCCCAGCTGCTGCAACGCTGTTGCTCAGGTGTCGGAGGAAAGCGCCGTCTTTTAGCGCGGCGTCGCGCATGGGCCAGGCGGCGGCCTCGTCTTCTTCTGCGATGGTGCACATGATGACTGCCACTGCCTCCCGCGTGCCCTCGGCTGGGTGCGCGAAGAGGGAGAACAGGCGGCGCTTCAGATTCGCCACCTGACGCAGAGTCTCATGGAAGGTTGCGTCCTGTGTGGTGTCGCTGTCAGGCGAGCACACCAATGCTTCCACCACCGCCACTGCTGCGGCTGACAGCAGTGGTGAGACGGACCGTGGCTTCAGGCGATTCACCACCGCTGCCACCTGGGAGGGGGTAGAAACAAACAACCATGGGGAGGGATGGGAAGATGGGAACAATAGAGAAGAGGCAGCGCTTCAGTGTCTGGTGTGGTGTTGCTGTCAGGCGAGCACACCAGTGCTTCCACCACTGCCACCGCTGCCGCTGACAGTAGCGGTGAGACAGACCGCGGCTTGAGATGATTCACCACCGCTGCCGCCTGGGAGGGGCGCAGAAGAGGTGCAGGAGGGGAGGGAGGGGTGCAACCAACCATGGGGGGGGAAGAGAGAGAACAGTCGGCGCTTTAAGTTTGCCACCTGGCGCAGAGTCTCATGGAAGATTGCATCCTGTGTGGTGTCGCTGTCAGGGGAGCATACCAATGCTTCCACCACTGCCACTGCTGCCGCTGACAGTAGCGGTGACACCGACCGTGGCTTGAGGCGATTCACCACCGCTGCCACCTGGGAGGGGTAGAAACGAACAACCATAGGGAGGGATGGGAAGATGGGAACAATAGAGGAGAGACAGCGCATTAGTGTCTTGTGTGGTGTTGCTGTTAGGCAAGCCAATGCTTTTACCACAGCCACTGCTGCGGCTGACAGCAGTGGTGACACCGACTGTGGCTTCATGCGATTCTCCACCGCTGCCACCTGGGAGAGGTGCAATCAACCATGGACAGGGAAGAGAGGTAGACATAAGGAGACAAAACATTCCAGAGATTTGCCCCTGGTTTGAGGAGATTGTAGAAAGAAACTCTATGGACAGGAATTTCAAGTAGAGGCGAGAAGGACGTTCACAAACAGCGAGCGAGAAGGACTTTTTCAAACGGCGAGCGGGACTTTCATGACCACACACAGATGGTTGCGTGAAAGGGGCTCTACCTGGACCGGTGTGGGGAAGAAAGCAACTTTCGCAGCAGCACGAGCAGCCATGGCCTTGGAGACGGCTGTGTTGGCAGCTGCTGTGCCCTGACTGGTTGCTCCAACCTGGCTGGCTGTACTCCGCAGAGAGACTGGCAGTGCTATGATGGCTCGCAGCAGACCTGGTGGTTCAACGACAGGGTCGATGTGGGGAGAGTAAAGATGGGAACTTCATTATCGACTTGCAAATCAGCTGTTGGGACCTGAATGGCTGCTCCAACCTGGCTGGCTTTATTTCACAGAGAGACTGGGAGTGCGACGATGACTCACCCTTCTTCACCACATACCTCAGCAGTCCCACCAAGACTCACCGAGTGCTTCAGCAGCTACCGCCTCTGACCCACTCCGCACCAGCCCCATAATCCTCCCCACTGCTCCCGGCATCCCCACCACCAATGAGAACGCGCCACTTGCCCCCACCAGGCGCCGCAGACACGCCAGCAGCCCAATGTGCGTCCCAGCAGCCCTCGGGGAAGGCGCAGGGAGAATCGCGGCCGCACTATAAGCACCTGCTTCGCTATAAGCAGCCTCGTTACCCCCAGGAGGAGGAGCGGGCGGACTGGGCAGCATGCTAAGCACAGCCATCACCACCACATCCGGAACATCAACCCCTGCCGAAAGCCCTGAGTAAGGCACACAGGCATTGAACTCCCTGACTCTCCTCCACAGCCTAGTTTTCGACCCAGGAATGGTTCCCCCATCAGCAACTGCATCCTTAGCTGCTGCAGCGAGGTGCTTCACTAAGAGCTGATCCCCCTCTACGTCGCCAAATAGACCCTGGCCCAGGCGGGACATGGAGAGAGACGATGCCTCTAAGCTTGCGGATGCTGCAGCTGCTGCCACGGCTGCTGCTGCGGCCGCAGCTGCTCCTGATGAGGATGAGGATGATGTTGCTGCTGGGGTTGCAGAGGGGTCTGAGGAGGAGGAGGTGGGGGCAATGGAGGTGGCTGCGTGGGAAAGGGTGGAGGAGGAAGAGGAGGAGGAGGCAGGGGGTGGAGGGGAGAAGGCATGGAAGGCATCGCCGTAAGGGCCGTCTAGTCTGTGGCCAGTGGCTGTTGGGCGAGCCAGAACAGGTATGGGTTGCGATGTCTGTGTGTGGGGAAGGGGGGGGGGGGGAGACACGGGACGGATACATGATCCGTGGTAGTGTATGAGCACATATAGACAGGGTGAACATGACGGGTGAGGGTGAGGTATGCGCGAGACAAGAAGAGATCACCTGAGACCTCTCTCCTGACATAAGAACGCGCAAGTAGCCAACCCTCGCCTCAATCGCTTCAGAAACCCAATCCAGAACCCTAGAGCTGAAGCCTAAAACCTAGTTTCAGCACCTTGACGGTCGACCTAACACCTTACCTCGGTTTCAATGGCATCTTTGAGGGCGGACAGGAGAGATTCACGCGCTGCACAACGGTACACCTGGCGCGTGGGTGGGTGGCAGAAAAACTCATGATTGCATAATAGTGATGCTTGGCTTCACATGCTGGGCAAGGCAAGGCGACACGTGTCTCTTCAGGATGCGTGACTGAAAAGGAAGCGGAGAAAGGCTACACGTGTCTGACCAAGATTGGTGCGCCATCAACGAACTCTAGAGCCAGCAGCTGAGGCTCCTCCACCCATCGCACCAGCGCAGACACTGTTGAGAGCTGCCGCATGTATGTGGCCTGGCAGACACACACATCAATGGGGGATTTTAGCAGCAGCAGAAGGAAGGTGATGAGCCTTCCACCCATGCCATGCCACCACTTTGAATACAAACGATCTAATGAGACCACATTCCACAGTCTTTTACAGACCATTTGTCCCCTCACCTCATAAGTGACTGGGTTACGTTCCACAAAGTAGTGCCGAGTCACGGCAAACTGGCGAGCTGAGCCACTCCGCTCCACACCCAACCCGCCTTGCAATCCCCCCCCTGACACGCTATTGCTGCTGCTGCTAGAGGTAGCGCCAGCACCACCGGCAGCACCGGAGGAGGCACGAGGGGAGGGGTCTGGGAGCAGAGCAGAGTGACGGACGAGGGTGACAGACCACTCCCCTAGAGGAGGCTCGTTGGGACCCACTCCTCCCACAGCTGTGAAGAAAAAAGGGTTTCGGGTGCGGCACAATGTTAGAACCATGAGGTCGGGTCAGGATTGTTTGTGAAAGCAAGCAGGTTCCAGATGAGGCAATGAAACCGCACTTGTGAAGTAACAGACGAAGCCTGCTGTGCTTTGTGTTTGCATTGCACTGGCCGTACCAGTCTGTGAAATAAAGTCTGAGACGCTTGGGCGAGAGGTGGTATCCACTGTGAGCGCCCGCCCTATGGAGCCCTTTGCTGTGTCAACCTGAGGGAAACAGAAAGAAAGGTAGCAGAAAGTCGCGCCACGACTTGCAAAAGCGGCTTGCCGAGTGTGAAACATGAACGTTAGAGACTATTCTGACGAAAACCTAGTGAAAGATACATGCACCAGCGAACTGGACGAATAGTTCGAACTGTTGCAAGGCAAGTCACTGGATGATGGATGATAGAACTTCTCTTGGACATGAACCGTACAATCTTTGAGAGGATGGCCGAGTTGGAGCACCCGCCAGTAGCCATGATCGCCTTGGCCCGCCTCCCAAACCCCAGCCGCAGAATAAACCCCCCGTCCTCCCTCCCCGCCACGCCTCTCCGCACACCAAAGAACCCTCCAGATGAGCCTCCACTGGAAGCACCTGCACCAGATGCTGCCTCCTCTGGGCTGGCGAGAACAGTGACAGCTGGAGAGGAGAGTCCCTGAAACTCCACACTCCAGCGCACTGCTGCTGCTATGGAGGCCAGAGAGGAGGAGGAGGAGGAGGATGTGGGCGTGGAAGCAGCTGATACGGCTTCCACGGGTGCTTGGATCACCTCAATTCCCACTGCTGATATGCGCATGGCCTGGATGGATGGATGGATGGATGGATGGATGGATGGATGGATGGATGGATGGATGGATGGATGGATGGATGGATGGATGGATGGATGGATGGATGGATGGATGGATGGATGGATGGATGGATGGATGGATGGATGGATGGATGGATGGATGGATGGGTGGATGGATGGATGGATGGATGGGTGAAACGCAGAGACAGGCAGCACGAGGAGACATGGCCAATCACGAGTCAGCATGCCGCGATCAACAGTAGAAACAGCTCAAACAGAGGGAGGGAGGTGGGGACGTGGGGGGGGCTGGGGGGGTTGTTGGGTAAAGGGTCAGGGGATGGGGGGTGGTGGAGATGAGAAAACATGTGGTGAAAGAAAGTGCACGGACGTACCCTAGGGACCCAGGTTTGGGAGCGGCGGCGGAGGCAGAGAACAGGGAAGACAGTGGAGGGCGTGGTGAGGGGGCGAGGGGGGTGCGGATGCAGTGCTGCCACCACCCTGTGCAGCTCCGTCAGCAGTGATGCACAGTGCCTGGAAACAGATCAACGATCGCCGAACTGGAAGTTAGCATTCTAATAGCGGTGATGATACATACACAGGCATAGAGCTCGATCTTTGTGCAGATTTTAGGAGAAAGAGCAGATGCACGAACGAACATGCGGATGCACATACAAGAGATTCGGAGTAGGGTGGGGAGAGGTTACCGTGCAGAGAACTTGATGGGCTTGTACTTGCCACGGCCATCTGTGCGAACATTGATTGTGAATTCCAGCTGCGGTAAGAGTGAAACGAGACAGGAGGGGCAAAGATAGATGATGAAAGGCTTGACCAATCACCATCGTGAAATTTATCAATCTAATGTGAAATTCATGTGAGGAATTAAAGCATCAATTCAAGTAGCAGTTGGTTGTTCCAGAATCCGCAGCAATAGCATCAACCATACCATGATTGCTAACCTTCATATACCCACCTGTCCGTCTTCCTTCCCTCCAAGCGGAGGAGCCACCACAAGCCCCTCATAATCCGTCGCGAGGGTGTAGTGGTTTGTAGACGAGAGCGACTGAGGATCGAGGGTGATTATAGCGGAGGATGACACACAGAAGAGCCGCTTGTACCGTCCTCTCCAAGAGTGCTTGGTTGCGTAGCAACGGATAGCGTAGTCTGGCTCCTCGGGAATCCCTTCCTGCTGGAGCACAGTAATAAAAACATGTAGAACAGATTAATTTCAATCAGGAAACTGGAGTCCACAAGAGGTATCAAAACCAACGATGTCGGAAATACAATCAGCCATGAAGCGCAGTGTCAGCAAGTGCTTAGCATTGCAACTTTACCTGGCCATGGTGATCGCTACTGGCTGTAGCACGGCTAAGGAAGTCCATGATGACGTAAGGCTGCTTCTGTCGTTGTGTACGAGACTGATCCTGCCTGATTACATCACACGAACGCCTCTCATGACATTTTCTAGAAAGTCTTTGTATTCCCTCTCTTCGTCACGTGTCTGGTAATCATGTCCAATCCTACTATCTCGACCAAGTGAACTCGTCCTAGTAGTGTTTCCCGAGCCGTCGCTCTTACTCGACAACAGGTATCCGGTTCAGCGACTCGCAAGTAAGTCGCACTGACGGCGGTCGTCTAGATTCGATCAGATTGGAAATGAACGTTCTCTAGCGACATCCGTCCATCATTTTCAACTACGGCACACGCAGATGCTTCGGATGCTAAAACTACCTTCAACTGACAGATTCCGTTCTTTCGAGAAAAGGCACCCGTCGGAATCTTTGCTAGAACTGAGGGTCCACTCTAGCCCATATGACTAATCGTTCAATCATACAACCCTACAGCCTGGTCAAACCAAACAGCCTTCCGGTCTTCGACCCCACCCTCGGTTTACGAATGCTTAACGTAGTGCAACGTCAATTAATTTCCTAGGGATTGTAAGAATTGTAAGTAGAACTAAAGCCGAAGGCTAATGTGCATTTCTAAAGCAGATTCTACATAAGTGCTGTGTGGGAGTTGGCTGTCTGAGTTGAGCCCACGAAGAAAGGAAGCAAGCGAAAGATTATCACTTGAAGGCAGCCTGCGGACGAAGTGCTGTGAGAGCAGTGCGTAACCAGCTTCAATCAAATCGCGGGGAATCTGCTGCTGATTGCAACTTTTGCGAACGACGTGTCTGTGTTACACTGTCGTCGTTGTCAGAGGAAGTGAAGTGCTCCATCCAATCAGCACTTTCCGTTTACTGCAGTTTCCAGGGGAGCCTCAGGACGCGTCACCTGCCTCGATCTATCGTAGGATTGCCAGGAAAAACCGATCGGGCATACCGATCGCAGGTTTGGAGCACGATTGGGGGGAGGTGACAGCTGAACATCGATCGCAGCTTGGTTTCGAGCCCTGGGTAACACGTTCGGTATTGCGCCAGGAGACAAGGTTGGGCGAAAATATGCAGCACCGTCGTATGGGTGATTTGCGAGAAAAAACATGAGATGATTCAGGTAACCCTGCAAACTGTGCGACGGCGATCGATCTTGCCTGTCACTTTGAGCGCGAGCTTGGGGCTCATGCAAAATCGGTGTGTATGATGATGCAATCATCGCGGTTGGGGGGAGGTGACAAGATCGTGGTGCATCTGTTACTGTACATTCGTTAACTGTCTCGAAAAAGGGTATCCTTGTTAGCTGCGATGCTACTGTAACACTGTAGCATGCCAAACATCGAACCTACGCAGGATCGATCGAGGCAGGTGACGCGTCTTCACCCCGAACCAGCGCCGCAACTTGGAACGACCGGCAAAATCGTAGCCGTCGCTCAGCGGAAATCATTGTTACCAAGCGCATTCATTGTTATCACCATTCGATCCAAGCACACTTCTCCTCACTGCATTGCCAAACCTTCACCCGCCATCTGCTCAACTGCCGCAGTCAATCTCGACCGCCACCGCCAGTCACAACACAAAGCGCGAAACTATCGGGGGTAAGGGAAGGGGAGCACCAGCAGCCTCAGTCGGGGGGATCGCAGCCTGACTTGCGGAAGAAGCGGCATTGGACTTGTCGCGCGTGTTTTGGGGGTGGTGTGGAGATATTTCGGCAGACAACTTGTCACTCGTATTTAGTCACCTCACCATTTAGCGCCGCTTATCTCCTTACTTTTCCGCCATTTGCCTTGAAACAGTTATCACAGTTTAATCACGGACGTCTCTTTCCTCTTTGGTTTAGTATCTGACCCAGCCACCGACTTCTCTTATCAATACCTCCAAAGCGAAGCCTTTCAACGGCATAAAGACAGCGCGCCTAAAACATTCGACTCGCGTCTTCGTCGTGTCCGTCTTTGGTTGTCCTATACCTAACCGCTTGCTCAGACCTCCTCGTACGGCCTTGTCCCTCAACCTTCAAAACTGCCTGCTTTGGAGGCATACTAAGTACCTCGTCATACTAGCTACCTGCTTCACTAATACTTAACCTTAAACTTGCCATAGCTCTTGGTTAAGTTAACCTTTAATTTTCATAACTCTTAGTTTAGCGTGGCCTCGTCACGACTTGATTAACGGTGGCTTCCGGAGCAATGTCGTCGCCCGGTCGGATGTCGCCGGGTCGGATATGGGGGGAGATCAAGCGCAAGACCGAACACGCCGGCAAAGGCATCGCCTCGCGTTTCTCGCACAACTTTCGTAGTCACTCCGCTAGTCAGTCGGGGAGTCACTTGGGGAGTCGCAGCGGTCGCAGAGCGCAGCCCGACGACTCCGCGAGCGACGGCAGAGATCCGCTCGGCGAAGACGACGACAGTCTCGCCATGAGCCCCGACCGTTTCGCGAGCCCGAACCGCAGGAGCGTCTCGGGTAATTCCGTGGATACCGGGGTTCGGCCTCCTACAGTCCGGCACTCGTTCTCCGGACCTATTTCCGGCGTCAAGGATGACGTTGCTGCGCCGCGGGTCGCGGAACCGACTATTGCGGAACGGGAACCGCTGGGGGGTATCGGGCTGTCTTATAACGAGTCGTTGGAGAAGAGCAAGGAGGGGATAGCCGACGAGAGGACAGACGCGGACGGGGTTGGAGCGGATGGAAGGGCAGAGGGGGGAGCAACGGGAGAGGGAGAGAGGAAAGGGTCAGGAGTAGGAGCTGGGGAAGAGGCTAAAGGAGAGGCGAAGGGAGAGTGGGGAGGGTGGGAGATGACAGAGGAGCGGTTGGGATGGTGCGAAGAGGCGTTGAAGCAGCTGAAGAAACGGATACGCGAGCTTGACGCTGTGTCGAATGTGACTGGCAAGCAAAGATTCGTGGAGGAGTTCGAAGGGCTGCGGGTGAGTGACGCTTCGGGTGGGATTGCATCCTGTTGCACCGTACTGCATCCCCTTGCATCGCGTTCCGTTGGATCTCAGCGTGATGCATTCCCCGCACCCGCAGCGCTCTCCGGCGCATGAATGGGCGGGCACAGGCCAGAGCTTCGGGGGAGAGAGAGCTAACAGCACGCAATGCCACGCAACTGAGTCTTTGTTGAAAAAAAAAAAAAACTAACAGAAGTTTCTTGTGATGTACGAACGGCTGTGTGGATTTGCGTGTGCATGCATGAATGGGAAGGCGCAGGCGAGAGCGTCGGGGGAGAGCAGACAGGAAGCAACGTCGGCGATGCTGCCAGTCAACCGCCCTAAGAACCGCTACATTGACGTGCTGCCTTGTGAGTCGCGCTCTTCCGTTCCGAGTGGGTATTCTAAGGTCTGTATCAAAGGGCAGACGGACCCACACGCCGGTGCGCTCTGTTCTGTGTGGGTGTGATTCACGCCCTTGAAGTGGATTTGAAAGAATTGCGTTGGTTTAGAAGTCAACCAGCCAAAAGAGCCACATTAGTGGCTCTCAGATTCTTGTCACAGATTCTTTCTGAAACTCAGCCTCCTATTTATCATAACTTACCCGCTCCTTTTTCTTTCCTTTTGCCCGCCTGCCTGCCCTTCAGATGAGAACAGCCGGGTTCTTTTGGGAGGGCAGAGCGGAACACATTCGGACGGCTCAGATTACATCAACGCGTCGCATATAGTCACGGTATGAAATAGTCACTACGACCAGCCCAGCAGCGTGTGATAGAAGCCCCTTTTCTGGTTCCTGTGCTTGCGTGTTTCTTCTTGGTCAACTATGTTCTCTCTTTTTTTTTTTCTGGGCAATTAAAGGAGTATGTATCCACATACGCCACAGGACAGGAGGACACAGCGAATCTCCCCACATGCCACAGTGCATAGCAGGGCAGGGCAGAGCTCGAGGTCAGTCCGAAGTCACCACGCTGCACCTCAGGGCTGAAGCTGAATCGTTGCCTTCCCCACCCCAACCCCACCCCACCCCACCCCACCGCACGTCACCCCACCCCACCCCACCGCACCGCACCGCACCGCAACACACCCCAGGACTCGTCGGAGGCACACATGCCGCGGTATACAGCGGCTCATGGCTCACGCTGACTTGATCTTTACCTCAGTACTTTGCACCCCACCCCATCCCACCGCACCGCACCGCACCACATCCCAGGACCCGTCGGAGGCACACATGCCGCGGTACATAGCAGCGCAGGGGCCACTGGACGACACTGCAGCGGCCTTCTGGCACATGGTGTGGGAGCAGCGCGCCGCTGCCGTTATCATGCTCACACGGGAGGTGGAGGGATCAAGGGTGAGTGTGGTGCGCTGTGAAGGGTGTGGGGAATGGGCTGTGGATGGCACATGGTGTGGGAGCAGCGCGCCGCTGCTGTCTTCATGCTCACACGGGAGGTGGAGGGGTCAAGGGTGAGTGCTCTCTCTCTGTGCGTGCTCTCTGTGTGAGTGCACAAGGAATGGATGGGTGAAATGAACACGAGGGAGGTTGATGGCGCGTTGGGAGCAACGCGCCGCTGCCGTTATCATGCTCACCAGAGAGGTGGAGGGGTCAAAGGTGAGTGCTCTTTTCCATGCATGCATGCGTGTGTATCAGGGGAGAGTACTGTGTGAGGAAAAAGGAAACAGGGGCCATGTGGGGGACAGGGGCGGAGAGGGAACGGTGAGATCGAGTTTGCCAATTCCCCCCTTCACCCCCTCTTCCCTTCTCAATCCCCCTCCCCTCGCTCTGGGCCACAGATCAAGTGCGCGCACTACTTCCCATCCAAGGCGGGTGCGAGCGAGGTGTATGGGCACATGCACGTGTGCCATGAGCCCCTGAGCTTGTCGACTCCTGAGGCACAACACAACCATCTCTCTCCCTTTCCCTCCTCTCCTCCCGCGCCTGCTATTCTTCCCTCCCCGTCCCAGATCAAGTGCGCACACTACTTCCCGTCCAAGGCGGGTGCATGCGAGGTCTATGGGCACATGCGTGTGAGCAACGAGGCGACGGTGGAGATGAGTGATGGCGGCACGCTGCAGCGCCAACTCACCGTTACCAACGAGACGGTTAGTGGGTGATGACATGGTGCATGGGTATCCATGAGGATGGTCAGGAGGGGTGAGGCCAAAGAACCTCCCTGTGCTGCAGCACCTGCACTGCCTAGATCAGCCGGCTGGCGGGCAGACCACGGAGTGCCCCGGGCCCGTGCACCACGGGTTGCCCCGGGCCGGGACACAGAGTCATCTTCATCTTACTCGCCCATGTGTAGTGAGGGTGTTTTTGAGACGTCTCAAAAACACCCTCACTACACGAGACCACGGAGTGCCCCGTGCCTGGGGTCGGGACACAGAGTCACTTTCTTCTTACTCGCCCGTTCATTGATACCCTCTCTTCCTCCTTGCCCTGCCGTTACTGTATTCCCCAGGCACCAGGAGCACCGCTCTCAGTGCTGCACCTGCACTCTCTTGACTGGCCAGACCATGGGATCCCTCGGGACACGGAGTCCTTTCATGTCTGCTTGTGCATTGACTCCCTCCCCTCCTCCTTGCCCTGCCGTTACTGTGTTAACCAGGCGCCAGGAGCACCGCTGTCAGTGCTGCACCTGCACTATCTTGACTGGCCAGACCATGGGGTGCCGCGGGACACAGAGCCCATCTTTGTCTGTCCCCCCATCCGTCTCCCCCTTCCTTGCCCTGCTGTTACTGTATTCCCCAGGCACCAGGCGCGCCCCTCGCAGTGCTGCATCTGCACTACCTGGACTGGCCCGATCACGGAGTGCCGCGGGACACGGAGTCCATTCATTTATGTCTGCCTGTGCATTGACTCCCGTCCCTCCTCCTTGCCCTGCTGTTACTGTATTCCCCAGGCGCCAGGAGCACCGCTCTCAGTGCTGCATCTGCACTACCTCGACTGGCCCGATCATGGAGTGCCTCGTGACACGGAGTCCATTCGCGACCTTATCCGCTCCCTCAGAGACTCGCCCTCGTCCGCTGGGCCCTTCGTCATCCACTGCAGGTGAGTGGCACTGCAGGTGAGTGGCACTGCAGGTGAGTGGCACTGCAGGTGAGTGGCACTGCAGGTGAGTGGCACTGCAGGTGAGTGGCACTGCAGGTGAGTGGCACTGCAGTGTTGTGTTGTGCCATGTCAAAGTGTCATCCGCTTTCTCAGAGATTCGCATTTGCCCTCGTCCGGTATCCGTCTGTCTGTCCTCCACTTCAGCTTGCACCTGCTTTGCTCTGTCTGAACCCTCCCTTTTGAGGCTCCCTTTGATTGAGGTGCCTCAAAAGCTGCACCTGCCCTGCTACACACCCTCCCTTCAACTGTTGAAGGGGCCTACTATGGGCGCACGGGCGCATACTGTGTGGTGGACTATGCAGTGCGGAGGGAGTTGCTGGTATGGTAACATGACGCCTCTCGATCCCCCTCGCTCCCTTTCCCCCTTGCACTACCTCTCCCTCCCACTGTTGCCAGTGCGGGCATTGGCCGCACAGGAGCCTACTGTGTGGTGGACCATGCAGTGCGGAGGGTGTTGCAGGGCGACCTCTCAGCTCTCGACATGGCTGCAACGGTGCTGCTGCTCCGACAGCAGCGCGCTGGCATGGTGCAGACCAAGGTGGGTGTGGTGTGAGGGAAGAGAAAGGTGTGATATCATTACAAGAAACCAAGGTGTTGAAGGGGGACCTCTCAGCTCTAAGCACGGCTGCCACGGTGCTGCTGCTCCGGCAACAGCGCGCTGGCATGGTGCAGACCAAGTTGAGTGTGACCAAGGTGAGTGTGACCAAAGGGAGTGTGACCAAGGTGAGTGTGACCAAGGGGAGTGTGACCAAGGTGAGTGTGACCAAAGGGAGTGTGACCAAAGGGAGTGTGACCAAGGTGAGTGTGACCAAAGGGAGTGTGACCAAGGTGAGTGTGACCAAAGGGAGTGTGACCAAGGTGAGTGTGACCAAGGGGAGTGTGACCAAGGTGAGTGTGACCAAGGTGAGTGTGACCAAGGTGAGTGTGACCAAGGGGAGTGTGACCAAGGTGAGTGTGACCAAGGTGAGTGTGACAAAAGGGAGTGTGACCAAGGTGAGTGTGACCAAGGTGAGTGTGACCAAAGGGAGTGTGACCAAGGTGAGTGTGACCAAAGGGAGTGTGACCAAAGGGAGCGTGACCAAAGGGAGTGTGACCAAGGGGAGTGTGACCAAGGGGAGTGTGACCAAAGGGAGTGTGACCAAAGGGAGTGTGACCAAGGGGAGTGTGACCAAGGGGAGTGTGACCAAAGGGAGTGTGACCAAGGTGAGTGTGACAAAGGTGAGTGTGACCAAGGTGAGTGTGACCAAGGGGAGTGTGACCAAGGTGAGTGTGACCAAGGTGAGTGTGACCAAAGGGAGTGTGACCAAGGTGAGTGTGACCAAGGTGAGTGGAGTGTGACCAAGGGGAGTGTGACCAAAGGGAGTGTGACCAAGGGGAGTGTGACCAAGGGGAGTGTGACCAAGGTGAGTGTGACCAAGGGGAGTGTGACCAAGGTGAGTGTGACCAAGGTGAGTGTGACCAAGGTCTATGTTGCGGAAGACGCGTCTAGCGTCTTAGACGCGTCCGTCTAGACGCAGCGTCTAAGACGCTAGACGCAATTTAGGCCAGATTAGACGCAGGTTTAGACGAAAGCCCAGGCAGGCCAAAAAAAGGTTGGGGCAGCCTAAAAAAACTTCTGTCGGGCATGGGGAGGGTGGGGGACATGCACAAATGTCACAATTGGGTGAAATTTTCCCCGTACCATAACTTTTTTCCCATATTTTTTTTTCCAGGCTGCCCGAACAATTTTAGCCCAAGCGTCTAGCGTCTAAATGTGCGTCTTGCGTCTAGCGTCTAGACGCTAGACGCAAGACGCGTCTTGCGTCTTCCGCAACATAGACCAAGGTGAGTGTGACCAAGGGGAGTGTGACCAAGGTGAGTGTGACCAAGGTGAGTGTGACCAATGTTAGTGTGAACCCTGGGTAAAGAACGGTGTGATATCATCAAAGACCTTCACCTCTTCTCACCTCCATTCACTCCTCTCCACCTCTCTCTCATCACCCAACATGAGGTGAGTGGGATGTCAGGGAAAAGAACGGTGTGATGTCAGGGCAAGCACCTTCTCAAAGCCTTCACCTCACCGCATCAAGCGTCTCATCAAGACCTTCACCTCTTCTCACCTCCATTCACTCCTCTCCACCTCTCTCTCATCAACCAACAGGAGCAGTACCGCTTCTGCTACACCGCAGTGCAGGATGAGCTCAAGCATCTCATCAAGACCTTCAACACTGGCCCTGACTCCAATGACTCCTGACTTGAACTCCTCTTTACCTCTTTCCACCTTCCTTCACCCCTCTCCACCTCACCCAACAGGAGCAGTACCGCTTCTGCTACACGGCAGTGCGGGACGAACTCAAGCATCTCATCAAGACCTTCAACACCGGCCCTGATTCTGACGACTCCTGACTCTAACCGCCTCTTCACCTTTCTTCATCTCCCTTCACTCCTCTCCACCTCACGGGCCCTGACTCGGATGACTCCTGACTCCTACCTCCTCTTCACTCGTATCTTTGAATAGTTCGCTAAGTCTCTTCGTCACAGCACTCCCGGGCACTCCTTGGCACCGTTTGGTGCTCCTTTGCAATCCTGGCACTCCTCAAAGGGAGGAGCTTGTTGAATGTAGGGCTCATAGGGTGGTGCATTCAGTAGGCACGTTATCAATTCCTTGGAGTAGTACCACTGGGCAGCAAGGCCTTGTGAGAATTGTCAGGAATGTATGGTGCTAGGAGCTCATAATAACTTGTGAGTAGTGTGGCTTTCTCTGACTCTAGCAGACTTCAAAGGATGATGTTTTTTCTCAGGCACTTGCTCCGTGGCACAGTGATAGGCAGAAGAAAGGTTGCTGGTAGGTAGGGCAGCAACAGCAAGCATGCAGTTGACACTAAGTTGCTAACCACTAACTCGCGCCAGTGGGGAAGAGGATGGGATGGGATCCCTGACAAGACCAGACCAGAGTCCTCAGTGCGGCAACTGGAGAATGGTGTTTGGCTCTTTCAGAGCCTCTGATCTGATCTTGAGGACATCCAGATTCATTGCAGTGCAATGATTGCACGCATGAATTTTCTGGCCGGAACGATGTACCGTAATTTCAAAAGACATTGTTGCGGAATGGATAAAGAAATAGTACAAGACAGCTGCAGCCTGTGTCCTTGCCAGAGGCCTTATTTCACGCTAGGTGACAAAAAGGCCCACAGGCCTACGCCACCCAGGTGGAGAGGAGCACAGCTCGAGAAACAAATTCTCTATCCACCCCACTCATAGCATCCCACAGAAAAATGGTGGTAACAAGTAGTAAGAAAGCGACGGCCCAATAACTCCGCGCAGAGTGTGTAAATGTTGCATCCTTTGACTTTTACAGCGAGTAGAACTTGCGGAGGCCGTTGGGGCGGACCATGGCGGGGTTGGTGGAGAAGAAGAGCGTGTTGGCCACCTTCTGGTTCACGGCCTGCGTGGGGTTGTGCTCGTCCCACCACAGGGTCTTGCCAGGCGCCGCACACGCCCCTGCCGTGACAGCTGCCTTGCCGGTTCCGCTGGTCTGCGCACACGGCACTACCACCCCCGTGCTTCTCATGGCCTCGCAGCACGGGTGCGTTTGATTCGTCAGCCCTGGTGGGGGAAGGGAGGGGTGGGTTGTTGCAGGATTAAGGGATGTTGAGTGCATCACTCCACGTTGTGAAGACACATAATGTGCAAGAAGAGAACATGGGCAAGAACAGAACATGGGGTCTTACCAGAGGTGGGGACTTGGATCATGGTCTTGAAGACAGATGATTGCTTGAAGAGCACCAGGTTTGGCATGGGCAGGGCCGGGTTGTTCCTCAGCTTGTCCGTCTTCGTCAGCAGCGCGAAATTATGAATTATGGTAACCTGGTTACCTGCGTCCGTGCAGTTGATTCCGGATTTCGCCGCATGGCGCACGACAGGAGTGCAGCCGAGGTTCGGCAGATCGATAATGAGAATGTTAGAGGAGCCGGTGAGGTTGTAGAGAGACTGGGTGATGTTGATAATGGTGTTGGAAACAGAGGAAGCTATGGCGACGAGGGTCGTCATGTTGGGCTGCGCGTGGCTCAGCTCTGGAATGTAGTCATTGGCACCGATGCTGATCACGAACAGCGCCTCGTCTAGCTTCTGCGACACAGAAGTAAAAATGGAAAAGAGGTTAAAGAATCGTCGAAGGAAAATTGGGATAGAATGCGAGAGGAAAATCAGCGGAAAAAAAAGGGAAAGGAAATGAAGCTGGAGGGGATTTGAAGTGGGGGATACAGACGAAGATGAGTGGGAGGGGCGAGAGTAAGGCGTCGCTCAGAAAGCTTACGAGGTCTGGGTTGTTGGTGCGCTTGGCCTCGTTGAACCACTTCTTGAACTCGTTGAATTGCTGCTGCAGCCCGCGCGTCTGCCGCCATGCGAAAGGGAAACGGCGAGAAATGGAAGCGGCGAGAAGACGGACGGCGGTTAGATTGCTGGACGTTCGAATCGAATCTCACATTTGCTGACCGGTTAGTGTGGAAAACAAGGGTACGACGCGAGGTGATGCCGTGCTTTAATCTAAGCGACAAGGGGAGAGCCTGACGCTAAAAGATGAGGGAGGTACCTTGCCGGCGTTGGTGCCGGATTTAGCGCCGGCTCCAGCAATGGCGAAGTCGATTCCGCTAAAAGGAAGCGACGCATTGCGGGGCGCGAGATCGGCGCGCGGCGAGGGAATCACGAGGAAGTCGGCTGTCGAAAGGAAAGAAAAGGGAGGGAGAGGAGAATCAACCTGGTTGAAATGGCTTCAAAAGCATGGCCGTTTTGAAAACTGCGATGATTGAGCACAGAAGAACGGTGAAAACAAATGATGTCCCGCATCAGGAATCTAGTACTGTAACCAGCAGAAGACGCACCGAGATAGTCAACGACGAGCTTTCCGTCGGAGAAGCGGCCCGACGCGGGCTTGAAGTTGACGCCGTACGGCAGCTTGTTTGCCTTCACGGTCGCGCGGGTGAAGTAATTCGCGTTTCCGACGTCCGCCGACTCGTCGCCGAAAACGTACATCTGCGAAATCTTCGCGGCCGTCGCGGCGCGCGCGACGCACGCCAGCGCCGTGGCGAAAAGAAGAAGCGCGGACACAGAAGCGAGCCCCGAAGCCATGCTGATGCTGTGGGCGCGGAGACAAGTGGAAAAGGTTGTAATGCTACTGGGTGAGAGGAATGGATTTGGAGTCACGTGTGGTAGGCACACGGAAGTGAGCACACACGGTGGGAAGAGGCGTGGAGATGTTTGGAGCGAAGCGAGCAAGTACGAGAGAGAAGATGCAAACGGTGGTATTTGAACTTGGATAACTGGGTTTTTTCGCGTTGCGCAGGTGGGGTCCCATGGAAGAACCCGGTCGGGTCCTTATCTCCCAATATGGCTTCTGGCGGCTTGCGCTGTTCATAGAAAATGTGGAATTTGGAATAGTTGCGTTGGAATGTCCGTGTGGGAAATCGTGGTGGTGTGCTCAAGAAAGAGCTGTGGCGGGAGGGAGAATCAGATTTCGCGCAAAATATATCGGGATGCCATGAAGAACGATAGCCTCGTGAGTGTTCGTGAACCTCCTGCCAGCTCTAAGTTTGGTCGCCAGAAATGATGAACAGACTCGCGAAGCGGCTCTGGCAGACGCAACACTTTCACCGCATGGGCAAGTATGGGGTGGGGGCCACTGCGACTCGACATGAAATGCGATGGTATGGGAGCAATGCGCGGTTCGAAAGGGTTATGCCTCCCGTACATCTCCCTTCTGTGCTGTGACCTGTCCCGCATACCAACCGTACATCTCCCTTGTGTGCTCCTGTGGTGCTTCTAGGTGCAACACGGTTGTAGCAGGCTTGTAAGGCACACCGATCGGTGCTTGGACAAATGGCGGTTGTGATGTGAGGGATTGGAAGGAACGCGACCTGCACCACTAACGCCTGTTACGGGTATCGAATCGAACCGTGACTTTGTGAATAACAAGACGCCTTATGAATTGGTGTAGTATTCAGTGAATTGTAGCTGCCTTATCGGGCATAACATAATCTATACATTTTACCTATCATCAAAACATAACGTACAAAGCATTATTTTTAGGGGTTCAAACTAGATGCAGATGAACTGCGGAGCATAAGGCCTGCTGTCAATAGAGCATGCTTAGCCAAATAATGTCTGCTATTCGACATGTGCCACATCAGCTGTGCGTGTTGAGAGGTGTCACGGAATCCAATCGGGAGTGTTCTAGAGTGGGAACGAGATCGGATGAGATGCGCATTAGGTCGAGAAACTCATAGTCCCACAGCACCTCGCCATCGTAAGCGTAGTACTCCTGCAGTGAACAACGGTGTGCAGGAGTGGAGAGGGGTGCAGGGAGCATAGAGAATGGTTGCGGTAGAAGACAAGACACACGGGAGGTGTAGGAATTCGTTTTCCCACAGCACCTCGCCACTATAGGTATAGTATTCCTGCAGTGTGCAGAGAACAACAAATTGAAGAGAATGCAGGCAACACGAGTGGAGAGGGGTGCAGAGAATGGAGGGGTGCAGAAAACAGCAGTGGAGTGGGTGCAGGGAGCATGCAGAGTGAAACACCTTGACCACGTTGACTCACCTTGACCACGTTGACTCACCTTGACCACGTTGACTCACCTTGACCACGTTGACTCACCTTGACCACGTTGACTCACCTTGACCACGTTGACTCACCTTGACCACGTTGACTCACCTTGACCACGTTGACTCACCTTGACCACGTTGACTCACCTTGACCACGTTGACTCACCTTGACCACGTTGACTCACCTTGACCACGTTGACTCACCTTGACCATGTTGACTCACCTAGACCACAGTGACTCACTTTGACCACGTTGACACACCTTGACCACAGAGACTGGCTGCATAGAGGCAGAGAGGTGGTGAGGGAGAAGCCAGCAGCTTATGAGTAGACTCAAAAGTGACTCACATTTACTCACCTTGACTGCGTTGACTCACCTTGACTGCGTTGACTCACCTTGACCACAAAGACCGGTTGCATGGAGGTGCGCTCAAGACCGGATATGGTGAGCGAGAGAGAGGCATCTGCTGCCAGCAGGTCGCTGAGTGAGAGGTCGTGCAGGGGGCTCACCTTGACTCCCATTGACTCACGTTGACTCACCTTGACCACAAAGACCGGCTGCATTGAGGTGCGCTCAAGGCCGGATATGGTGAGCGAGAGAGAGGCGTCTGCTGCCAGCAGGTCACTGAGTGAGAGGCCGTGCAAGGGGCTAGAGTCATCCACTATGTGCCGCAGATTGAAGCCAAAGCGCATGTAGGGCAGCTGGGAAGGTGGGCGGGGGGGGAATGGGGGGGAGTGGGAAGGGCAAGGGTGGGAGAAGCAGGATGGTAGGGGGTCATTGAGAGTGTGATCGTGCAGAGGGCTTGTGCCGTCCACTACGTGCCGTCCACTACGTGCCGTCCACTACGTGCCGTCCACTACGTGCCGTCCACTACGTGCCGTCCACTACGTGCCGTCCACTACGTGCCGTCCACTACGTGCCGTCCACTACGTGCCGTCCACTACGTGCCGTCCACTACGTGCCGTCCACTACGTGCCGTCCACTACGTGCCGTCCACTACGTGCCGTCCACTACGTGCCGTCCACTACGTGCCGTCCACTACGTGCCGTCCACTACGTGCCGTCCACTACGTGCCGTCCACTACGTGCCGTCCACTACGTGCCGTCCACTACGTGCCGTCCACTACGTGCCGTCCACTACGTGCCGTCCACTACGTGCCGTCCACTACGTGCCGTCCACTACGTGCCGTCCACTACGTGCCGTCCACTACGTGCCGTCCACTACGTGCCGTCCACTACGTGCCGTCCACTACGTGCCGTCCACTACGTGCCGTCCACTACGTGCCGTCCACTACGTGCCGTCCACTACGTGCCGTCCACTACGTGCCGTCCACTACGTGCCGTCCACTACGTGCCGTCCACTACGTGCCGTCCACTACGTGCCGTCCACTACGTGCCGTCCACTACGTGCCGTCCACTACGTGCCGTCCACTACGTGCCGTCCACTACGTGCCGTCCACTACGTGCCGTCCACTACGTGCCGTCCACTACGTGCCGTCCACTACGTGCCGTCCACTACGTGCCGTCCACTACGTGCCGTCCACTACGTGCCGTCCACTACGTGCCGTCCACTACGTGCCGTCCACTACGTGCCGTCCACTACGTGCCGTCCACTACGTGCCGTCCACTACGTGCCGTCCACTACGTGCCGTCCACTACGTGCCGTCCACTACGTGCCGTCCACTACGTGCCGTCCACTACGTGCCGTCCACTACGTGCCGTCCACTACGTGCCGTCCACTACGTGCCGTCCACTACGTGCCGTCCACTACGTGCCGTCCACTACGTGCCGTCCACTACGTGCCGTCCACTACGTGCCGTCCACTACGTGCCGTCCACTACGTGCCGTCCACTACGTGCCGTCCACTACGTGCCGTCCACTACGTGCCGTCCACTACGTGCCGTCCACTACGTGCCGTCCACTACGTGCCGTCCACTACGTGCCGTCCACTACGTGCCGTCCACTACGTGCCGTCCACTACGTGCCGTCCACTACGTGCCGTCCACTACGTGCCGTCCACTACGTGCCGTCCACTACGTGCCGTCCACTACGTGCCGTCCACTACGTGCCGTCCACTACGTGCCGTCCACTATGTGCCGCAGATTGAAGCCAATGCGCATGTAGGGCAGCTGGGAAGGTGGAAGGGGAGACGTGGGGAGCAGGAGGACAAGGGTGGCATCAAAAGTCAGGAGAGTGAGGCAGAGGCAGGCAGGGTCAGTGGCAGGGTCAGTGAGTGGCAGGGTCAGTGAGTGGCAGGGTCAGTGGCAGGGTCAGTGTCAGGGTCAGTGTCAGCAACACTACTCACATCGGATTTGACGAGCTGCAGGTCGTGCAGGCAGCAGTGCACCTCCCCGGAAGGGGTGAGAGGGAACAGGTAAAAAGAGTGAGGCAGAGGCAGGGTCAGTGGCCGGGGCAGTGGCAGGGGCAGGAGCAGAGCCAATGGCAGCAACACTACCCACCTCGGATTTGACGAGCTGCAGGTCGTGCAGGCAGCAGTGCACCTCCCCGGAAGAGGATGGGAGGAAGAGGCGCAGCGAGAGGGCGAGTTTCACGTTCACCAGCTCGTGCGAGTTCAGCCCCACCAGGGCAAACCGTGCCGTGAGAATCCTGTGGTTCGTACGTGAGCGAGTGGGGGAGAGGGAGGAGGGAGGTTGGTTTTGAGTCTGGTAAAAAGGCACGTTCACCAGCTCGTGCGAGTTCAGCCCCACCAGGGCAAACCGTGCCGTGAGAATCCTGAATACTGGTGGAGAGGAAGCAGGAAGGATAGTTTTGAGAATAGTTTTGAGTCGAGTAAGAAAAGGCACGTTCACCAGCAAGAGAGCAAGAGGAGTGAGGGAGTTTGCCTATGCAAGAGAGCAGCAGGGGGGACGCGGATGGAGGAGAGGGTGCGAGGGGAAGGAGGGGGAAAGAATATGTTGACAGGGGGTAGAGGAGACAGGAACACTGACAGTGCACAACACAACAGCTTAAAAGCCGTAACCCTCCCTCTGCCCCAAGGCGCCACCCCTCCTCCATTCCTCGCCTCCTCCTCTAATCACCTCTTCTTCTACTCACATTTTCTTCTCCGTGCCATAGCGTTGCATGTTATTCTTCTGAAGTTATTCTTTTGAATTTTTTCTTCTGAATTCTCAAGAAACGCCCTTCACTGACCTTCTCTTCTCCGTGCCATGGCCGGTCAAGGGCTGAGTGGCAATTGTGACGAAGCGAGAGCACCGCACCGTCTCTGCTGGGCGGCCGATGCGAGCAAACACTGGTGATGGGAAGGGAGATTGGAACAACAGTGGGGGTGCAGACGGGGAGAGAAGTGAGTGAGTGGCAAGGGTGACGAAGCGAGAGCATTGCACCGTTTCTGCTGGCCGGCCGATACGAGCAAACACTGGCCATGGGAGGGGAGGGGGGAACAACAGTGGGGGTGCAGAGGGGGAGAGCAGAGAATGAGTGACTTTTGAGACGTCTCAAAAGCGAGAACACCGCACCGTCTCTGCTGGGCGGGTGATGGGAGCAAACAGTGGCCATGGGAGGGGAGAGGAAACGACGTAGAAGGAAGCAAAAAGGGGGTGCTGAGGAGTAAAGAGGAGTTGAAACGAGAAGAGGGACAGAGTGAGAAAGTGCAGAGGCAGACTCTGGAGAGGAAGATAAAGCTGAGCTGCGAGAGCAGCGTGAGGAGGTGAGAGCGAGGAGGTCAAAGTGAGGAGGTGAGAGTAAGGAGGTCAAAGTGAGGAGGTGAGAGTGAGGAGGCCAGGGTAAGCAGAGTGCAGAGACGCACATCGGTGAGGAAGCACCCACCTGCACCAGCGGGCACCCACCTGCGACGAAGTTGAGCTGTGCGAGCAGCGTGAGAATATTGGAGAGCACGAGTGCAGGGGGCGAGAGCACCTGCAGCGGCGATCCTCCGAACGTGGTGCAGAGAGAGAGGCTGGGGGGGACGGGACGAGAGAGAAGAGGGGGATAAGCAAAGAAGACGGAAGGAGGGGATGGGCAGAAGGGATGAGCAAGGAAAGAGCAGCGAACGTGGTGCAGAGAGAGAGGCTGGGGGGTGGGGAGAGGGAGAAGCAGGAATGGGAAGGAGAATAGAGAATGAAGACAGAGGGGAGGAAAAAGGGGATTAGCAAGGAATGAGCAGGTGGACGGTGGGCGACAAGGGTATCAGATAAACTAATGCAGCCATGCAGCCATGCAGCCATGCAGCCATGCAGCCATGCAGCCATGCAGCCATGCAGCCATGCAGCCATGCAGCCATGCAGCCATGCAGCCAAGCATCCATGCAGCCATGCAGCCATGCAGCCATGCAGCCATGCAGCCATGCAGCCATGCAGCCATGCAGCCATGCAGCCAAGCACCCATGCAGCCATGCACCCATGCAGCCATGCAGCCAAGCACCCATGCACCCATGCACCCATGCACCCATGCACCCATGCACCCATGCACCCATGCACCCATGCAGCCAAGCACCCATGCACCCATGCACCCATGCACCCATGCACCCATGCACCCATGCAGCCAAGCACCCATGCAGCCATGCAGCCAAGCACCCATGCACCCATGCACCCATGCACCCATGCACCCATGCACCCATGCACCCATGCAGCCAAGCACCCATGCACCCATGCACCCATGCACCCATGCACCCATGCACCCATGCAGCCAAGCACCCATGCAGCCATGCAGCCAAGCACCCATGCACCCATGCACCCATGCACCCATGCACCCATGCACCCATGCACCCATGCAGCCAAGCACCCATGCAGCCATGCAGCCATGCAGCCATGCAGCCATGCAGCCATGCAGCCATGCAGCCATGCAGCCATGCAGCCATGCAGCCATGCAGCCATGCAGCCATGCAGTCATGCAGCCATGCACCAACACTCATGTATGGGGCATTACTGTAAGAGAAAACACACACACACACACACACACACGCACGCACGCACACACACAATCACTCACGTGAAGAGGAAGAAGTGCAGAGCGACATACAGCCACTGCCCTGCACGCATGAGCGCAGCACACACCCAGCATGCCGCCACCGCCACCGGACCCGCCCTGCTGGCGCGCTCCCATTGGTCGAGAGGTGGGGCGAGCGGGCTGTAGAGGATAGTGTGGAGGTCGAGGGATTCGAACTCGGGGCTGTCTGGTGGGAAGGCGAAACCCGAGGCGAGGCTCAGGAAGAGTGGTGTGAAGAGCAAAGCGAGGAGGACTGGTGATGCCATTATGAGCAGCACAAATGCCACGTTGTTGAGCTGGTGGGGGGAGAGGGGGGTGGAGAAGACGAAAGTCTCAAAGTGATGCAAAGGGAGCGGGGCGAGTGGGCCAGAGAAGACAGGATGTGTGGATGTCGAAAGAACCGAACTCGGGGCTGTCTGGTGGGAAGGCGAAGCCGGGGGCGAGGAAGAGCGGCGTGAAGAGCAAAGCGAGGAGGATTGGTGGTGATGCCATTATGAGCAGCACAAATGCCACGTTGTTGAGCTGGGAAGGGGGAAAACATGGCAGTGGGGAGTAAGGGGAGTGTATGGGGGAAGTGGGGGTTGTCGGGTGCGAGGGTAGGGTGCAGAGGGTGATGAGGCAAGTTGACTTTTGAGTCGACCCAAATGTCGGGTGCGAGGGTAGAGTGCAGAGAGAGTGATGAGGCAAGTTGATGAAGGGCTGAGGTGGAAGAACGGCCACTTGCTCCCTCAACCCCTCACCCGTTCTCAGCCAATCAACCAATCAAAATCAACCGTGGGTCCACGTGGCTCACCCTGAGCAGCCAGTTGTACCCGTGGCTGAGCCTCGTCAGCACTGACGCCTGCTGCTTCACCGCCAGCTTGGACCGCGGCCGGCCACAGGGGATGAAGAGAGGCGAGGAGGAGAGCGAATGTGGCGGCAGGGAGTGCGAGTCCTGTTGCTGCTGCGGTGGTACCCACGGTGAATCTTCTTCCTCCCCTTTTCTAAGGTCCCGCTCTCTCTGCTCTTCATGCTGCGTCTCTTGCTCCTGCTTCTCCTCCCCCTGTCGCACTGTCCTGCATTGCTGCTGCTGCTGCGGCTGCTCCTCTCCTTCCCCTGTCGCACACCCCTTTCTCTCCTGCCTCCTCTCTCCCGATCCACAGCTCCCCAGATTCTCCCCACAGGCACCGTCCAGGAAGCTTCCTCTGACATACCGATGCACGATTTGTCCCATGTAGGCACAGATGGGCGGCACGGGGAGCAGGTTAGACGCAGGTTTAGACGAAAGCCCAGGCAGGCCAAAAAAAGGTTGGGGCAGCCTAAAAAAACTTCTGTCGGGCATGGGGAGGGTGGGGGACATGCACATATGTCACAATTGGGTGAAATTTTCCCCGTACCATAACTTTTTTCCCATATTTTTTTTCCAGGCTGCCCGAACAATTTAAGCCCAAGCGTCTAGCGTCTAAATGTGCGTCTTGCGTCTTCCGCAACATAGACCAAGGTGAGTGTGACCAAGGGGAGTGTGACCAAGGTGAGTGTGACCAAGGTGAGTGTGACCAAGGTGAGTGTGACCAAGGTGAGTGTGACCAATGTTAGTGTGAACCCTGGGTAAAGAACGGTGTGATATCATCAAAGACCTTCACCTCTTTTCACCTCCATTCACTCCTCTCCACCTCTCTCTCATCACCCAACATGAGGTGAGTGGGATGTCAGGGAAAAGAACGGTGTGATGTCAGGGCAAGCACCTTCTCAAAGCCTTCACCTCACCGCATCAAGCGTCTCATCAAGACCTTCACCTCTTCTCACCTCCATTCACTCCTCTCCACCTCTCTCTCATCAACCAACAGGAGCAGTACCGCTTCTGCTACACCGCAGTGCAGGATGAGCTCAAGCATCTCATCAAGACCTTCAACACTGGCCCTGACTCCAATGACTCCTGACTTGAACTCCTCTTTACCTCTTTCCACCTTCCTTCACCCCTCTCCACCTCACCCAACAGGAGCAGTACCGCTTCTGCTACACGGCAGTGCGGGACGAACTCAAGCATCTCATCAAGACCTTCAACACCGGCCCTGATTCTGACGACTCCTGACTCTAACCGCCTCTTCACCTTTCTTCATCTCCCTTCACTCCTCTCCACCTCACGGGCCCTGACTCGGATGACTCCTGACTCCTACCTCCTCTTCACTCGTATCTTTGAATAGTTCGCTAAGTCTCTTCGTCACAGCACTCCCGGGCACTCCTTGGCACCGTTTGGTGCTCCTTTGCAATCCTGGCACTCCTCAAAGGGAGGAGCTTGTTGAATGTAGGGCTCATAGGGTGGTGCATTCAGTAGGCACGTTATCAATTCCTTGGAGTAGTACCACTGGGCAGCAAGGCCTTGTGAGAATTGTCAGGAATGTATGGTGCTAGGAGCTCATAATAACTTGTGAGTAGTGTGGCTTTCTCTGACTCTAGCAGACTTCAAAGGATGATGTTTTTTCTCAGGCACTTGCTCCGTGGCACAGTGATAGGCAGAAGAAAGGTTGCTGGTAGGTAGGGCAGCAACAGCAAGCATGCAGTTGACACTAAGTTGCTAACCACTAACTCGCGCTAGTGGGGAAGAGGATGGGATGGGATCCCTGACAAGACCAGACCAGAGTCCTCAGTGCGGCAACTGGAGAATGGTGTTTGGCTCTTTCAGAGCCTCTGATCTGATCTTGAGGACATCCAGATTCATTGCAGTGCAATGATTGCACGCATGAATTTTCTGGCCGGAACGATGTACCGTAATTTCAAAAGACATTGTTGCGGAATGGATAAAGAAATAGTACAAGACAGCTGCAGCCTGTGTCCTTGCCAGAGGCCTTATTTCACGCTAGGTGACAAAAAGGCCCACAGGCCTACGCCACCCAGGTGGAGAGGAGCACAGCTCGAGAAACAAATTCTCTATCCACCCCACTCATAGCATCCCACAGAAAAATGGTGGTAACAAGTAGTAAGAAAGCGACGGCCCAATAACTCCGCGCAGAGTGTGTAAATGTTGCATCCTTTGACTTTTACAGCGAGTAGAACTTGCGGAGGCCGTTGGGGCGGACCATGGCGGGGTTGGTGGAGAAGAAGAGCGTGTTGGCCACCTTCTGGTTCACGGCCTGCGTGGGGTTGTGCTCGTCCCACCACAGGGTCTTGCCAGGCGCCGCACACGCCCCTGCCGTGACAGCTGCCTTGCCGGTTCCGCTGGTCTGCGCACACGGCACTACCACCCCCGTGCTTGTCATGGCCTCGCAGCACGGGTGCGTTTGATTCGTCAGCCCTGGTGGGGGAAGGGAGGGGTGGGTTGTTGCAGGATTAAGGGATGTTGAGTGCATCACTCCACGTTGTGAAGACACATAATGGGCAAGAAGAGAACATGGGCAAGAACAGAACATGGGGTCTTACCAGAGGTGGGGACTTGGATCATGGTCTTGAAGACAGATGATTGCTTGAAGAGCACCAGGTTTGGCATGGGCAGGGCCGGGTTGTTCCTCAGCTTGTCCGTCTTCGTCAGCAGCGCGAAATTATGAATTATGGTAACCTGGTTACCTGCGTCCGTGCAGTTGATTCCGGATTTCGCCGCATGGCGCACGACAGGAGTGCAGCCGAGGTTCGGCAGATCGATAATGAGAATGTTAGAGGAGCCGGTGAGGTTGTAGAGAGACTGGGTGATGTTGATAATGGTGTTGGAAACAGAGGAAGCTATGGCGACGAGGGTCGTCATGTTGGGCTGCGCGTGGCTCAGCTCTGGAATGTAGTCATTGGCACCGATGCTGATCACGAACAGCGCCTCGTCTAGCTTCTGCGACACAGAAGTAAAAATGGAAAAGAGGTTAAAGAATCGTCGAAGGAAAATTGGGATAGAATGCGAGAGGAAAATCAGCGGAAAAAAAAGGGAAAGGAAATGAAGCTGGAGGGGATTTGAAGAGGGGGATACAGACGAAGATGAGTGGGAGGGGCGAGAGTAAGGCGTCGCTCAGAAAGCTTACGAGGTCTGGGTTGTTGGTGCGCTTGGCCTCGTTGAACCACTTCTTGAACTCGTTGAATTGCTGCTGCAGCCCGCGCGTCTGCCGCCATGCGAAAGGGAAACGGCGAGAAATGGAAGCGGCGAGAAGACGGACGGCGGTTAGATTGCTGGACGTTCGAATCGAATCTCACATTTGCTGACCGGTTAGTGTGGAAAACAAGGGTACGACGCGAGGTGATGCCGTGCTTTAATCTAAGCGACAAGGGGAGAGCCTGACGCTAAAAGATGAGGGAGGTACCTTGCCGGCGTTGGTGCCGGATTTAGCGCCGGCTCCAGCAATGGCGAAGTCGATTCCGCTAAAAGGAAGCGACGCATTGCGGGGCGCGAGATCGGCGCGCGGCGAGGGAATCACGAGGAAGTCGGCTGTCGAAAGGAAAGAAAAGGGAGGGAGAGGAGAATCAACCTGGTTGAAATGGCTTCAAAAGCATGGCCGTTTTGAAAACTGCTATGATTGAGCACAGAAGAACGGTGAAAACAAATGATGTCCCGCATCAGGAATCTAGTACTGTAACCAGCAGAAGACGCACCGAGATAGTCAACGACGAGCTTTCCGTCGGAGAAGCGGCCCGACGCGGGCTTGAAGTTGACGCCGTACGGCAGCTTGTTTGCCTTCACGGTCGCGCGGGTGAAGTAATTCGCGTTTCCGACGTCCGCCGACTCGTCGCCGAAAACGTACATCTGCGAAATCTTCGCGGCCGTCGCGGCGCGCGCGACGCACGCCAGCGCCGTGGCGAAAAGAAGAAGCGCGGACACAGAAGCGAGCCCCGAAGCCATGCTGATGCTGTGGGCGCGGAGACAAGTGGAAAAGGTTGTAATGCTACTGGGTGAGAGGAATGGATTTGGAGTCACGTGTGGTAGGCACACGGAAGTGAGCACACACGGTGGGAAGAGGCGTGGAGATGTTTGGAGCGAAGCGAGCAAGTACGAGAGAGAAGATGCAAACGGTGGTATTTGAACTTGGATAACTGGGTTTTTTCGCGTTGCGCAGGTGGGGTCCCATGGAAGAACCCGGTCGGGTCCTTATCTCCCAATATGGCTTCTGGCGGCTTGCGCTGTTCATAGAAAATGTGGAATTTGGAATAGTTGCGTTGGAATGTCCGTGTGGGAAATCGTGGTGGTGTGCTCAAGAAAGAGCTGTGGCGGGAGGGAGAATCAGATTTCGCGCAAAATATATCGGGATGCCATGAAGAACGATAGCCTCGTGAGTGTTCGTGAACCTCCTGCCAGCTCTAAGTTTGGTCGCCAGAAATGATGAACAGACTCGCGAAGCGGCTCTGGCAGACGCAACACTTTCACCGCATGGGCAAGTATGGGGTGGGGGCCACTGCGACTCGACATGAAATGCGATGGTATGGGAGCAATGCGCGGTTCGAAAGGGTTATGCCTCCCGTACATCTCCCTTCTGTGCTGTGACCTGTCCCGCATACCAACCGTACATCTCCCTTGTGTGCTCCTGTGGTGCTTCTAGGTGCAACACGGTTGTAGCAGGCTTGTAAGGCACACCGATCGGTGCTTGGACAAATGGCGGTTGTGATGTGAGGGATTGGAAGGAACGCGACCTGCACCACTAACGCCTGTTACGGGTATCGAATCGAACCGTGACTTTGTGAATAACAAGACGCCTTATGAATTGGTGTAGTATTCAGTGAATTGTAGCTGCCTTATCGGGCATAACATAATCTATACATTTTACCTATCATCAAAACATAACGTACAAAGCATTATTTTTAGGGGTTCAAACTAGATGCAGATGTACTGCGGAGCATAAGGCCTGCTGTCAATAGAGCATGCTTAGCCAAATAATGTCTGCTATTCGACATGTGCCACATCAGCTGTGCGTGTTGAGAGGTGTCACGGAATCCAATCGGGAGTGTTCTAGAGTGGGAACGAGATCGGATGAGATGCGCATTAGGTCGAGAAACTCATAGTCCCACAGCACCTCGCCATCGTAAGCGTAGTACTCCTGCAGTGAACAACGGTGTGCAGGAGTGGAGAGGGGTGCAGGGAGCATAGAGAATGGTTGCGGTAGAAGACAAGACACACGGGAGGTGTAGGAATTCGTTTTCCCACAGCACCTCGCCACTATAGGTATAGTATTCCTGCAGTGTGCAGAGAACAACAAATTGAAGAGAATGCAGGCAACACGAGTGGAGAGGGGTGCAGAGAATGGAGGGGAGCAGAAAACAGCAGTGGAGTGGGTGCAGGGAGCATGCATAGTGAAACACCTTGACCACGTTGACTCACCTTGACCACGTTGACTCACCTTGACCACGTTGACTCACCTTGACCACGTTGACTCACCTTGACCACGTTGACTCACCTTGACCACGTTGACTCACCTTGACCACGTTGACTCACCTTGACCACGTTGACTCACCTTGACCACGTTGACTCACCTTGACCACGTTGACTCACCTTGACCACGTTGACTCACCTTGACCACGTTGACTCACCTTGACCACGTTGACTCACCTTGACCACGTTGACTCACCTTGACCATGTTGACTCACCTAGACCACAGTGACTCACAGTGACCACCCGACCACAGTGACCACCCGTCCACTACGTGCCGTCCACTACGTGCCGTCCACTACGTGCCGTCCACTACGTGCCGTCCACTACGTGCCGTCCACTACGTGCCGTCCACTACGTGCCGTCCACTACGTGCCGTCCACTACGTGCCGTCCACTACGTGCCGTCCACTACGTGCCGTCCACTACGTGCCGTCCACTACGTGCCGTCCACTACGTGCCGTCCACTACGTGCCGTCCACTACGTGCCGTCCACTACGTGCCGTCCACTACGTGCCGTCCACTACGTGCCGTCCACTACGTGCCGTCCACTACGTGCCGTCCACTACGTGCCGTCCACTACGTGCCGTCCACTACGTGCCGTCCACTACGTGCCGTCCACTACGTGCCGTCCACTACGTGCCGTCCACTACGTGCCGTCCACTACGTGCCGTCCACTACGTGCCGTCCACTACGTGCCGTCCACTACGTGCCGTCCACTACGTGCCGTCCACTACGTGCCGTCCACTACGTGCCGTCCACTACGTGCCGTCCACTACGTGCCGTCCACTATGTGCCGCAGATTGAAGCCAATGCGCGTGTAGGGCAGCTGGGAAGGTGGAAGGGGAGACGTGGGGAGCAGGAGGACAAGGGTGGCATCAAAAGTCAGGAGAGTGAGGCAGAGGCAGGCAGGGTCAGTGGCAGGGTCAGTGAGTGGCAGGGTCAGTGAGTGGCAGGGTCAGTGGCAGGGTCAGTGTCAGGGTCAGTGTCAGCAACACTACTCACATCGGATTTGACGAGCTGCAGGTCGTGCAGGCAGCAGTGCACCTCCCCGGAAGGGGTGAGAGGGAACAGGTAAAAAGAGCGAGGCAGAGGCAGGGTCAGTGGCCGGGGCAGTGGCAGGGGCAGGAGCAGAGCCAATGGCAGCAACACTACCCACCTCGGATTTGACGAGCTGCAGGTCGTGCAGGCAGCAGTGCACCTCCCCGGAAGAGGATGGGAGGAAGAGGCGCAGCGAGAGGGCGAGTTTCACGTTCACCAGCTCGTGCGAGTTCAGCCCCACCAGGGCAAACCGTGCCGTGAGAATCCTGTGGTTCGTACGTGAGCGAGTGGGGGAGAGGGAGGAGGGAGGTTGGTTTTGAGTCTGGTAAAAAGGCACGTTCACCAGCTCGTGCGAGTTCAGCCCCACCAGGGCAAACCGTGCCGTGAGAATCCTGAATACTGGTGGAGAGGAAGCAGGAAGGATAGTTTTGAGAATAGTTTTGAGTCGAGTAAGAAAAGGCACGTTCACCAGCAAGAGAGCAAGAGGAGTGAGGGAGTTTGCCTATGCAAGAGAGCAGCAGGGGGGACGCGGATGGAGGAGAGGGTGCGAGGGGAAGGAGGGGGAAAGAATATGTTGACAGGGGGTAGAGGAGACAGGAACACTGACAGTGCACAACACAACAGCTTAAAAGCCGTAACCCTCCCTCTGCCCCAAGGCGCCACCCCTCCTCCATTCCTCGCCTCCTCCTCTAATCACCTCTTCTTCTACCCAGATTTTCTTCTCCGTGCCATAGCGTTGCATGTTATTCTTCTGAAGTTATTCTTTTGAATTTTTTCTTCTGAATTCTCAAGAAACGCCCTTCACTGACCTTCTCTTCTCCGTGCCATGGCCGGTCAAGGGCTGAGTGGCAATTGTGACGAAGCGAGAGCACCGCACCGTCTCTGCTGGGCGGCCGATGCGAGCAAACACTGGTGATGGGAAGGGAGATTGGAACAACAGTGGGGGTGCAGACGGGGAGAGAAGTGAGTGAGTGGCAAGGGTGACGAAGCGAGAGCATTGCACCGTTTCTGCTGGCCGGCCGATACGAGCAAACACTGGCCATGGGAGGGGAGGGGGGAACAACAGTGGGGGTGCAGAGGGGGAGAGCAGAGAATGAGTGACTTTTGAGACGTCTCAAAAGCGAGAACACCGCACCGTCTCTGCTGGGCGGGTGATGGGAGCAAACAGTGGCCATGGGAGGGGAGAGGAAACGACGTAGAAGGAAGCAAAAAGGGGGTGCTGAGGAGTAAAGAGGAGTTGAAACGAGAAGAGGGACAGAGTGAGAAAGTGCAGAGGCAGACTCTGGAGAGGAAGATAAAGCTGAGCTGCGAGAGCAGCGTGAGGAGGTGAGAGCGAGGAGGTCAAAGTGAGGAGGTGAGAGTAAGGAGGTCAAAGTGAGGAGGTGAGAGTGAGGAGGCCAGGGTAAGCAGAGTGCAGAGACGCACATCGGTGAGGAAGCACCCACCTGCACCAGCGGGCACCCACCTGCGACGAAGTTGAGCTGTGCGAGCAGCGTGAGAATATTGGAGAGCACGAGTGCAGGGGGCGAGAGCACCTGCAGCGGCGATCCTCCGAACGTGGTGCAGAGAGAGAGGCTGGGGGGGACGGGACGAGAGAGAAGAGGGGGATAAGCAAAGAAGACGGAAGGAGGGGATGGGCAGAAGGGATGAGCAAGGAAAGAGCAGCGAACGTGGTGCAGAGAGAGAGGCTGGGGGGTGGGGAGAGGGAGAAGCAGGAATGGGAAGGAGAATAGAGAATGAAGACAGAGGGGAGGAAAAAGGGGATTAGCAAGGAATGAGCAGGTGGACGGTGGGCGACAAGGGTATCAGATAAACTAATGCAGCCATGCAGCCATGCAGCCATGCAGCCATGCAGCCATGCAGCCATGCAGCCATGCAGCCATGCAGCCATGCAGCCATGCAGCCATGCAGCCAAGCATCCATGCAGCCATGCAGCCATGCAGCCATGCAGCCATGCAGCCATGCAGCCATGCAGCCATGCAGCCATGCAGCCAAGCACCCATGCAGCCATGCACCCATGCAGCCATGCAGCCAAGCACCCATGCACCCATGCACCCATGCACCCATGCACCCATGCACCCATGCACCCATGCACCCATGCAGCCAAGCACCCATGCACCCATGCACCCATGCACCCATGCACCCATGCACCCATGCAGCCAAGCACCCATGCAGCCATGCAGCCAAGCACCCATGCACCCATGCACCCATGCACCCATGCACCCATGCACCCATGCACCCATGCAGCCAAGCACCCATGCAGCCATGCAGCCATGCAGCCATGCAGCCATGCAGCCATGCAGCCATGCAGCCATGCAGCCATGCAGCCATGCAGCCATGCAGTCATGCAGCCATGCACCAACACTCATGTATGGGGCATTACTGTAAGAGAAAACACACACACACACACACACACACGCACGCACGCACACACACAATCAC